TCTGGTTCCGGGTTCACAAAATGTTCGCATTAATGATTCAAATCCAAATGTCAAAATACTTAAAAATAAAAATAAAAATATTTTTGTTCTCAAAACTAAACTTCCCTGATCTTTAATTAATTAGTTAAAAGAAATTAGAAAAAAAAAAGATTTTTATTTTAGTCTTTATATATATTGAAATAAATTATTATACGAAATTCGAATGTGCATTAAAATGAGAATTAACCATAAGATATTCAACGAGTTTTGGGTCGTCATTGAAGTCTCACCTTTATGGGTAACCCTGTAAAACCGATCAAAGGATGATTTAAGGAAAATAGGTCCATAAGTAAGGTAAAATATGAATGCATGGCAAAGACAGGGCTGCTAGTAAACTAACTATGCATCGTATTGCATTCTGTCTCACGTAAAACTAACTAATCATCAAATGACTTTCTGTCTATATCGGAATATTTTCAGTTATATTTTTAACTCTCATTCAAAATCCGTAAAAAATATCGTAAGAGGCAATACACACTGAAATATTAAAGATACATATGGAAGGGAATATAAATGAAAGTAGAATAAGAGAGTTGAAGGTCCTGAGAAAGAAATGAATGGGCCAGGAAGGGCAGAAGGGAAACGGGGGGTTGAGAACGAAGATAAAGGATGGAGAAGGAAGATGAAGGGTTCAGAAAGAAGATGAAGGATGGAGAAGGAACATTTATGGTTGAGAAGGAATATGAAAGGTGTAGAAGGAAGATGAAGGGCTGAGAACGATAATGAAGGGTGGAGAAGGAAGATGAAGGGTTGAGAAGAAAGATGAAGGGTGGATAAGGAAGATGAAGGGTGGATAAGGAAGATGAAGGGTGGATAAGGAAGATGAAGGGTGGATAAGGAAGATGAAGGGTGGAGAAAGAAGATGAAGGCTGGATAAAGAAAATGAAGGGTGGAGAATGTTGGGGAAGGGTTGAGAAGGAAGATGAAGGGCTGAGAAGGAAGATGAAGGGTGGATTAGGAAGATGAAGGGTGGAGAAGGAAGATGAAGGGTGGAGAAGGAAAATGAAGGGTGGAGAATATAGTGGAAGGGTGGAGAAGGAAGATGAAGGATGGAGAAGGAAGATAAAGGATGGAGAAGGAAAATGAAGGGTTGAGAAGGAAGATAAATGGTGGAGAAGAAAGATGAAGGGTGGAGAAAGAAAATAAAGGGTGGAAAAGGAAAATGAAGGGTGGAAAATGTAGTGGAAAATAAATGGTGGAGAAGGAAGATGAAGGGTGGAGAAGGAAGATGAAGTGTGGAGATGAAAGATGAAGGGTGGAGAAGGAAAATGAAGGGCTGAGAAGGAAGATGGAGGGTTGAGAAGGAAGATGAAGGGTGGAGAAGGAAAATGAAGGGTGAAGGAGGAGAAGGAAGATGAAGGATGGAGAAGGAAGATAAAGGATGGAAAAGGAAAATGAAGGGTGGAGAAGGAAGATTAAGGGTTGAGAAGGAAGATGAAGGGTGGAGAAAATATGGAATTAGATTGAATTAGAGCTGAAATGTGGATTAGTCTGTACTATCTTCATCACCCTGTATTTCATAAACATGATTTTAATAACTTATGTTACCCTCTGTTCCAACCCTTACGCTGAGAGAAAATGAAGGGTGGAGAAGGAAGATGAAGGGTGGAGAAGGAAGATGAAGGGTGGATAATATGGAAAATGAAGGGTGGAGAATATAGTGGAAGGGAGGAATATATCTAAAGGAAGGGAGGAGAACATTAATATTATGTATAAACATATTACTAATTATCTACAAGGAAGCAGTTAAAAACAATTTACAAAAAGGACGAATTGACGATATTGCAGGGTTAACCGAGGTTTCTTCACAAAAATCATGAATATGTTTTGACCTCATGATATATTTTTACAATTTACAATTTTTGAAAATACGAAAGTTAAAAATATTTTGCTTGAAAGATCTGCTTGGCAATACATCACAGCGATCTTTGCATTTAAAAAAATTTTGCTTGAAAGATCTGCTTGGCAATACATCACAGCGATCTTTGCATTTAAAAAAATGATGCAACAATTATTGAGCCCGGGCCGGCTTTGAAACGTTGCTTGCTCTATGCTCTGAGTGTAATCTTACCAATTTATTAATACTTATTTGTAGCCTTGAACATGAGAATGTTAAAATTATGCTTTCTTCTAGCTTTAGTTTTCAACACAATTTGATAAAAATTCCAAATCGAGTCAAAAAGTGAATGTTTTAGTTCGCTGTAATATTGAGTTTTAAATATATTTGAATATCCACAACTGATTCTACTTCGGTTACAACAATATTTATCCAAGCTTAGTTTCTCATGGAAAGAAATACAATCTAGGGGGGGGGCAATATGTTACCCCCCCCCTTTAGGGCTTAGAGTTCTGTTGCATGTACACCAATAAGGATGATAAGAGTTTTGTTACAAAAAGTATCAAACTGAGAATGATTTCAAAGAAAAAAGAGAAAAAAAAATAACTAGTGAGAAGAAAAATGTCATAAAAATAAATCGATACTGCTAGATAGATACTGCTAGATAGATACTGCTAGAAAAGATTGGTTTTTATTATAATTGAAGAATCTAGAGGTATAATACTTATGTTTATGCAATGTAGCTTCGACAAAGGTTCGTTTTTTAATTTGTTTTTGTATGGCATTAAGTTAAGGGGAGTGTTCGCGAAAAATGAAAGGGGGTATAGGCTTAATGCGATAAAAAAGCGCTTTTGATCGCTACTAATCTTACTTCTATCTGTTGCGTCTATAAGGAGAAATTCGTTAAAAACGACTAATATCGGAGAACGTAGTGTCCATACAAATTCAGAAAGTTGTAATATTCAACTCGGATCGTGAAAAAATCAATTTAATTCCAAACAAATCATTCAGATATTACAAACAGTAGTCATCGACTATTTTTCGACGCATTCGTATATAGTTAATATTATATAATATTTTTGATTTAAAAAAAATTAAATTTTCGCTGGCGCTGCAATTTTTGAACATTCCTGGAAAATATGAAAATGTCGTAACTCTCAGAACTTGAAAAGTTGGTTACATGTTATAAATTCAAAGCATTTTTGTTTTTCGCATTAAAAAAAGTTATGATTAGAAACAACAAAAAGTTCAATGTTAGGTGAAATTTTCTCTAGTTTTACGTGTAAAATTTTAAAATATCTAGATTTTTATTTATATATGAATAACATTAAATTTAAGTTGAAATGATAAATTTAATTTTATATTTTTATTTTATAAATTGTTCTGTTTTCACTGATATTTAATAATATTATAAATGTATCCATTTTGTTAAATCAATATTCTATTCAAAGTGGAAAAGTGAAACGTAATCTTTTTTATTAAAGGGACTGTCAAGATAATTCTAAGGGTTGTATTGGTTTCACTTTTTTTTAAAACGATGATTTCGTTTTAAAACGACGAAGAAAAGCGAAAATCGAGGTTTTTTCTCTCGAAAAAAAAAAACAAAACATTTGAGACAAAATTAATAACCTTGTCTTCCTGAAAAAAAAATGAAATTAATTGTCATAAAACGTCTTAAAAGTTCAAAATTACTTAATTCGTTTTCGATTGTTAAGAAAAGTAAAACGAAACGAAATACGATCGTTATTGTTTCTATAAATTGATAATTTGAGATGCGGTGTTTTCTATGAAAATGACTTTAGCGAATTTCTGACTGCAGAATCAATTGAAGTAATTGTGAGAATTAACAATATTTCAGGATATAAAACGACGATATCTTCCACTTTATCGATCAGAGAAATGTGTAAAGGGTACCACTTAAATCGTAGATACGACTTTTTTTAAACGGAGATTGAAATCACAACAGAAGTCCCTTGCGATAAGAACCTCATAAGAAACTCTGACGCGGATTTTTTTTTGGGATTTCTTCGGAAAATAATTATTAGAAATATATATAAAATACAAAATAGTGCTTTAAATTCGTAGTTTGAAACATGTATATCTATTTTAATAAAAGGTGTGCTTCTCGAAATTAGGTTAAAGAATTTGTGGTACTATATTTTGGTTGAGAAAACATATATACGTCCATAAACTCTAGTTTGTACCGGTTATTTGATTTTTAATCTTTACTCCGAATCCTCCATAGTTAAAACAGAACTTGGAGACAGGATTTGGTCAAAACAGAATGGGAGACAAGATTTGATCAAAACAAAAGTGGGAGACAAGAATTGGTCAAAACAGAACTTGGAGACAATTGGTCAAAATTGAACTCGGAGACCAGATTTAATTAAAACAGAACTAGGAGACAAACGTTGGTCAAAATAGAACTAGGAGACAAGATTTGGTCAAAACAGAACTAGGTAACAAGATTTGGTAAAAATAGAACTTGGAGACAAGATTTGGTTAAAATAGAACTAGGAGACAAGATTTGGTAAATTAGAACTAGGAGACAAGATTTGGTAAAAATAGAACTAGGAGACAAGATTTGGTCAAAACAGAACTAGGTAACAAGATTTGGTTAAAATAGAACTTGGAGACAAGATTTGGTTAAAACAGAACTTGGAGACAAAATTTGGTTAAAACAGAACTTGAAGACAAGATTTAGTCAAAATAGAACTATGCGACATGATTTGGGATCTTGAAAAAAAGTCTGAAATTCATTCTCTTCCCAAATCACCTTGATTCAACGTTATAAACGATCTTACGAAACTTTCCCTTTACAGAAGAAATGTTTAAGAATGTTATTTCTCTGAAAGATTTGAAGGAAGTTGTTACAAGATTCTCCCCTTCTAAATATTTTCAATCACAGACATTTTCATTTTTTTCTAGATAAAGACGAAATCTGAGATTCGATTTCCAGTTTTTAGTTTTCAATTTATGAGAAGAAATTATCCAAATTCATTCAATTTCAGAAAAATGTCGGTTTCAGCCGCTACACAATAATTAATACAATGATCTCAAAAATCTTAATTTTCATCTCTACCCTCATAATAGGTAAAGAAAATAGTAATAGTAATAAAGCCTCAACGATGTTTATTATCCAGGTTAAATAAATTAATAATCTGATAATTAATAATATATAGATTATTATTGTGATGATTTACAATTAATCTTAACTAATCTTATTAGCAAAATGAGGTTAGATGAATTACTCAGATTTAGAAAAGGGATTGTGTGGGTTGGGGGGAATATCTCAAGTTTATAATAGTATATTTATATTTCAAATAATCAAAAATAAACAACTCTGAGCTGAAAACTTTAGAATGGTGGATATCGAGATTAATGCGTGATCCTCTTTTTTTCATATTATTGATACTAATCTAATCATGTACAATTGTATCCTGAAAAGTGTATAAAATTCAACCAATCAGAGTCGCGAAATAGAATCCGATAAATTTAAAATTTTTCTCGCCATTTAAGATTATATACAGAAACAGTCCCCCCGACACTCTAATTCTAAAAAAACGGTTTTTTATTTTTTCTCTACTATATCCAAGAAAGAACGGTTTAAGAAGAAAATCAAAATTGTGTCCATTGGATACTCAGATTAAGTAATCAAGATTAAGAATAATAGAATTGATCGCGACCAATAATAGGTTTATCTATTGTCCCTGTCTCGAGAAATTGATTTAAAACTGTGTCTAATATTGGTCGCGATCAACTTCTAAAATTTCTTGGCCTAAACAACCTGATTAATTTATATTAACAGCAGTTTCTTTAAGTGGAAAAATTGGCATAGTTTTTAACTCTTAATCTTATGGTATTTATTAAAATATGTTGGATAATCTGAGACCAGTTTTTATGAAGGGCGAGAGGAAGTTGAACCATGCTCTTTTCAACTTGAGCCAGGTGCACAAGAGAAGTGGTTCAACTATTCCTGCGCGGTTCACTAATAGGATCCATGCTGAACACTTCAGAATTTTGGATATCGAGATTAATGCTTTAGTCAATCTGCAGATTAATATAATCTTTATTTCAATATTCAGGAAAGTACGTAAAATGCAACCAATCAGAGTGTCGTTTGCATAAACCGAACAGCCAATCAGAAGCTGGGGCATTTTACGCACAAGCAATGCAAGATCTCTTATTGGTTGGAACCCATTATGGATATCCAAAAAGAGAGGGTTACAAAGAAAATCGAAAATTTTCAAAAGATTGAGGGATAGGGATTAAGGGCCTATCCATTTCTAAAGTTTTCAGCTCCGGTTTCTGATTTGATAAATCTGAAATATTTCAGGATATCCTGGTTTACCCCTTCCTCATCCTGGACACACTGCCCTAGAACAGGAACAATATTATACTTTTCGGGATACACCAACCTCATTCTTAACGTTTATTAAGTTGTCAGAAATATTTCTATAATTGTAAACAATCCATCTTTTACTTACATAATATTTCTGTAAATATTATGTACAAAACTATCTCGTATTAATCATAATTGCTTAGTTTAAAATTGGAAACTTTCTCCAATATTTAAATCTATTTCAAGGGACTTTTATTGTCACTTCTAAGTGAACTCCAATTAAAGAGGGACGTGTCCGATTCACAACGGTACTCTTTAAACCTTTTATATACAAGGGTACCTTTTAAACCTTTGATTCACAAGGGTACCCTTTAAACCTTTGAATCACAAGGGTACTCTTAAAACCTTTGATTCACAACGGTACTCTTTAAACCTTTGATATACAAGGGTACCTTTTAAACCTTTGATATACAAGGATACCCTTTAAACCTTTGATTCACAAGGGTACCCTTTAAACCTTTGATTCACAAGGGTACCCTTTAAACCTTTGATTCACTAGGGTACCTTTAAACCTTTGATTCACAACGGCACCTTTTAAACCTCTGATTCACAAGGGTGCCCTTCAAACCTTTGATTCACAACGGCACACTTTAAACCTTTGATTCACAACGGTACCCTTTAAACCTTTGATTCACATGGATAACCTTTAAAACTTTGATTCACAAGGGTACCCATTAAACCTTTAATTCAAAACAACACCCTTTAAACCTTTGATTCACAAGGGTACCCTTTAAACCTTTGATTCATAACGGTACCATTTAAACCTTTGATTCACAAGGGTACCCTTTAAACCTTTGATTCACAAGGGTACCCTTTAAACCTTTGATTCACAAGGGTACCCTTTAAACCTGTGATTCACAAGGGTACCCTTTAAACCTAACTGATTCAAAACGGTACCCTTAAACGTTTGATTCACAACAGCACCCTTTAAACCTTTGATTCACAAAGGTACCATTTAAACCTTTGATTCACAAGGGTACCATTTAAACCTTTGATTCACAAGGGTACCTTTAAACCTTTGATTCACAAGGGTACCCTTTAAACCTTTGATTCACAAGGGTACCCTTGAAACCTGTGATTCACAAGGGTACCTTTTAAACCTTTGATTCACAACGGTACCCTTTAACCTTTGATTCACAACGGCACCCTTTAAACCTTTGATTCACAAAGGTACCATTTAAACCTTTGATTCACAAGGGTGCCCTTTAAACCTTTGATTCACAAGGGTAAGCTTTAAACCTTTGATTCACAACGGTACCCTTTAACCTTTGATTCACAACGGCACCCTTTAAACCTTTGATTCACAACGGTACCCTTTAACCTTTGATTCACAACGGCACCCTTTAAACCTTTCATTCACAAGGGTACCCTTTAAACCTTTGATTCACAACAACACCCTTAACAACTTTATCGATCCAATCAACGATGTGGAAGATAAGAAAATTGTACTAAGCTTAAAAAGTGATTAATTCTGACAATTCGATTTTTTCTGAATCAGAAATGGGCAAGCGCTTTATAGAGAAACCACAATTGAAAAAAAATAAATTTTAAAGAAAGCATTTTTGATGAGACCAACCTTTAATGGTACCATTGAGAACTAGACATGCCACTCTCGTTTCAAGACAGTTCATTTAATAGTCAGAGTTGAGCTTAAATTTGCTCTAAATATTAAAAAGTATATTTGTTCCGATTTAGGATCCTGGATACGCCCACCCATATCTACCAGGTAGGAGGAGTAGATAGTTGATCTCGTATCTATTTCTATCAAACTTTCTTTTTATTTGGAAATATTTTGCATTCTTTCTAGGAAACATTTTCTAAGAAAACCCGTTCAATTAACCAGTGAACACGATCATTATCACCGATTCAAAATAACGTTGTTACAACAAATCTTGGAAAACTGAATTTAAAATCAATTTGAATGTTTGGATATAGAGTCTTATGAAAATTTCTCAAGAGTCTCAACGCTTTGATTTTATCTATGATTGAATATCTAAACTGAAATATTATCTATGATCTCAAAAAATCCAAAAATAAACCAGTCAAATCTGAAGGATACCCTTTGGTACATAAAGATTATATTTCATCCACTCCTGAGCACACTCCATTGTACAGCACTAATAATAGTCTTGAAGCCTTTATTTAAATATATCGACTATTAGATAAACTATATATCACATGTATTTAAATTATCTAATAACGACCGGCTTGTTGCCATCACGTTATCTACTAAGAAATGCGGGAATTAGATACATCTACTGTACAGAGTACAGAGTATCGTTATGAACAGTACGGTTAACTGTACAAAGTACACTACAATCCAACATCAGGACCAAACATGGTTCATTTGTTACTAAATCATACACTGTACGTACAATATACAATATAAGAACTAATTAAAATGTTAAAGTTAAAGAATGAAAAAGTAAAGCACTAAAAAAATAAGCAAACCAATTAATAAAATCTTATTATGATCAAAACTAGTGTGTAAATCTCAGGATCAAACAGTGTATTTTTTATCGCCGGATTGAATTTATTAATTTGACTTCGACAAGCCTTTGAGGTCTTACCCACCAAGAAGAATTAAATTACACAAATGTTTCAACCTCTGATGAAATAAACCAGAACATTTGATAAAAAGGGAGAAACACAACAAACGTCATCAAATATAACTAATGTTAATTTTTTAAATAACAAATTTAATATGCTGACCAGATCTTGCAATTTTAATCTCGTAATTCAAGTAGTAATTTTTTTAAATCTAACAATATTTACTGGAAAGGATAGTAGTATTATTTTTTCATTCTCATTAAAATCTTTTAAATTACTTATGTTTCAACATAGATTTGGAAAATTTTGTCTTGTTAAATTTTATTTTAAATTCATTATGCATATGTAAAGTTAATGCAACCATTTAAAATTTTTCTATTTTTCCCGAGAAATAGTTCAAAGCTATTAAAAACTGCTGATAAGATTATCTAAATAAGCTGGGATTATTATATTGAGTAAAATATATTAGATTTTAAGTTTAGAATGGTTTAATAGAGTTAAAAATGTTTTATATCTAATTTCTGAAACTAAGGATATAATTCTAATCTATTTTAAGAGCTATAAGAAGGGATTATAATGGCTTATTTTAGGCATGAGCTTTTTCAAGCTTTTATTAAAGCCAATGCTAGATCCGATTAGTGTTGTTTCAGAACAAAAAGTAAAGAAACCCGTGGTTTCAACAATAAACCCTTAACTCGCGATATTTATAGCTAAAAAGTTATTTTCAGCTAAAACATTCTGGCTAAATGGTAATATACTCTTGTTTTGTAACTAAAAATGTTGAATTTAGACACAAAAAATTGAATATTTATTACTGAGCCTAGCGTTAATAGCTCTTAACTTTGGGTTTATCTGATTTTCTTCTGAAGATTTGTCAGTTGGTGGCTCTGGTTAAACGGCCTTGTTCTGAAGAATAGTCAGCTGGCGATTCAGGTTTAACAGTCTTATTCTGAAGATTCGTCACCTAACGTTCTGGTTTAACGGTCTTCTTCTGAAGATTCGCCAGCTGACGGTTTAACGGTCTTATTCTGAGGATTCGTCAGTTGATGGATCAGGTTTAACGGTCTTCTTATTATATTATAAGAATTCATCAGCTTCTGGTTTAACGGTCTTCTTCCGAAAATTCGTCAGCTGACGGTTTAGCGGTTTTATTCCGAGGATTCGTCAGCTGATGGCTCTGGTTTGACGATGAGATACGTAATTAAATACTCTGGATAGGCCTGCTCTCCTGAAAATATATTTTCGTAAAAATCCACGAAATCTTATCTTTTTCTTTTCTTGAAACTTACCTCTATAAATCACATATTCTGGAAAAGAAAGCCCCCCTACGGATGGTCGACCCACGACGCTATGATGACCGGGGGGTGCATGCGCCATTTTCATCGCGCTAAACTGCAGGAAGCTTTTCCCTAGCGCGACTCTGCAGAGAAGAAGCTGACGATGACAAGAATAACAGGAACGGTCCTAGAATCAAACCAAACAAATAATTCACAATTTCAAAAATAGAAAAATTGTAGAAAACTGAAATATTTTATCAATAATGATTGCGTGAGCTCTTTAGATATTTCTAGAAAAGAAATTAAATTTAAAAATGTTGAATTATTATAGTTTCCTTATGTTGCGGACATCCAGTTCCTCCTCCTATTCCGTAAACGTATTGGTTGCTCTTACTGCTGTGCTCGGCAAAGTATATTCCCGCCCCGAACATACCGCCGATATAGGCGTGACGTTCATCAAATCCTTTCTGTGCAATCGCCTTAAATATTAAAATCTGGATTAATATAGAGGGGAGGGGGTGGGGGCAAATATAATATAGAGGGAGGGGGGGGGCAAATATAATATAGAGGGAGGGGGGAGCAAATATAAAATGGAGCGAGGGGGGGGGGGAAGAAAATTTTGAAGGGTTAATACTTCAAGATGTAAGAAAATAAGAAAATGGACTTGAAAACGCCGGAAATTGTAGAAACTGCGCATTACCTGTATAAATGGACTTCCGTGGAAAAGCATCCGTTCGTTGCTCTGATTATGATTCTCCTCCGCCATTTCTCGTCGTCTGGGGAAAGTGAAGAAAGTTATTGAAAAGATAAATGAGTAAATAAACTTATGAAATGCAAATAACAATTTACACTTTACAGTTTGCCGGGTCAAAATTAAAGATTTTAAAACTATTTCTTAATTCTCTTCTGAAGACCATAGGTTAAAACAGAACTAAGCCTAAAGTAGTCAAATAATCAAAGAAATCGGTTTTAATGGAAGAAAATAAAGTTTTCCCGCATGAGTTTTTATAGGTGTGTTTAGATGTTGTACCTGTGACTGTAACGCTCCCAAAGCTTTGTATTTCGAATCTTCTGGATCTTGTAAATTCTAAAAAAAACCTGATTAAAAAATTTAATTTTTTTTCCTAATGAGGATTAGGATGACTCCTATAATTCTTAATTACTTCTGTAAAGCCCATACTTCCAGATATAGAAGGAAAAACAACTAGAATTAGAAAAACTATGGATACACACTGTCTGTCTCTTGCAGTATACATGGAAACCTTTATAAATAAATTGGAAGGAAAGTTTGTTAACAACTTTCAATGAAAATGTCGACAAATCTCTGAAAGGAACTACAACTACAAATGAATTTTATAACAGTTTTGTTTCAATTTTCTGAGGCTTAAGTTTATCAATAAATCGGGGACAGTCCTTTTAAAAACTAAGATCCTACCTGTAACTACTGAATTGACCTCCTGCATGTCCCTGGTCCCTGTGCTGCCTAAAAAATACAGTTTTGCTTAAATAATAAAACATACATAAACAATTGTTATAAAATATTTTTATTTGTGGATATTCATGAAGTCTATATGGGGGGGGGGGGGGGTGGTACCTGACAGTGCTCTGCATCTCCTCCTCTACACTTGTCCACTCTTGGTCCTCGTTTCCTATATCCACCAGTACAGTACCCTGCCCACTACTGCTAGGAGGTGGATGCCAGATCATAGGAGCAGCTCCGGATAGAAGCTTCTCAATACCCTAGATACATGCCAAACATGGAGACATACAATCTTGTGATTTACATTAATCTTTTTTTAAATTGAGATTTTGTTCTTTACCTTGATTAGTTTGTGCCTGTGTCCATATGCATGAATTCCGATCTGCTTGAGATCTTCATGTCCCATCTCTGCAAGGATGTCCACAGTGATCTGCTCGCGTTCAAACACCTCCCTGGAAAAAATATTTCATTATATTTACTATTCATTAAATACATACTTTAATCCTAAATCCTACCTGATCTGGTGGAGATGTGAGGTCTCCATCTGTAAGCTGGCCAGGAACGCTGCCAAGCTCATGTTCATACTTGTCTCCGGAGTCACCATCTCAGTTTTAGTAAAATCTATTCCACCATCTCCCGGTTGGGGTTTAGGAAAGCTAGCTCCTGCCCCGGCAGGAATAGGAATAGGAACAGCTGTCCCACTTGGCATAAGAACGGTGCTAATAGCGCCCATAGTGTCCTGTCGTAGGGAGATGTTAGGTCGGTTTGGTGTAGGAGATTTAGGTCTCGTTGGAATGACAATATCGGTAGGCATAGCATCAGTAAGCAGACACTTGACATCATCAGCTGTAGCTAAATCTAGAGGTGTCTGTCCTTCCTGGTTCTTTAGGTTAGGATCTGCACCATGAGCAAGGAGAAGAGCGCAGAGCTGGGTTCGACCTTTCTGAGTTGCCTCATGTAGCGGAGTGAATCCCCACTTGTCTGTTGCATTGACAATTGTGCTATATTTAATTAACAAAGCAGCAATGTCTAGATGCCCATAGGAGCTGGCATTATGAAGAGGGATAAGTCCGCCTTTATCCTGAGCATTTACATCCGCCCCTTGCTCTAATAAATACTCCGCCACTTCTAGATTGTTGTATCCGGCAGCTAGATGAAGCGGAGTGCTGTTCCGCCCGGCAGAATCTCTGCAGTTGATGTTCTCTGGGTTTATTAATTTTTGAACCCGGCTCAGATTTCCTTTCTTGGCAGCATCAAGAAGTGCACTATCACCACGTAGAAGGTCTACCACATCTTGATCCCCTTCCTTTACCAGGTCCAAGGGAGTGTGCCCATCTCTGTTTTTCTTGCTGGGATCAGCACCATGCTTGAGCAGAAGTTTTACAATCTCATATTTACCCTTAGCAGCAGCTTCATGTAGTGGAGTAAACTTCCATAGATCACTCACATTTACTGTTGCTCCATGTTTTACCAACAGCTCAGTCACTTCATAGTGTCCATAGGAGCAAGCATTGTGAAGAGGTACCAGACCTCCCTTGTCTTTGGCATGTACATCAGCGCCGTTGCTAAGCAAAAACTCCACTACTCCAACCCTATTGTATCCAGCTGCAAAATGAAGGGGGGTGGAATGCCTTCCATCCAGATCTCTACAATTTACAATATGTGCGTGCATATTTACAATTTTCTTCACTAGCTCCAGGTCTCCAGCTTTGCTGGCTTCCAAGAGCTGGTACTCAATGTCTATTCCTCCGTTGGCTGGTTCCTCTGCTAGCAGTTTACTAACAGAGTCAGTAGCCAGCTGAGCAGCTGTATATCCTTGTAGGGAGACAATAGATGAATCTACACCAAAGGTTAGCAGTATCCTACATGCCTGCACATTACCCTCCCGTCCTGCACGGTGTAAGCAAGTCTGTCCAAGACTATCTAGTGCATTTACCTTAGCTCCGTGTTTAAGCATCAGCTCCAATACATCATAATGACTCTTATCTGTAGCAACATGCAAAGGAGTGAGAAACTCCTTGTTCTTTTCATTCATGTTGCAGCCTTTACGGCATAAGGTCTCCACAATGGATTTCCTCTTTGGAAACGGACTAGAGACTGCACAGTGCAAACAGTTGTCACCAGTGTAAGGATGTTTGAAATTTATTACATCTGCGGTGAGATATTTCTTGAGTTTCTGCGGGTCTCCTTGCTTACATGCATCAATGAGACAATGTCCTTTAAACTCAAAGGACAGACGATCTTGCAGTTCTCTGGTTGGAGAAACGTCTATAGCAGACTTAGAATGACAGTTGAGCAGGGTTGGATCAGCTCCATGAGACAGGAGCAAGCTACAGACCTCAATCCTTGACTTGCTAGCAGCTTCATGGAGAGGAGTAAACTGCCACAAATCCATGGCGTTAACATTGGCTCCATGGTTGATTAACAACTCAGTTACCTCAAAATGTCCATAGGAGCAGGCATTATGGAGCGGTACAAGACCTCCCTTGTCTTTAGCATGTACATCTGCTCCATGCTGTAGCAGAAGTTCCACAATGCGAGTGCGGTTGTATCCTGCGGCGAGATGAAGTGGGGTCGACTTCCTACCATCACTAGCATGACAGTTGACATTGAGTGGGGTGAGAAGAGAGAGGATCTTCTCCTCGTTCCCACTCCTGGAGGCTTCAAGGAGCTCCTCCTTCTTGTAATCTGTGCCTGCCAGGACGGGTTTTGTCAGAGGATCTGCTACATCAAGAGCCGTCTTTCCTTCCGTATTCCTGGAGACATTTATTCATTGGAATTAATCAACTTTTGTTCCAAAAACATCTTCATAAAAGTACATATATTAATTTCAAAGTAAATCAATTTGGAATAAAAATAAAGTTAAAGTTTCTAACGAGTGTGAGAAGGGAGAAGGGAGGGCAACATTTTTGTTCAAATATACATTTGATATGAAAGATATTTAAGTTGACCGAGAGTTCCAAAGGTTCCTGAGTGTGTTATCTGCTCCGTGCTGCAGGAGCATCACACAAACATCGTTTTTACCCTGAACAGACAAAAATATTATTTTGGTGAGACTTCAGAGAAGACTGTACGGAATTTTACAATCTTTTTAATAAATAATTTTAAGACTATGATCAAGGCAAAAACCTTAATTAAACCTTGGAATGGTCATATTTCAAGTTTAATGTCGTCTTCACCCCCCCCCCCATACATTTAGCGTAGAGACAACGTGACATAAAATAATTTCTTACGTTTTAATCAGATATTCGAGTCTTTTTTTATAAACTATTTCTCTACTGAAATTTTAATACATTTTTTGGGAAATTATTTATCTTGAAAAATATTGTAGTTTACCTTTATACTAGCTTCATGCAGAGGTGTGTAACTCCAATTATCCCGCGCGTTAGGATCTGCTCCCGCTCGCAGAAGAAGTGCTACCACCTCTGCGTGCCCAAAAGAGCAAGCGTTATGAAGCGGGATTAGACCTCCGTCGTCCCGTGCATGCACGTTAGCTCCCGCGTTTAACAAGATTTCAACAGCTTCCCGTCTCCCGTATCCTAATAAATAATATAAATTTAAATGCATAACTTTTTTTTTTGAAAATAGTTAATTATTTTTTTCCTTGAAGTAATTCAGGAATGTTTAATAAATTAGGAAAAATAAATGATGTTAAGGGAAAATGATGTAAAAATAAAGATTGATATCCAATTTATCATTTATCCATTACTAAATCTTTAAAAATTGCCCCCCCCCCCCAACCGAGAGAAACGATTGACGAACACTGCTTAAATAAGTTTTTTTACGACAGTTATGTAAAATAAAAAAGACACAATGAAAATGTTAAAATATTTTTTTATCTTTCAAGGATTTCAGATTTATGATATTAGTGCAAAAATGCACAATAACATTTTTAACAAAAAAAAGATATTTAAATGGCATTTCGATTTGATAGTAAAATACAAAGAATCTTCTTAAGATGACCAATAATTGAACAGTTAACAATTCTAGAATCACAGTTTATAAGTTTTGAAATCAAAATTTTAAAATAAATGCACAGGGAGATGCGTATCTAGTAGAAATCTACGAATAATTAATTTCATAAGAGTAAATTATGGGTAACCCCCCTCCCCCCCACCCTTCTTCTCCGAAACGACTTATTCAAACGAATAAAGTATATTATCAACCTGCAGCAAAATGTAAAGGAGACGATTTCCGTCCCGATGTGTCCCGAGCATTCACGTTCTGCGGAGTCACCAAAACTCGAACTCGAGATACGTCACCGTGCTTGCAAGCTTCGAACAAATCCCGTAGAGGATCTCCAGGGCTTATTGAGATACTCTCCTAAACAAATTTGACAATTTTTCAATTGTGACATAACAATTACTTAGAATTTTATGTAAAATTTACGCAATATGAAATTTTTTATTACTGAATGGTGTAAACAGACTTACAAATTTAATAATATTCACCTGAGCTATGGAACCGAGCGATCTACGGCCCGACATACTATTTTTAATGCATTATTTGTTTATTTTGTCAATATTTTCTAGTCCGCCATATTGGAACAATCCTAGCAGACTAGCAGTGCTCAGTAGGCAACACAGTTAGCTTCTGTAAACTGACTAAATTCGATTTTATTCTCCTTCTTGTCCGCTCTTGCAAACCGACCAACTACTTTACTTTCACTTCAATTTTATGGAAAAATAACAATGAAAGTCATGAAATATATATTTATAAAATTTATGTTTTCAGGATTGGACACGCAAATTCAGATAAAGGATTTCCTTTGGACAGGTTCAGGTTGGTTTAAAAGACATATTTTATCTGATTTGCAACAAATTCAAAGTGTACAAAATGTCAATTTTAGATAGATAGATAGAAAGATATAGATAGACAGATAGATAGACAGATAGTAGATAGATAAGGATGCAGAAAATACAGGGTGTCCCGCGAAACATGAGAGCTAGTAACTAGTTTTGAATGACTGCATTGATATTTTTATTATTCACTTGGAATCAAACAACTTATGGACGCAGAGAACTATTAACCAACTGTCATGTTTCGCGGGACACCCTGTATGAAAAACAGGAAGTACCAATTAAAGCCTGCAATTTATAAGCCTCTGGGACTGGGACTCTAGGAAAGATTCGTCTGTTTCAAAAGTACACAATTACAGGAGCGTACGAGAATAAAATTCCCTCCCCCCTCTCTTAAAAACCCCTTTTTTTGTAAAATTATCGATACCTTTTCTATCTATTAAACTATTCGATTTATATATATTCACTTCCATATTACAAGTGTTTTTAAGTGAACTCATCCCCCATTGGTCCCCCCCCCCCCACCTTCGTACACCCCTGCACAATTATTTAATATATTGTTGCAGAATGCAGATGGTTTTTATTGTCATAGTTGCTGCGAGACAAAAAACAGCTAAATGTTATACACCCCCTCAAAAAAAAATTCGTATAATTGGGGGGGGGGGCTATGGGAGCTAAGCTCCCGCGCGGGGTTTAACCTAACCCTTACTTCTGTATAAATTCCTAATTAAGCTGCCAGCTGGTATTTACCTTGAACTTCTTCATTTTCCCACAACCTATTCTCCTCTTTAAACTAACCTTCTCCTTTTTACCCAAACCTTCTCCACTTTATCCAAACTTTCTCCTCTTTACCTTAACCTTCTTCTCTTTACCCCAACCTTCTCCTCTTTACCCCAACTTTCTCCTCTTCACCCCAACCGTCTGCTATTCACCTCAACCTTCTCCTCTTTACCTCAACCTTCTCCTCTTTACCCAAACCTTCTCCTCTTTACCTCAACCTTCTCCTCTTTACCTCAACCTTCTCCTCTTTACCCAAACATTCTCCTCTTTACCTCAACCTTCTCCCCTTTACCTCAACCTTCTCCTCTTTACCTCAACCTTCTCCTTTTTACCCCAACCTTTTCCTCTTTACCTCAATCTTCTACTCTTTACCTCAACCTTCTCAATTTAACCAAAACCTTCTCTTCTTTACATCAACTTTCTCCTTTTTACTTTAACCTTCTTCTCTATACCTAAACCTTCTCTTTACTCCGACCTTCTCCTCTTTATCATTACCTTCTTCTCTTTACTCCAGCCTTCTCCTTTTTACCCCAACCTTCTCATCTTTACCTAAACTTCCTCCTCTGTACCCCAACCTTCTCGTCTTTACCCCAACCTTCTCCACTTAATATATTATTTATGTATAAAGTAGTAATCTATGTTTTGTCTGTCTGTTTGTATGTCAAAGAACCCCTTTTACCGATTTGTCTCAAATTTTGATTGCAATGTTCTTAGCAATTGGTTTTGAGATTCTAAGTTTAGTGGATCCATGTATGGGGAAAAATAGCTAAAATCATAATTTACAACGAAGCGCGGGTAAACGGCGGGAGTAACTATGAGTAACCTGGACAGCGGTGGGTTTTTAAACTATAGTTGTATAAGAATCAATATTAATATTATCTTGGTAATTAAATTAAAATTTGTTCTATATATTTGCATCAAGTCACAGTTTCATTTTGTTTAAAATTCAAGAGTATGATTTTCCAAAATATATAATTTGAATATATTAGATATATTTTTGTATAGGAGATGGAGAACAGGAATATGTTGCAATTGATTCATCTAACTCAAGGTATTACGGATTACCTTAAACAAAAACTTAGTATAGGAATTGTTAACAAAATCCTAAAAACCCCCTCTTTTTAAAAATTCAGATTTTTATTGAATTCATCATGGAAAAAATAATTTCTGTTTCATATTTTTCAAACTTAAAATATGTGAAAAAATTTGCTTGGCAATTAACATCTTCTACTCTTAATTCTTTTTTTAAAAGATTTAAGACAATATGAACTATGTATAACTGTACACCAGCATGGCCCACTACTGTACATGTTGGACTTATTATTATAATTATCATCCCTAGATGCACATTTAGATTTCTTTGATTAACTTTACAAACTTTGGGTTTGATATATTGTGAGCACTGTTACAGAGCAATTGGGTCGGGAGAATCGTCCGCAGCAATTGGTCCGGTCAACACGACAGCATACACGCCACTAGGGTCTGCTGGTAGACATACTCAGACAAGAAATCTACAAGAACAAGACAGGTTTAATTTTCGCATAGTGTCTCTTTACATATTTCATATTTACTAATTGGTAGGTCGTCTTCACGAAACCAACACCATGCAGAAAATATACTTGCATTGATTTTGTTACAATAAAAAATAGTTTTCATTAAATTATCAAACTCAATGAAAAGAAAAATTTTAACATAATTTTCTTTTACATTCAGTCGTCGTTGTATTTATCAAAACAATGAAGACGACTTTCGATATAAAAAAGCAGGACGGATACGCATAAATATGGAAACAAAGAGAAGCTGTCAATTAAAAAGCTTCTCTTTGTTTACTTGTAAACTTGAAATTTAAAAATAGCTTCTTAACAATCAAAACTTAAATGTATAAGTCGTCTCCATTGTATTTTCCCGTTTAACATAGATTTGATTGCCAGCGTTAAAAAATAATAATGTATACAGACCTGGGAATTTTTATGCTGGATACTGATAATCCCGATCATTTGATCCCGATATTCACTGTAAGCACTTTTAATTTGATAGTAATTGTTTCATCTCTTGTTTTCAATTATCCCTTCACTGGATATCTAATAAAGATTAAAGTAATCTGCAGATTGACAACAAATCGAGCTCAAGCCTTGATCTCGATATCAACAATACAAGAGTTCCAAGCTCTGGATATTTTATTATGATACTTCAGATATAAAAAAAATAACCGTAAGCAAAAATCTAAAATGTTCAATAATTATTTTTCATCTTTAAATATTAGATCTTTTGGGTACCTTGACAAAAACAGTATCGAACTCTACAGTTCTACTCCCATGCAAGGTATAGATTTCGTCAAAGATGTTTTTACATTATTTTGTGATTTCTGAATATATTTTAGTTTTGAACTTTTTCTTGCATTTTAATCTAATTTCTTCTTTTTTCACATTCTCTATTTTTATAGTGGATTCTTAATCGTATTGGCTAGAGACCGAATTTAATGAATTTAAGAGAGGTTGCTAAACTTATCACCGGTTTAAATCCTGAATTCAGCGATATCTCCAATTCAGCGATATCTCCAATTCATTAAATTCAGTCCCAGGATAGTCTACTTTACTTTTTTTACTTTTTGTATAGATTATTTTCAATTTTTTGTATACTTGGAAATTTTTACTTTTTGGTATAAATAATTTTGACTGATTTGTATAGATAATTTTTACTTTTTGTGTAAAGATAATTTTTAATTTTTTGTAAAAATAATTTTTAATTTTTTGTATAGATAATTTTTACTTTTTTATATAGATAATTTTTACTTTTTTGTATAAATAATTTTTAATTTTTTGTATAGATTATTTTCAATTTTTTGTATACTTGGAAATTTTTACTTTTTTGTATAAATAATTTTGACTGATTTGTATAGATAATTTTTAGTTTTTTGGATAAGAAACTTTTACTTCTTTGTGTAAATAGTTTTTACTTTTTTGTAAAGATAATCTATTTTCTAGATGGGGTCACCTCTACAGGTTACTACGATATGCCACACCCAGAGTTTTTAATCAGGGAAGATAATTTACAATCTTTACATTGCTTCTACAAATAGTTATAAATGTTAAAGCATCATTAAAAAAAGTTAGGACTAAGAAATCAAGATTATATTTATCGAAAAGGACGGTTATCAGAAACGGTTCCGACTTGTTGAAGGTAAATATATTGGAAATCTTCTCTCATCAATCTTATTCTCCGTTTGGACTAAATAAAATTCGCCATTTTGTATTCTTCAGTTAGCCATTTTGAATTCTTCAGTTAGCCATTTTGTATTCTTCAGTTAGCCATTTTGTATTCTTTAGTTAGCCATTTTGTATTCTTTAGTTAGCCATTTTGTATTCTTTAGTTAGCCATTTTGTATTTTCTTCTGTATTTGCTTTCCTCCAATTGAAAAAAATGAATGATCTGAATATCATATTTTGACAAAATAGCTTGTTGAACCTCAGAAAATAACATTGTTAACCATTAATTTAAAACCTCTATAAAATGTCGTCTTCAACTTGAATCTCCTGTCGGATACAGCCAAACCAAATTTTCAGCCCGCAATTCCCTTTGTCCTCCTCCGACGGAGCTTAAAATATTTTCGTTGTTGTGAAATCATTAAAGTTAAGCAAAATATTTTCATAAGAAGCATTAGTGAATTTCGTTAAATATTCAACTGTAATTTTTCAGAAGTTAAAAAAACGTATTTCAATACTGATCAACAATAAGTCACCCCCGACCATCCTTAAATAATTCGTAAGATTTTTTCTACTATTAACATTCATTATAACATTGTACAAGTAACCATGACCTATAATTTATGTTATTTTTTAGGAAATAAAGATTTTGTTATCGAATTTCTGAGACGGGGTTACTCTGTTGTGTGTATTTGTGCGGCCTATCGGGAAAGAATTGTCTGGGGATAATAAACATCCCCCACCAGAATCCTAACCGGCCTATTATCCTGGTTTGTCTAGCGTGTTGCTGTTTTCCGTCAACAAACATATTTTGACAAATTTTATTACACCTTAATCTATAACGTTTTCTAAAGTACATATGTGATTGTGATGCTTACAAAGAGCGTTTAAAGGGAGTTTTTAAAGGGAGTGTTTAAAGGGAGCGTTTAAAGGGAGTGTTTAAAGGGAGTGTTTAAAGGTAGTGCTTAAAGGGAATTAAAGTGACGGAGTGGCATGTCCGATTCACAACGGTACCCTGTAAACCTTTATCTAATTAGCAATGGGGAACAAAGTTTTGTTTTTATCTTAAAAGTGTCTAATTCAATAATGTACTACATTGTTTCTGTAACCTAAATCCGCAAGTTACTGCATAGAGAAACCAAAAAAAGATTTACATTTAAGTTATTATTGATCAGACAAAGGTTTTCATCGGATATTGCGGGTGTAAATAGAACATGATACTCAAAAATTGAGTTTTACTTAAAATCATAATCAAATCAAAATATGTATGGCAACTAATTCGTATTGTGTCGCCAGGGTGGCGTGGATATCCAAAGTTTCAAGGAAGATATGGAAGAGAGGTTAACTAGAACCTATAGGCAGGCATACAGGTAATATGGTTTAGAGAAGGAGCTGATTACTTGCCACAAACTCTATTTTTCTAATATTTTTATTCTTGCAACCTTATGCCGTATACCTTTTGTGAACAAACAACATTTTTGACAACAAAAGAAATTTTCGTGAACGATGGTGTCGTTCACGAAAGAAGAAACGATAGAAAAACGACTTTTATCGTTCAGAGAAATGAAAAACGATCGTTTTTAAAAACAAACGTAAGAAAAAACAAAAACTAACGATTTAAAATCATTTTGAGAAAACTTTTTTAAAAAAAACTTTAGCTTTTATTACTATCTTTACGAACGATTTTATTGTTCAGTGAGAAAACGAACAAAATAAATGGAAAACGAACGATTATTTTTAGTACAAACGAAATAACATTTCTTTTAACGATTGAAAAAAACGAACGAAATATTTACAAACGATGAACGAACGAAATGAAAAAAGCCAAACGCACCCATCTCTAGTTACATATACCTATAACATTTCTAGATGAAATAGTAAAAGTTTGCAAAAACAAAACATTAGTTTTAATTTTTGCAGTACACTGACATATTGTTTGTTTGCAGTACGTTAGAGAGAAGAAGACGATCAATCCATTTCCGGGAAAAAAGGTAAATTATTTGCTCATCAGTAATTCAACCGTTTTTATTATTAGGATACCTATTATTTGTGCTACAGATCATTATGATATGATATGGTATGATATGATCTTAATGTTCGTTGATCAATTGTTTAAATTATTATCTTTGGTTTGATTAATAACTGATATATTCATATTCATATTCGATGATGTTATGTCATTAATTTTATGGTTTAGTTATCATTGTTATTATGAATATAATCTTTGCTGATGTTATCATAATGACTATTTTCTTTACTGTCAATAACATTACTATGATTTGTATTATTGTGTTTGTGTAATTATTATGATTATTATATATGATAATATTATTATCATGATTATAATCTTTAATGTTATCACTTTTATGAACATTATCAATGCTGGGGTTTAAATTATGATTATTATCATTGCTGATATAATTAATATTCGGTTATTATCATCAGAAAAAGGAAAAAATTATATTTATATACTTCTTTTGGGCAAAAATCTTGTTTTTATTACTTTCATTTTATTAATAAACATAATTGTATTATTATTAGTAGTACTGTCTTTATCATTTATATTATAATTCATCGTCATTTAATAATTAGATCAGATGCAGAGAAGGTTCGTGTCAGAATTCATAACATCCGGTCTGCACTTCCGGAACCGGAAATTGAAATACTGTACACAGTTTATGAAAATGGTAAGTCAAGATGTTGACAAGATGTGAAAGCATAAATACAAACTTACTTATAAGTCTATAATGTTTGAAAATGTTATCCCGGCGAATATTTTTTATAGATATTACTAGCTGAAGAGCCCGGCGTTGCCCGTGGGGAAAATTTTTTTTGAAGAAATATAATTTTGAATTTTTTTTAGCCTATGACATTCCCGGTCACCCATGAGTGTCTACAAAAAAAAAAAGCACATTCGGTCCAGCCGTTTGGCCGGTCAGAGGGAACATATATATATGAATGTCTTATTTTATTATTTACATAGATAAATAATAATAAGAATCCAGCTAAATAAACACGATCAGTTTTTAAACATCGGAATTAAACTAATTTTACTGTTTTGATCTCATTTCCGACCATTTAATCAATTTGATTATATTCATGTCAAATCACATTGCTGAGTTTTTAACCATTTGATTTAAAATATTTTGCCTATTATTTTACCGTTTTTAATTCACCATTTTTTAATTAATTAAAATTAATTGATCAGTGTGGCCGAATTTAAAGAATTTAAGTCGCTGCTTAAATCTGCCAAAACTTGGTTTAAATAGAGCGCCGGTTTAAATCTTGAAACATTTGATACAATTTTAAGTGAAACCAACCATAATTAATCCGCGGCTCAAATTCTTTAAATTCGGCCTCATATTTTTATGAATTTTAACCGATTGAGTAATTTAACGGAGAATTTGAGAGTTTCTCAAAATTAAACTTTAAGAATTATATTCAATTTTATAGAAATAAGATTTATGAGAATTTGATAGTATTGAATTACATTTATGAGAAAGTAAGGTAAAAAATGGCTATAAATGAAGGAAAATGTATTCATTCCCGAAACATTTTGTTTGGTTTTTTATCTGAAAAGAATAATTATTTTTGTGCCAAACACAGACTCTTGTTTTTGTAAATATAGCAAACTCTTTATGTTTCTGTAATTATAATGTGATTTATCATAGACGTTTATTTTTGACTCAAAGAAGTTCGTAGTAAGATTTTGATTCTACTGGAGACCACCGGAGGGATTTTATTTTCACTGGAGGGGTTTCAAAAAATGCTTTTTATAATTTAAAACTTTACGCAGGGTGATTTACATTCCACTGGAGGGATTCAGATGTCCTTCCTGGTGGTTTATAATTCCACTGGAGGGATTCAGATAGCCTTCCTGGGGGGTTATAATTCCACTGGAGGGATTCATTTATCCATCCAAGGGGTTTATAATTCCACTGGAGGGATTCAGATATCCTTCCTGGGGGGTTATAATTCCACTGGAGGGATTCAGTTATCCTTCCTAGGGGTTTATAATTCGATTATATCAATATAATGAAGGCGACTTGTTTATGTTTAGATTGTTTAACTAGGGGTTTATAATTCCACTGGAGGGATTCAGATATCTTTCTGGGGGATTTATAATTCAATTGAAGGAATTCAGATATATATCTAGGGGGTTTAAAATTTCACTGGAGAGATTCAGGAAAGATATCTGAATCCCTCCAGTGGAATTATAAACCCCTTGTAAGGATAACTGAATCCCTCCAGTGGAATTATAAACCACCAGGAAGGATATCTGAATCCCTCCAGTGGAATTATAAACCCCTAGGAAAGATATCTGAATCCCTCCAGTGGAATTATAAACCCCCAGGAAGAATATCTGAATCCCTCCAGTGGAATTATAAACCCCTTGGAAGGATAACTGAATCCCTCCAGTGGCATTATAACCCCCCAGGAAGGACATCTGAATCCCTCCATTGGAATGTAAATCACCCTGCGTAAAGTTTTGAATTGTAAAAAGCATTTTTTCAAACCCCTCCAGTGTAAAAGAATTCCCTCTGGTGGTCTCCAGTGGAGTCAAAATCTTACTACAAACTTCCGTGACTCTTTATTTTTTAATAATCAATAAAAAAGGTGAAAATGATTAAAAAAATTTAATTTAATGTTATTTTTACTTGATCGCACTTTAGACGAGCAACCTGTTCTTGCAGCTGAAGCTGTTAAGCGTGTTGATGCTAATGTTGACAATGATGACGCTGTTCTCCTGCTTGGACATCCACTCAAGATTAAGGCTGAACGTAAGAGGAAAATTTATCAATTAAAGGGACTGTCTGTGTAATTTCAAGTAGTCCAACGTGAGCATGAAATGCACGATTTACCCTTCTTAAGAACCTTCTTTGAAGGACAGATAATTATATCTCTCAAAAAGTGTTTATATATATGCCGTACAACCCCCGTACAGTGTGAACTTAACACACTCGATGATAATTGTATTCCTCGAAAATATAGAATATTTTAGGTGCAAAGCGGTTTTCAACAATTCCAAAGTAAAAATATTTTTTATACGACATCTAGAAACTAAATACAATATAAAAATATATTTTATACGACATCTAGAAACTAAATACTAACATAAAAATATATTTTATACGACATCTAGAAACTAAATACTTATATAAAAATATATTTTATAGAAACTAAATACTAATATTTCTGACAAGGTTTTATGTTATAGTAAGTTAGTCCGACATCTATAGGTTAAAGGGAACTATTGTTAATCAATTATGTCACTCTAAAAAAGCTTGGCCACTTGAAATTACACCTTTAGTCCCTTAAAAAGGAAACTCAAAAATCCGTAAAAATATTGTTTTATTAATATACTTTAACCTTATCAAGGTAGACCTTTTGATGATTAAAGCAGAAAAACTTTTAACATCTTTTTTGTGAAAGTATGCCATTTTTGTACAAACCTAACACAATTCTAATATTTTATTGAAACTCTTTTTTTAGCCTACATGAAAAAGTTTGAGGTTGCTTCTCCTCGGGCCTCCAAGGATTGGTTGATCGCATCTGTAATTCTAGGTAAAAATATAAAAAATTTAGCAATAATAATGTTTTCAACCCTTTTCTATTTCCAGCTGTATTTCTGGCTCTACTTCTTATTTGGCTCTTGGTCATTGTATACAGACAGTATTGGGTAAGTGATCATAACAATGTCGGTCAAAAGTTTTGTATTTTAAATCTGATTTAATTAAAAAGTTTACCCTGTGAATATCGAGTTTAGTTGATGCTGCTATAAACCAGTATACCATAACTTAACTCAATTACATGGTACCCTTTTAATCTGAGCTAAACTGACAAGGATATTCTTATTTTTTCTATTTTAAATTGATAATTTCCGATAATGGTTTCTTAATTAAAGGGACTTGCAGATTTATGCAGCAGAGGCAAATTAGGAAATAAACACAAATTTTCATTTTTAAAGAAAATTTGACAAATTCTTCCTCAATGTTTCTCTGCAGTGTAGAGGTTATCGTTGTGAACATTCCAGTCCTTGTTCTCCCTTATAAGATGCAAAACCTGATTTTTCTCTAATTTATTCTCCTAAATTCTAGAGAAAGAAACAGAAGCATTCTATCCTTGAATCTATAAGTTCCAATTCTAAAGGGAACTCCCCCAGTGCTCCGAGAAAATCCCCAACTCCTTCACAGGTATAATAGTTAGATAATGTCAAAATCGATTCACAACAGTCCAGGGAATGTCGTGGATTTTGAAAAGGGGCAAACCGTAAAAGTCAAAACTTACTTTGATAGAAACTTTGTATGCTCTAACTTTCAGGATTGCACACGTCTATATATATTGGAACTGATGATAACTGAACTTCTATATTTAAACACAAGAATTTTGCTAGATTTACAATTCAAATTTTAAACTGCTAAAAATTTACACCATTAGATATACTTGTTTGAAAATTAGAGTTTTGATGCCCGTGATCAAATCCTTTATAAACTCTGATCGATATGATGCAACTATTGGAGGGGTTGAACTATGGAACCCACTTTTTTTTGGAAACACCCCTCAGAATAATATTCATCTTAAATCTAAAACAGTCAATAAATTTTGAATATTTGATTTCAGTTTGTAGAAGGGGGCGGGTTTACCCTGGACCGCCCTAGACCCCAAACCAACTTAATCCTTGAGACCTCAGATCCGTTCAATGAGCACCATCAGAAATCCGGGTAACTTTTTGTTTTAAAAAATCCCCGAAGAAAAAGAAATAATCTTTAGTACAGTGGTCGGCGTTTATATCAATACAATGAGGAAGAATTTTATAATTAAGTTTTGATTTCTAACAACTGTTTTTTTTCAAATTTTTAACAAAGAATACAGTTGTTTATTGACAGCTTTATTTGTTTTTATGTTTTTGTGTTTTCATAGTGCATAAATTAGCTCGTTAGAAATTAAGATCGAAATCCAACGTCGTCTTCCTTGTATTAATATATACGACAACAACTGTATTTCTTAACTTTTTAGGATATCCACTGAAAATATCACAAAAGGAAGAGTCCGGCTGGCTTCCTACGAAAGTGATGAAAGGTTAACATTGATTCTATTTTTTTATTTCATGGGGGGGGGGGTCCTGAAGTTTAACAAATCTGTAAAAAGAAAGCTTTCTAAATTTGTTTATCTGACCTTTTTTGTTAAGTTGTTTGTAGGAACTAAAATCTTATTAATGGGAGTGGCTGGCGAGGTATGATGGTTTAGCTAAGAGTGCAGTTTTATAGAGAACATTGTTTTGGATTTGACACCAATAAAACGTTTTTACGGTGTATAATTGATAATTAAAAATCACGGGGATGATCCATTTTGTAGGCTTGCTCTCAAGAAGCCATTCTCTCCCTTTGAGATGTTATAATAGTAATACCTACCATCTAATTATGTATATTTATGAAGAGGAAATAAGAGTGATGGTGAGGGGATGGCAGATCACAGCTCTAATAATACACCAGACCCAGGTTAAATATATAGAGGTTTACACCAGACCCAGGTTAAATATATTGAGGTTTACACCAGACCCAGGTTAAATATATTGAGGTTTACACCAGACCCAGTTTGAATATATTGAGGTTTACACCAGACCCAAGTAAATATATTGAGGTTTACACCAGAACCAGGTTAAATATATTGAGGTTTACACAATACCCAGGTAACTATATTGCATGATGTTTACACCAGACCTAGGTTAAAAATATTGAGGTTTACACCAGACCCAGGCTAAATATATTGAGGTTTACACCAGACCCAGGTTAAATATATTGAGGTTTACACCAGACCCAGGTTAAATATATTAAGGTTTACACCAGACCCAGGTTAAGTATATTGAGGTTTATACCAGACCCAGGTTAAATATATTGAGGTTTACAACAGACTCAGGTTAAATATATTGAGGTTTACACAAGACCCATAAAATATATTGAGGTTTACACCAGACCCATAAAATATATTGAGGTTTACACCAGACCCAGGTTAAATATATTGAGGTTTACACCAGACTCAGGTTAAATATATTGAGGTTTACACCAGACCCATAAAATATAAAGGAAGTAAGAAAGAAAAGAAAGAAAATGTTGTTTTCCGATTTCTAAGGAAAGCTATTGTATGGAATAATATCAAAACTATACTACACAGTCTCAAGGAAAAAAAATATTATCATTTTATAGATTTATTGCAGAATTATAGAAATTTTATAAAAAGTAATTGCAAAATTTAATAATTAAATTAAAAAGTTATGAAAATTGTAAAAAAAGATTAGAAAAGAAAATAAGGAGAAAAAAATTAAATAAAAAAATTTGGGGAGAAAGAACAAATAATAAATGAAAGGCTAGAGGACGGAACTAAATAAGCAAGAGAAGTGATGTTAAAAAAGGAAGTTTAGAAGGAAAAAAGCTTAGTTTTAGTCATACATATGTAGAAAAAATCTAGAAAATAATTGAAACAGAAGGGGCCTCAAAAGTATAAAAAAGAATGCAAAAAAAAAAATAATGAACTTGCAGGAAAGAGAAATAAGAAAGGAGGGAAGAAAAGGGAAAAAAGAAGAAGAAAAGGAGGAGGATTGAGCACCTCGGAAGAAGAATATTCAGATTCAGCATTTCCGGTCAAAACTCCGGAAAATCTCAAGGTTTATAATTTTCCTTAATCAAATCAAATTAAAGAATTAAAAAACATTGAAATTTGACCAAGTTAGATAAAAACAAACACTTATTTTGACTACTTGATGAAAATTTTTTGAGAAAAATCGATTTTTGACCTTTATTTGCCCAATTTTCAATATTTTTCAATTCTGTAAATTGTTTTGAACTCTGGTTTTCAAGTCGGTTCTACGAATAACCATGAAAATAAATTTTAAAAGTTTTCATTTTTATTAACACAACTGATTTTTTTCCACAAATTTAATCATTAAACACATTTTAGGGGCCCATCTTAAAATTCCAAATAAAATATCATTTTGCCCCAGTAAAATGGATTCAGACAAATTTCTCACCCCCTATTGTATACCTTCAAAAGTGACAAAAAATATATAAAAATATCCTTCTTTCTATCTAGTTTTCAATCATGCAATTTATTTATTTATCACTTTATTTGGATATATATAAATCTATTTTTTACTATCTATTTATCTATCTATCTATCGATCAATCTATCTATCCCTCCCAGGTACTAGATGACCTGTTAGAGGAGGATCTGCCCCTGCCTGGAGAAAGTGGGCGTGGCAACCTTCATCCAGGAAATCCAGGTTGGGCGTACCTTCCAGATTCACCAGGTTTTATATTTATATTTTTCTTCTTTAAATCATTCTTTTTATACATTTTACTATTCATTTATTTTTGGTAAAGATTTGAACTGGGAGGAGACAGCAAGAAGAGTCCAAGAGGAGGCTAGAAAATATGAGGTTATTCATCATTAACTATTAAAAATTTTAACTTTTAACTTTTTCTGTTAACATAGAATACAATTTTAAGTGATACCAACCATATTTGAGCCGTGTCTCAAATTTAAGCCGCGGCTTCCGCTCCGGTATTTTTAATTTTATTTTTACGGTTTATAAACCATGGCATCCCTGTTTATTATTAAATTATCTTTCTATTATTTTATATCTATCTATCTATCTATCTATCTATCTATCTATCTATATATCTATCTATCTATCTATCTATCTATCTATCTATCTATCTATCTATCTATCTATCTATCTACCTATCTATCTAGAGCCGAGGAAATGGTTCCGTCTAGGCCTTGGTCTGCTACGGAACCTCGATGGAACGCTGACAGGATGTTCCATGTGAAGAAGAAGGGCTGGGAAGGATTGGCCAGGAACACAAAATAACTAATTAATAAATCCAAAAAGTAGAAAAAATTTACATTTATTTTTATTGTTTTCAAGATTGATGTTTACTAGCTAAATTGCCGGCGCTGCCCGCGTGTCTCATAGTTACTCCAGCCATTTACCCGCGCTTTTTCTTAAATCATGATTTTTGCACTGCCTTGAGTAGCTAGTGAAATGTTTAAACATTCCATAATTTTTAAAGCCTATGTCAACCCCTGGTACCCATGGGATTCCTGCAGAAAAAAATGCAAGCTTATTTGGTTCAGCCGTTCGGCCAGCTTTTGCGAACATAGAAATGAGCGAATCGAGCTTTATTTTAAAGATTATTTTTATTCTGTCTGGTTCAGAGGGAAGAAAAATCTACACCATGGACAGCTTCTACCAGGTTTCATAATATACTTGTATTAAAGTGGCTGTATATATAGAGATTTATATAGAGATGTATATAGAGATGTATATAGAGATGTATATAGAGATGTATATAGAGATGTATATAGAGATGTATATAGAGATGTACAGTATATAGAGATGTATATAGAGATGTATATAGAGATGGAGTGTTGACACTTTTTTAAAATACGATCGTTTCGTTTTAAAAACGACGAAGAAGAAAACGAAAAAATCGTTTTAATCAACGAATTTTTTCGTTTTTTAAAAACGATCGTTTTTAAAAACAATAGTTTTTGAAAACGACCCTATATTGACGACCGTTAACGACGACCTTTCGTTAATGACCGTTCACAACGACACTTCGTTAACAATTGCTAAATAAAGAGAAAATACATTTTTAGTTTGGAATACATTCAGGTTATTTGACTTGATAAAAAACCATTTAAGACAGCATTTATAACCTTATCTTCATGAAAAAAAAATTTATTATCATAAAACTCAGATTCATCACAGAATATTTTTTCAATAACGATCGTAAAAAACCGATGCGTTTTCAAAAACTTTTTTTATTTTTTGAAAGTTCATAACGAGTGGTTATTTTTCAAATACAATAGTTTTTTATCTAAAAATGAAACGATAGTTTACAGAGAAAAAAATAATAAAGAAACGAAAAACTATATTTTTTATTGTTTTTAAAAACGATTAACAACCCTAGCATTTGTAGAGTGGAATATCCGATTCACGACGAAATCATAAATTTAAAAATATCTTAATAAAATGTGTACTAAAATCGACAAAAAATCGAAAATAAAAAAAACAAAACATTTTTGCTTGTTTATGTCTCTGGTTTGACAATATTTAAATGTATTGATCAAGATAAGAAGTTAAGAACCCATTTTCAAGAATAAAGGGGGTAAATCTTTTTTCAAACGTTTTTCTTTAGGGTTTAACCCTGTCGCACCAATAGAGGCTATTATTGGTATAACTATAGAAAGCCGGGAGTTTAATGCCCAACCCCCCCCCCCAAAAAAAAAAAATAATAAAAACGTAATGAAATAACAAAATTAAACATTTCTCGTGTACAACTATACAGGTTTCAGACGAATCAATCAATGCTGAATCCAAATATGGGATTCCAGTTTTTCTGAACCTCACCATGCATTTCTCCATCGATGGAAGATACAGTATGGGAACCCACATATCTTTGTTTGTTAAGGTTCTGGGAGAAATAAAAACTAAACGTTGTCTGTTATTACAGAGTTAGGTAATCCCACAAAGGATAAGACTGTAAAGACGATCTGAAACTCATCAAATATGATGATTCCAAGGTTAAATTAAGTCTTCTGCCTTGAATATATTTGTTCAATGGCGTATTTGATGATTTGGCAAAGAATGCAACAAGTTTACAGTTGCACGTAATTGTGAATTCACAAGGAAACAAACAGTATAAATTCCGTACAATCGTCTCTGAAGTCTCATCCTTTGTGGGTAACCCTGTATTCCTTCTAGAAACTGAATTGTATTTTTAATGTCAACAAAGGTGTATATCATCCTTGCTTTGTGCGACTTCGAAAGGGTAATATTTGTCTTTTTCGCTGATTTGCTCCAAATATTAATCTGCAGGTAGTACAGAAAGTGAAGGTGAAGGACCACCACGAGGTCGAGTAGCCTGCTGGAGTGAAGGGAACAGTCCCAGGAGGTCAGAACTTTAAACTAAACTAATATAAAAGAGACGGTCAACATAATTGAAAGCGACCCAACCATTCACGATTCACCTAGATTTTATATTTTTATCTGAGTAATAGTTAAAGAAAGGTATTGTCGGTTTACTAGCTTGCCAAGAGATTTTTTCCAAAGCAAGTCATATGTTCATATTTGTAAATCTTTTTATAATATGCTCTTTGTAAATACCGTCCACAGTTTAGCCCCAAGATTAAAAATTTACTAAAATTATTTGTAAAAAAATCCGGGAACCAATAGTTTTTTTTCACCCTGTCATAAAATACAGAAAGTTAGAAATTTAGCTGTAGTGGTTGCTTTATAGAAATGCTATAAAGAAATTGACCATGAAATGAGCCTGAATGATAAAGTGCCTAAATAGTTTTATAAAAATATATTTATCCCTAGATGTGAGGATGAAGTTGCAGAAGAGCCTGCTCCGTTGATTAAAGCTATCAGGTGAAAATCAAAACCATTTAAAGGGATATTAAATATGATTTCAAGTGATCCTCCTTGCAAAGATGGCAATGCCCGATTTATTCACATAAACGAACCTAAAACATGTATCAGGTCAATAATATGGAAGATATTGTCTTTTCTCTAGGTTTGAAATTATTTATTTCGGATAATTCTATATATTTCCTCGAGTTTAGATCAGGTTTAAATGCGCAAGTCACTTTTGTAGAGAAAGCTCAATGTCAATGAAATAATGTTCAAAATTATAAACATTCATACCTAATTCATACTTGATCAGACAAATACTTTTAAGGATACCATTGCCATCTTTGCATGTAGAATCACTTGAAATTACGCGTACAATCTCTTTATTTAGTAAATAATAGTATGTTATACTCATGGGAATTAAGCGACGACTATTCTTTTTGTTCTTAGCAAAATGTACTAATAAATCTAATTAATAAAATTGAAAACTCAAAAAACATTGATTTCCACATTTCCTTCAAATTAAAAAAATGTGATTCTGTTATTCCGCAATTTTACATTAATTGCTGAGATATATTTATTTACTTCATACAAAAACCAAAAGAGTCAAAATTTCTAAAATCTTTGTTATTTTCCTGAGGAAAAAATAGGTGGGCATCATTTTGTAAAGCCCAGGGGTTGTAAATCTGTTTTTTTTGTACAAAAGGAACTGAACGCTTTTCATAAATTATAATTTAAAATCCCTATATACATACATTGGGGTAATGGTGTACACCTCTGATATTTCAAACTAAGAATATTTGATTTAACAGAATTCATATTTTAAAATATCAAAGGTCTGCGATATCAGAGATAAGATTTTAAAAGTTCAAACCCGAGTAAAACCCAAACTCGGGCTTAGATAGAACCCAAGTCAGGATTGGTTCTGATTCGACCAATGGGAGACTGTTTTTCATCTGTGGCAAGGAGATGTAAATTTCGAAAATTCAAACTTTATGTAGATACATTATTTTCATAGTGTGTTTATTTTATATAATTAACAAAATTTGACACCACAATTAATTCCCGAGTTTTTGAATGTACAAATATGTAAGATTTTACGAAATCTACGATCATCAGCTGCTGAAGACTCAAGCCTTAAAGAGAGAAAAACCCAAGATGGTTGGTTCTTACTAACTCAAGGCCATCCAAAACCCGGGTCTTGACTTGAGCTTTACTAGGGTCTAAGCAGACGCAAAGACCAGGTTTTACTTTGGTTTAAGCTTTAAAATCTTATCTCTGGGTTAGATAGATAGAAATAGGAAAAATTTGAATTTGTGGAAAATACTAAATTTCTTTGTCATTTGATCAAAGGTTAAATCCTTGTTATTAATTCCCATGTTAATATTATGATAACGAACAATTGGTCCAAAACCTGTAAACTTTCTCTTTTCAGTAAGAAAATATGTTTTTATATGTGCAAAGTAGCAGAAAAAAATATGTTTTTTTCTTTTGCCTACTTTCTTTATTATCATTTTTCTAGGAGTGAGTTGCAGAGATTTCAACGTAGGACTCCAGGTTCCAATACTGGTATTCTCATATTCAACGAACCGGATAATACTAGTGGACAGTAACTAACTGGATAATACTGGACAGTAATGAACCGGATAATACTGAACAGTGATGAACCGGAAAATACTGAACAGTAATGAACCGGATAATACTGGACAGTAATGAACCGGATACTACTGAACAGTAATGAACCGGATAATACTGGACAGTAATGAACTGGTTAATACCGGACGGTAATGAACCAGATACTACTGGACAGTAATGAACCCGATAATACTGGACAGCAATGAACCGGATAGTACTTGAAAGTAATGAAATGGAATGAAACGGATATAAATGGACAGTAATGAACCGGAGAATACTGTAATGTTATGAACCGGATAATACCAGACTGTAATTAACCGGATAATACTGGATAGTAATTAACCGGATAATACTGGATAGTAATGAACCGGATAATACTGGACAGTAATGAACCGGATAAAACTTACAGCAAGGATTGGATAGCTCTATCTATGTTCTCGATTTTCTCCTACAAAAAAGTGTCCCGTAAAAAGGAACAAATTTCCAACATTATGTAAAAATCAAAATTGCTTTTTGTATATAACGCGAAAATAATTGATATTTGCACTAAATTGTGAGCAAACACAAGACGACATTTCAAGTAGATGTAGTTTATTATTAAGAGTAGATATTTGTATTGAATTTACAAATTTCTTTGCAGAATTCTTGATAAATTCTGATTATGCTAAAACATATTTTGACTTTTATTGCTTGATATCATGGTTTTTAACCCAAGAATTAACGCGAGATGCAGAATAAACATTGTATCTCTATTTTAATCAATTCATAAAACAATGATCAAATAAATACAGGGTGTCCCAAAAAACATGGGAATTCAGTGACGAATAGTATATCGTCTTTGTTATGAATTAGCATTGTAATACCTAATTTCAAAAGCCATAATATTATTATGTCTGCTAGAGTTTATTTTATGAAAAGGGTAAAAGACTGTAAAAATGTGTCTATAATGTCTCTGCAAGATGAACAGTGAAGACTGACAAGTTTACTCTGTTTGTATACTGCAATTTTCTTGTTTTACTAAGTACAACCGTATGCAGTCAAAACATAAACAAACAAATTGTAAACATAGCAGACGAAACTCTTACAGATTAAAGCTTTCTCAGTTGGTATCACTATACTTAATCAAAGAATTATTTAAAAAGACGATATCGAATTCGTCACTGAATTCCAATGTTTTTTGGGACACCCTGTAGAGCACATACAATGTTACAGGATTATCCGGCTAATTATGAGGTTTTATTAACAATACTCTGAAATTATCTTTATATTTTGACTTGCAAATATTAAATTGCCAATTGTCAATTACTTTAAAAGTGAATTGGCAACGAAATAACCCAACAAAAAAAGGTGTCATAAAATTGACCACCGGAAGTTGACTATTTGTCAACTTTTACATCGACTTTTTTCTTGATTAGTCTTACCTTAGACCACATTTTACCAGATACTTAGAAATAGCTAAAAATAGCAAAAACTAGAATTAAAGATGTGATCAGACCTGGTCTTAAAAACGACATGAATTTGCCTGCATAAAGTCGTGAAATCGAAACTATAGTTTCAGCTATTCAGTTCTATATTCGCAGGGATATATACACTTGTTTACATGATTGTAAAAGTGAATTCCGTACAGCTTCGTTTATAAAGCTCATCTTTAGTTGTTAACCCTGTATATACATGCGCATCTAGTTTACAAGTACTTAACATTTTTATGACACTATGATTTCATTATGCACAATGTTGTTTTTCTTGTTTTATGGAAAGAGTGACAAAAATGATGTCAAAATAAGATTTGAAATGTGCAAACTTCACCAAACTAAAACTGTTAAATGTTATGTACTGAATTTGCATGACGCTACAACGATATAGCTGCATCTGCATCTTTGGAATTTTAATAATGTAATTTTGCAAAATATTTACCAATGGAATATGGTTTCAAAATTTGTCTAAAATGGTTTGAACCAAATATTAAAAAAGACATCGTACAAACTTTCTTCAAAAATGAAATGTTCTTGAATATTTGTTATCAGGCTCTAAATGCTCTGTAAAATAATGCTTCCCTTTCAGAGGCAAATGCCTTTATTTCTTCCAAAAGATTGCTACAATTAAAATAGTCTTCCGTCAAATATTTCATGTTTTAGTTTCCACTTTAAAAAAAATATGCGATTGTCGTGAAAACAGTTTAGTTTTTAAACACGTCCTGAATTTAAAATGTATCTTCATTTTTGCAAAATTAAAACAAATAAAAACGGGGTTTATATTTACCTAGAAAAGTAGTAAAAATTGCTGCAATAACATCACAATGAAAATAATTCTTTTACAGCTTCCGTTATCGTAAACTTTATAGATTAATCAACAATATCAGATAGAACACTAAATGTCGTCTTTTTAAGATTCAGGGGTTTTTCGTTCACAATAACCCTGAGGAATTCCGCGCAGGAAGCGTATGCTCTCTCTCTGTCTTTTAAGTCAACGCTGCCTACGCGGAACTCCTTTGGGCTTCTGCCTCATGGTTGTTGGGAACGAAAAATCCCTAAATCTTGAAAAGACGACATCTAGTGTCTTATCTGTCATTGATAATTAATCTATGGTAAGTTTTATTTACAGATCTTTACTTTAAAACACGATTGTCTAATTATTGTAAAATTATCATGATATGTATAAGTTGCTCATATTTACTTTTGTGATTTCAAATTACCGAATATAACGGATAATCCTCTCATCACAAATGTCGTCATCGTAAATTCATTTTTTGCTTTAACTTTTGCATGTACTTAATAAACTGTCTGCTTTGTAAAAAATGAAAATAAATTAAAAATCTACATGACCGGAGTTAAATCCAAATCTTTTATTACAATTATTGAAAAGATACAATTTCTAAAAATCGGTTTTGTTCAAATTCAATGTTGGTCTCTCACAGATGTACCTAGATAAAAAGTATTTTTTTTTTTTTATTTTTTGAAATATTTCCTTTCTTATTTACAATGAAATTTTGTTTGTTTGTTATGCTTATAGCCTCACAGCCCAAAGGTAATATTTGATTAATATCAAGAAGTAGTTTAACTACAGTTAAACCCTAAATAAGCAATACATCGAAAGAATTCATCAAATTTCGTTTTCTTTACTTTCTGATAATGGAATGTTGCAGATATTTAGTTTTTTTATTGAATGATTATATGGCGCTCTCTAAAACTGTTCCTGCATATTCTGGCTATTTAAATTTATTTTTGCAAATACTGAGATTTACGTAAAATACTATAAAACCCATTGAAAAATTGTCAAGACGACATTTGATAAAATCTTTTGATATATGGCAAATTTAGGGTTTAACTGTAGGTAGTTAAATCCTAACCTAATTCTACTACTTCTTACAATTCATTAAATCCTGCTTAAGTACAATTTTAAAACTAAGTATTTTGTTTTGAAATATCTAATCAGATTTTTAAAATTCTTTTTCAGATCCCAACATCAGTACAGTGAGACCCGGAAAAAAATGTTCAAAAGGAAAAAATCTGTTAGTTAGACGACTTTTAGTTGAAATTTGGAATAGTTCAATGAACATGAATTTGTTTAGCGTTTTTTGATTAGTTGTTTTCAAGCTATACTGTTAAAACTATTTGCTTTATAACAACATTAAATCATCAAACGCAAATAAGATTGTTAAAATGTTCCAGAGTTTTATGGGTCCCGCTGTAGTATGCTTTAAAAACCATCAGGAATTAAAGACTAATTTAAAGTCGTCTTTGATTTTTATATTTCTTGGGACATTTTGTATTTTAGTTTTTCTGTGACTAACCTGGCCACATTTTCACATCCCCAGTCGTTCCACCCGTAAAATCCAAATCCAAAAATATCCTGAAAAAACCGTTTATATCATTTTTATTGTTGTCATTATTTATATAATATTATTATTTTTACTGTTGGAATTAGTATTTTCGTTATGATTATTATTATTATTATTTATTATAATTATTATTATTATTGATATATATTGATATTGATATTGATATTATTTGATCCAGTCTTGTAAATGTGTCCAACTTTTCATAGTTGATCTATTTTTTAAGGATCAGGCTAAACGACTGCTAAGACAGCTTGGAACCTCCAATATGTCCTGGGATAAGATGGAGGAGAAGGAGGCTAGTATTATGCTGCAGATCATTCAGGTATACTGTTAATTCATGGGCGACCCCCCCCCCCTCCCAGTAGGGGGCCGAATTACCTCCTTTTATCTATTTAGGGGGAGGGCTCGTCCCCAAAGCCCCCCAGCCTCCGCAATCCGCATACGCCCCAGTCTGATCTAATCTGTCTGATTAAGGAGGTAGAAAATATTCCTCCGTTTGTGAAGAGAATGCTAGAATTCTTCCTCTCCACAGATAGGCGGCAAAGGTTGGGTTTTTAATTTATATCTTGTCATATTTTTTATCACACAGAGAGAACCAGAAACAGTTGGAATTCTCGTCGTACTAATGTGAAATGTCGCAATGGATTTCGTTGTTTGCCACTGAACTAATTATGAAAAGTGACTTGAACATGATATTTGCAACAATTACAAAATCCTTAGCTTCTCGGGTAAAAGAAAGAACAAAGGCGGCATTAATTTAACATTTTACGGTGCTCACATACAGGCAGGGGCGTACGAGGGCTTTCGTTTAGGGGGGAGTACGCCCCTGCATACAGGGTGTCCCACGAAACATGACAGTTGGTGTATAGTTTTGAATCTCTTCTTCCACATACTGTATTAGATATTAAAGACTTTTTGCAGTTTATTTCTTTAAATAAATGTTAAACTCATATATACTTTACTGTGAAATCAATTCTACTATAATATAACTGTCATATAAAAAATGTTATTAGTCGCTTTAGTATCAAACAACTTATCAAATTATGGAAGAAGACATTTTAAACTATTCACCAACTGTCATGTTTCGTGGGACATCCTATAGTTTAATTGAATAATAATGGAACCAAAGTTGGCCATTTAAAAGATATAAATTAGGTTCAATCTTTATCTTAACAATGAAATATATTCTAAATCTTAGGTTGGTGTACAGAGAAGCATACGTTCAGACTGCCCTGTCTGGCGAATAGCTGGTCCAGAACCTTCCAGACTTCGATTATCAGTATTATTTTTTAGCTCTTCAAAGCATTATTGTTTTCAATTCTAAAATCTTAAAGATTTTAAATATCCGTATTATTTCTCTGTAGCTCTTCAAGATTGAAATTGTATTCTATTCTACAATATTCAAGATTATAATTATCCGTATTATTGTACTGTAGTTCTTCAAGATATAATTGTATTCTATTCTAAAATCTTCAAGATTATAATTTTCCGTATTATTTCTCTGTAGCTCTTCAAGATATGATTGTATTCTATTCAAAAATCTTCAAGATCATAATTATCCGTATTATTTCTCATTAACTCTTTAAGATATTCAATTCTAAAATCTTTGGTTAGCAGTATTAATTCTTTTGTATTCAATACAGATTTTGATTTTCGGTATTATCAAAGACTTTTTGTAATCAATTCGGATTTCAAGAAATGTAAAGATTTGATTTTGAATATTTTGACTCCAAATCTAGTAACTCTATGGGCTTAGCTTTTTCCTGTACTTACTTGGATTATCAGTAATACATAGCTACCAAACCAAACCAAACCAAAAATGGTTGCAATATGAAAATGTAACCAACTCAAATTGATATATCCGATAAGCTTTATTGAAACTAAAAATTACTACCTTATGAAATCGATCCTATTACACAATACTAGATACTGTGAAGTTTAAACACCTAGGTTGTCAAACGTACCATGAAATATTCTTTATTTTTAATGAAATCAGGTTTAAATGTTGTTATACATATATCTGCTATGAAATTTACAGACTTAATCTGCAATGAATTTGAGAAAAATGAGAAAAATTATTTCTTCTCAAAGTTAGTGCCTTCCAGTCTTATATTACAGATATGAAATGTCTCATCTTTGTTTTCTATGAATTGATTTTGAAAATAACTGTATAATGTTTATCGTGCATAAAAGATTAGGCTCGATAAATTGAATGTATGGAATACGAAATTTACATAAATGTAAAATATGTAAGCTGTAAAATGTACAGATAGTTAGTTTGTATATTTTCAGAAACATAACTCTTTTCCGTCCGACCAATTGTGTTCATATTTTTTGATTATTTGTATGTTTTTTTTCAGATTTGTAGAATATTAGAAAAACACCAGCAATGAATATTAATAATGTTTTGTGTTTTCATGATCAACCCGGAGTACGACGACGCGGATTGATTCTGACTAAAGGTGATAGAAAGTATTATTAATAGTAATTCTCAATGTATAAATTTAAATTGCTCTACTAGCTAAATCTTGATTCATTAAATCTTCTGCTCTATTGATGTAGGTACCCGGAGTAAAGACGTAAAGCTCCTGCTCAGCTGGTTTAGGTACCCGGAGTAAGAACTTAAATTTCTTGATCTTAACTCAGGTACTCGGATTACGACTTAAAGCTTCTGCTCAGTTGGTTTGGGTACCCGGAGTAAAGACTTGAATCTTCTGCCTAGTTGATTTGGGTTCCCGGAGTAAAGACTTAAAGCTCCTGCTCAGTTGGTTTGGGTACCCTCTACCCGGAATAAAAACATAAATCTGCTCGGTGGGTTTGAGCACCCGGAGTAAAGACTTGAATCTTCTGCCTAGTTGATTTGGGTTCCCGGAGTAAAGACTTAAAGCTCCTGCTCAGTTGGTTTGGGTACCCTCTACCCGGAATAAAAACATAAATCTGCTCGGTGGGTTTGAGCACCCGGAGTAAAAATTGTAAACTCCTGCTCTATTGATTTAGGTACCCGGAGTAAAGACTAAAATCTCCTGCTCGGTTGGTTTGGGCACCCGGAGTAAAAATTGAAAACTCCTGCTCTATTGATTTAGGTACCCGGAGTAAAGACTAAAATCTCTTGCTCGGTTGGTTTGGGAACCCGGAGCAAAGACTGAAAACTTCTGCTCTATTGATTTAGGTACCCGGAGTAAAGACGACCGGGATTCCCGGCACCTTGCAGGTTCTATACTCTACTCAACACTGCGGCAAAATTGAAAGTGTGAGCAAAGAAGAAAACTGCTAAGAATTGTTTTGTTTCTGAGAGAGGAAACTAATTACTAAACTTGTGATTTCAGTCACCCTGACATTACCAAATCTAAACGATTAGTGATGTATTAGTGAAATAAATTAGCTTTTCTATTTTAAAATTGATTGTTTTTTTGTTAGGTATGCCAATTGTCCAATTGTTGACAATTTCTTTTTAAAATAGAACGCAGTTTTCCAGTTATATTGGTTTTCTGTTTTTTTGTTGTTCTTTTTTCACCAAGAGAACTATGTTCAGTCCTAGTTGCTAATTGAAGATTTACCATGTTTCAGGTGGGATGGATACTCAACCCTCTGTAGATTTGGTGGTGGAAGCCATCAAATCTTTATACAACAACCCCAACCATACACTTAAAGAGGAGGCGGGCAGGTATAGTGTTCTTTTGTGGTTGCAATACAAATATTTCCTATTGGTTGCAAAGCTAAAACTAACAAGAAATATCTGTGGTTGCAACCCTTAAAAAAAAAACTTATAAAACTAATGGGTGGTTGTCACTCTAAAACTTTTTATCTATATCGATTGTTTTAACTTATTGGTGATACTTACGTAATTAATATGTTGAGAATTAATGCGGATATTTAAATTTTTTTAAGTTTATAAAAATATTTCAGAGTTTTGTCGGAATTGATTCTCGGGATTGTAGTTAAATGCAAAGTTTAACGGTTTTTTGGGTCTGTCCTAGTGAACTATTTTTGGACCCCGCCCCCCCCCCCCCCCCCCCCCCCCNTTAGGTTAAGACACTTTCCGGGCCGAACGCTGCGGCCACGGGTTAGGTTAGATAAGACACTTTCTGGGCCGAGCGCTGCGGCCACGGGTTAGGTTAAGTTAAGACACTTTCTGTAAGATCCATGTACAAAATTGATAGGAGGGGGGGGGTCCAAAAATCGTTCTCTAGGAATATACCGCTTTTTCAAACTAGACCACGATTTATAGATTGTTGATAAAATGCCATGTGATTATCTACATATAGCGTGTCTCTCCCTTTAAGTTCTAGATTATAACTCTAGAAGTTACTACTTTTAATCTCTAGGTGGTTGCAACAGTACCAGAACTCTGTATATGCTTGGACAGTATCGGATCAACTACTGCAACGTAAACTCGATGTTGAAACTTGTTATTTCGCTGCGCAGACTCTTAGATCAAAAATACAATCAAACTTTAACGAGCTCCCAACAGAGGTTCATGAATCTTTAAGGTACAAATTCTAATATTATTACTATTCAAAACTCAAGAGAGAAACTGATTCTTCTGTGGAGGCTGATATTTTATAAGAAAAACACTTTCCATACCTCAATACAAGATTATTGTGCAACACTCTCAATTTAACCTGTGCCGTGTGGACAATTATTATAATTTTACATTACATAGACAAACTAAAAACAATTTTACGTGGGGGGGAACAAACAAACAGACAGTCAAGCCAAATTTATATATAGATTTTATTTTTGTAATAAATCGAATAAATTTCAGGAACTCTCTTCTTGAACATCTCCGGGCTATCACTGGAACCACAGATACTGTTATCCGAACCCAGCTATGTCTGGCCATGGCAGACTTGATTCTTCTCATGCCGGAGTGGAAGGAGGCAGTCCCGGAGCTCATGCAGAAGCTGTCTGAGCCTAACCAGATTCTCACCCTCCTCGAGGTCCTTATGCTTCTACCGGAGGAGGTGGATTCAAGACATCTCCGTCTTGGAGCTAATAGGTTAGAAATTCGCGACATTTCATCTTAATTGTTAATTTTTTTAATGATTTTTCTAAAGTTGACAATACTTCCTAAAAATTCTTTTCTCCAACAGTTAAAGCCAGGAATTAAGCTCAAACTTACTGCTTCAAAAAAAAAATCTTTAGAGCATTTATTTTCTGTAGACGACAGGAAGTAAAAGAAGATCTACAGAAATCATCGGCTGCGATGTCCCAACTTCTCCAGTCCTGTCTGAACACTAGTACAGACAATTCTCTCACACTCCAGGTAGGTCTAGACTCTACAAGTACAAGACCATCATTATATTTAATACGAGAATATCGGTTCGTGGATTAAAAACTTTTTCTTACTTTATTTTCAACTAATTACATCTGAATGAAGCCATCAGTATTTTTCTGTAAATATCCCTTTGTGGTAGAGAGTTTTTTAACTGCTTCAAAAAAAAAACTTGATGGTTCTCAGAGAAAATATATTTCGAAATATTAAATATCAATTCTATACAAATCAACCATATTATTTTATGACATAAAGATAAGAAAAAGTATTTTTCACGTTTATTCAGGGATAGGGTCTACTACAAAGCATATTGCATAGGATCCGGATTAATTAGATCCGCAACATTTAAGCTCCCTGGATCTGGATCCAAAGGACAGAATATCAACCAAAAACTGTAAAAATGGTGGTTCATCAAGTTTGTCATAAAAATAAGCAAAAGAAAAAGAGAAAAAATAGTTTCAAAATTCTTCTTTCGTTAAAAAATCTGTGAATCTTAATGAAACGAATCCTAAACACACTGCTTGAAAGTACTAAAGCTATCATTATTGTTAGATTATGGTTCTGAAGTGTTACAGCAGCTGGATAATACTAGGTGTAGTTCCATTAAATACAATGCATTCCAGTTCCGTTCTACACCTTGCAATCAGAGTTCTCACCCAACACACCAGTACGCAGAATATACACGAGGCTGCGTCAGATTGCGTCATTAATCTACTCTCACGATTCGAAAAAGAGGTGAAATCTTTTAAGTCTCTGGGGTTTATAATTTCCAAAACAGAAAATCTTCGACGGTTTTTCTTGAATAATATTAAAAAGTTATTTAGGGAGGGAGGGATTGATTGATTGATTGATTGATTGACTGTATTTTCTAAATCTCTCCTGGTTCAGAGTGAACCCGGGTTAGAGCAGAGCATGTACGAAACAATAATCCGTCTTGAGGATCCCTATCAACTATCTGTATCAGAGGAGGATATGGAGAAATGTCTAAACTACTGTAGGTTAGTATCAGAGGAGTAGAATGGTAATTAAACCAGTAATTTACCTTAACAGGACTGAATTTCAAGTGACCTTCAATGTATGAAGTGGCACATGACCTTTAAACTTTGTCTAACTAGGAATAAATTCATATCTGTATTTGTCCAATTGAAAATTGATTATATTCTATTGTGGTTTCTCTCTTAAAATGACTTATGCTACAGTGACAATGGTGGAAATTAACAGAATTCAACACTGTTCTAGTTAGAAAACGATTATTTATCTCTCATAGGGTACCATTGTGAATCGAACATACCACTCTATGAATGGAATTTGTCAGTTGAAATTACGTCTAGAGGATTGAAGAGGGTTGGCGGGTATTATTAGATTTTTAGTTAAAAACTGAAAACAGTTCGTTGATTCAAAAATTCTTATTTGAAGGATATTTACTGAACTCGGAGAATCCTTCCTACTCCGGATGGTTTCTGCTCCTCCCTCCTCTCCTCACTTCACTATCCCTATCCTGGATACAGTTCTACTCTGCTGCTCCCATCCTGATTATGAACTGCCAGATGTTACCTTTAATCTGTGGTACAGACTCTCAGAGGAATTATATAGCAGGTTCATTTTTTTTACCGTCGTGGCTGCGGTTTTCAGCTGCAAAACACTTGGGACTCATGTCCCATATGGCCACCCGCGCGAGCATAAACCATTGCACTATGCTATGCTAACGAGCCTGAACGTCAACTTTGGCAGAGTCAGGGTCGAGGGGTAGGATTCTAGTAGTCTTCGCTCTATTTGCAGCAGCATTATAGATAGATAGATATAGCAGTTTCATTTTTTACCCTAGTTATATCTATCCAATTATTTCATTTAGTTAATAAAGGGATTTATCTGAATTTTCGGTAGAGTGTCCGGTGCCAACTTCTGAGTTGGCAGTGGTACCCATACATACATATATATTTGTATATTTGTATATGTATAGGTTAACTATAGCTTGTCAATCCGAATGGGCTGATATTTTTCGAGAATAGGCAAACAAAATTCGAAATTTTTTCTTCAAAATTTAAACAGAATTCTTCAAAAATTCTTCACAAAAAATTCAATTCAATTTATTTTTAATTCCACGGGCAACGCCGGACACTCCGGCTAGTTATTAAATATTTTATTAGTTGATGCTCAAGATTCACCTAATTTTGATCCGATCCTGGATTCTTATTAGGAAAAAATTTTATATCTATGATAAAAATGATTTTTATTCTAAAGTTTATATAATTTAAGTTCAGGATTAGAATTTAAGAAATTAATGTTGGTTTGTTGAAGGAATGATGACAGTCTGGTTACCGTGTTTAAACCCTATATTGAGAGGTTGATTGTTTGCTTATCCAGACACTGTCAGATGGAACCAGACATGGTAAGTTTACAGTTTAGTTAATCAGGGCAATATGTACTAGTTTTAAATCATGCTTTTGTCTAGTGTAAAGTTGGGAAGACTTTTTTTTAAACCGATTTTTTGGGTAAAAAGCAGTGCTTAGGATCCGGATCCGTTGGATCCGCAAGATTTTGGCTTCCTGGATCCGGATCCGGATCTAAGGGGTAAAATATCAACCAAAAACTGCAAAAAAATAAAAACTTGTTTACTCCTAAAACCCAAATCTGAACTTTTGGAAAATTTCTGAATGGTTCATTAAGTTTTAGTATAAAAATAAGCGAAAAAAAAATGAAGAAAAAAATTTGATAATTATTTTTTGTTAAAATAAAATCAGTAAATCTTAAAGGAATGACCTGGATCCGGATCCGGATTAATTTTTTTCCAATGCGGATCCAGGATCCGGATACGCATCAAAATTAAATGGATCCTAAGCACTGGTAAAAAGTATCGAAAATGGGGGAAATATAGCCAGTAGAATGTAGAATGTAGATATCCAATAGTCCGACTTTTCAGTTTCTCCCAAACCGTCGAAACCATTCTTTGAAATATGCATACCCCTGTTTTGTATTTCTCAATTAATTAATATTGGAAATATCCTGCTTTTCAAATATGAACCCTAAAAGCCCTGGAGTTAGTCTGCTTCATAAATTTAAATGAATTTTGATTAAGGCACCTATCACATAGCTGTAAGTCCATGTCTCATTCCTAAAACGCTGATTGATTGATTGATTTCCTAAGGTTGGATGTTTGAGTGAGGATGAAGATTTTGCCGAGTTCCGAACCCGAGTTTCTGATCTCATCAAGGACTGTATATTTATTGTCGGCAGCAGCTCCGTGTTCCGACAGATGTACTCCCAGCTTCAGCAGGCCCAGCAGTGGGAGCAGATGGAGGCCTCCTTGTACGTGATGCAGGCTGTGGCTAGAAATATATTCCCTGATGAGGAGGAGGTTGTGCCAGCAGTTCTACATCAGGTTCTCGCCCTTCCTTTTACACTACACCAAGCAGTTAGAGTTACAGCTATGCGCCTGGTCGGAGAACTCAGTGAATGGATTGACCGGCATCCGGAGACATTACAGGTACATAGTACAGTTCGTACAGTGTACGTCATAGTCACAAACCAAGGCATCAGTGCATTTTTGCATAATAACTTCTAAGTGCACAAACAAATTCCCATAGGCTACGTTTGGCGCCACACAGTGTGCAATGTACCAATTAAAGCACATTAAGAAATCATAGAAACACAAATGAGTTAAGAGTTAATGAACATTTTAAAGCTACTCTTTTCAACTGTAGGTGTAGCGATGTTTGATTCCGGTACAAGTTATCTTTTGTAAATATTCTAAATTTATGACCAAAACCTATAAATATAAGAAAAGTATCAGTCACCCTGGAAATAAGACGTCTAAAGAGGTTCTCAACCTTTGTGGTTTAGTTGTGTCAGTTTTCAGATAAGGGGGGAGGGGGTCCCACTGATTTATCATAATCAGTTCTTAGGATCTGGATCCGCCAGATTTTGACTTCCTGGATCCACGGATCCGGATCCCAGGGGTTAGATATCAACCAAAAACTACCAAAAAAAAAACTTTTTTACTCCTAGTAAAACCCAACTCTGAACTTTTGAAAAAAAGGAATTGTAAAAATTTCCTCATTCCTGAATGGTTCATCAAGTTTTAGGATAAACATAAAAGCGAAAAAAATTTTAAAAAAATATGAAAATTGTTTTTTTGAAAAAAAAAAATTCAGTAAATCCTCTAGAAATGACCTGGATCCGGATCCATTTTTTCCCAGTGCGAATCTAGGATTCGGATCCGGATCCGCATCAAAATTAAATGGATCCTAAGCACTGACCACAATAATCCTACAAGATGGAGATATTAATATGACCGTCCCGTTTTGCCGTCTATAGTCTGGATGTGCTGTACAACTTTCCCTAGCGGTACTGTGTTTTAAATGAACTGGAGTTTATTGTGTTATGATTGAATGAATGACTAAATAATATTATCAGGCTGTACTGCAGCATTTGCTACAAGGACTCCAGGATCCAGTACTTGCCAGTGATTCTGCCACAGCTCTTGAGAGCATCTGTGCTAAGTGCAGGGAACAGATGACACAACATTTTACAGGTACAATTCAACCAAAATGGGAAGGAGGGGGATGTAACACATTTTGATTGAGTATAGTGATAAACGGAGAAAAGCACCCCTGCACAAAAACGTTACTCATCAAGTATCCACCCTCCACATTTATAATAGAACCTCAGTTTTTTTTTGTAGAAAAATAATAAATGTTAATATGAAATAGTTTACGTTCTTTTGTTGTTATGTTTACACCCATTCAGCTTATTTCGAAGGTGTGTTTAGTATGTGCCCCCTGAATTTATTGTTAAAATGATTTTTAAATTAATTTTTCTAATTTCAGGGTTAGTTCAGATTCTTGAGCAAATAGACAAGTTTAATCTTAAACCAGACCCAGCCAAGGGGTTAGTTAAAGGAGCTGCACTTATTGTCAGTATAATGCCAAAAGACCAGGTACCATATCATATACATCATTATTATTATTAACAATCAACCTAGCATGTCCAGCGGCTTTAATACGTTGAGCTCCACCCACAAACCTGTGTCTTCTTGGGTTTTAGTGGATCAAATCTGGTTTGATTTAAATATGCCTATAAATAGCATATTAGAACAGTGTACTCATCTTATAAGGATCAGTTTGCCAAAAAAGGGTGGGAAAGTGCTTATTTTTTCCTCTAAATACTTAATACCGAATATTGCCAGTGCGCAGTTACTCAGATTTCTCAGTCTGTAATACTCCAGTTTCTCTCTTATTGTTTATTAGGTCCTTATCCACTGACATTAACTTTAAACATAAAGCAAAAAACTTGTTGTTAGTATCTAGTATCACAGGTTATACAATGAATAATAAACAAAATAAAACTCTGGATGATGAATAAGAAACATGCATTTTGATTCATCCTTGATGATCGGATTCAGTTTCTCCGTGTGCTCCTGGGTTGGTTTTCTCTTGGAGTAGAGAAGGACGGAGAAGCAGCTAAAACACAGGGTTAGAATTGCGGATACCAGCAGTATGATTTGAAGGTTTGGTATATTAGTATTATCTGAAGTCGGAGAGGATTGTTTGTAAACCTGGACAATTTCACAGTTTGATGGTTGTACTTGAATACTGTGAACATCCTCTACTCCAAAATCAGAGATAGCCAGGACGGATATCTTCCTGTATTTCAGAGTATCCGGAGCAGTTAGTTCTAGCTCTACTCCGTCCTCAAGTACTCTCCACATTCCTGCTCCTACTACAACTATAAATTGAGAAGAGTAGGAAGAGTCCTCAAGGAACCATGATACGGAAAAGGATGATTGTTCAATATCCTGGATTAGAATATGTTTAGGTTCCTCCTCTAGGCAGGCTAATCTACATCCCTCTCCACACAACCAGGAGAACGGGCAGAGTTCTGGAACCCGGTTCATCTCAAGACATTTCTCCACGTTCTCCGTGGTACTGGCAGAGGAGCATTTAACTTTGATCCTTGTCTCTTCTATATTGGTCTGAAGAAGGTCTGAGAGATCATCCATCTCCGTGGTTCTAGGATTGAAACCACGGACTGATGTTAGAGCAAATTTAAGAGTGAATGCAGAATACATGTTGAGGTGTGTTGGGTGTGAACAACTGATAACTCTCGGAGTGCGACCGATACTTAAATACCCATTGCGGTCAACCACTACTCTGTGACACGACCGGACGCTCAGGTCATCTGGGTTCTTAGGGGAACTACATTCCGGTCGTATCAGATTTCGCGTTTATTGTTCTAAATTATATTTTTAGATGTTTAAGTTAAATCTTTTATTTAAAAATAAAAATTTTATATTTACATTTTATGTAAAAGAATCAAATCTATAATGTTTATTATTATATTTGAATTGTTTCAGCTGGAAGGGGCTGTTGTGAAGGTATGCGAGCTTCAAGTAAGTCCACTGGTAGCCATAATGGACGCTCCAAGAGCCCCTAAACTAGTTAAAAACTCTCCAAGTGATCCTGTTCTATACCTGGACCGTCTAGCCGACGTTTTCCGGCATGTATCCCCTAGCAACGGTTGTGTTATCCCCGCCCCTCATCCTTGTAAAGGCGTGGTTGAAGCTACGTGGCCCGCCCTATCCCGCTGCTGTGATCTATATGCTGATGATGAGAGAATAACGGAGAGAACTTGTAGAACCATCAGGTACAATCTAATCAAATTTTCAAATAACAAAGTTGAAATAGGAAAAAATATATTGACCCTCTCCCTTTCTTCCATCTTTATAAACATATTTACCAATTTTTATGTACAAGATCGTAGATTCAATGTTAGGTACTTTCCCAAAGGATTTTTCCCAAGTGGCAACTTCCCCACTGTGCAATTTCCCTAGCGGCAACTTCCCAAGTATTTCCTAGGCGTAGAGCTCGGCCCCTAACATGTTCTAGCCGCAGCACTCGGACCCCGGCATGTTCTAGCTGCAGCGCTCGGCCCCCATTGCAGCCTGAGGCGCCTCAGAGAGAATTTGCCGCCTGGGAAATTGTACATTTGGAAAGTTCCACTTGGGAAATTGTCTAAAGGACTGTTTGTATAAAATTTTAAAGATTGCTGCACTTGGAACAATTTAAAAAAGTATCAAATGTGGGGAAAAGTGTTAATATGGGAAAGAAATAAGGGGGAAAGTGACCGGACTGGAAAGTCCAAAAACTGCATTCAAAGTTTAGTATTAAACATTTAGTATTTTCACGTTCGACTTTTAATTTAAACTAGCTGAAGGGCCCGGCGTTGCCCGTGGAAAAAAAATTATAAATTTGAAAAAATAGATTTTTTAGTCTATAACACGTCCCACGGCCATCCATGAGTGTTTACAAAAAAATTCGGCCCAATCGGTCCAGCCGTTTGGCCGGCTATACGCAACATATATACGAATGTCTTGTTTTATTATATAGATAATAACTTTATGTATTTGATTTGTCGACAAACCCAATTTGTGTTTTATCTTACATGGTCCTAGCAGTGGTATGGTAGTTTGTGTTAGGCCATTATTTATAATTATAATCATTAAAGTTTGTAAATTCGCCAGTAAAACAGAAAAATCTGTGAAATATTTCTGTTGTTATTCAATAAGTAAGGAGAGACTATTCTTATAACATTTTTTATCCTGATAAATAAATTGATATTGACTCCCCCTGTATTTTTATTATTCAAAGAATTTTAATCTATAAAAACCGGTTTTCTAGCAAATCATCAGATCTTACATCAGTTTGATTTTATCACTTTGATTTATCGGAATTAACTTATCAGTGTTTCAACACATTTGAATAATGGTTACTCCCCTTTCTCTGAGTCATAGCACAAGATAGAACCTGGATATTGAACAGTGCGCATTGGGATCCTTGAATAGTATAGACGTCGAGCTAAGCATCTCAGATAGTAGGATCAGCTGAAGTAGCAGAGCCTCCGGAGCAGCTCTGGTAGCAAGGAATCAGCTGAGAATGCAGTAGAAGCATTTCAGACTGTAGGAGCAGCAAATGAACCAGCAGTAAATGTGGAAGCTGTTGTTGAGAGATTGCTAAGGGAGATATATGTGGTTGCTGAAGCTGCTTAGACAGATCTTGAACAGGAGCAGCTGAACAACGGTTTTCCAGAATCTAATAAAAGCAGATTTTACCAAGATTGACTTTGTATAGATTTACCTTGTCAAGAAAAGTCTGAACGATGACCAACTCTATTTATTAGTAAACCTGACAGATATCCAGATAGAGAGATTATAAAGGGACTTTAAGAAACACCCTACCCATGGAAGTAAAATGTGAATCCAGAAATCCTTAGGATTATATATACCTGGATAGGAGAAATTAGTCCTTGAAAGAGTCGAGATAAACTTACATCACCTGATTATAAGAACCTCTTTAATTACTTCAACAGCAATAATTATTTTAGGATGGGATTTGAAGATTTTTAAATGGGACTTCTAGTTTCCGACATTTTATTTCCTTAAAAATGTGGATCCATCAAAAATCCTAAAATCTGTCCTTCTAGGTTTGCTGTAAGATGCCTTGGTATTCAATCAGCAGGATTATTACAACCTCTTGTAACTCAACTAATTAGACTTTATGAGTCTCATAATCACAGGTATTTAAGCAGCAACCTCTTGTAACTCAACTCATTAAACTTTATGAGTCTCATAATCATAGGTAATTAAGCAGCAACCTCTTGTAACTCAACTCATTAAACTTTATGAGTCTCATAATCATAGGTAATTAAGCAGCAACCTCTTGTAACTCAACTCATTAAACTTTATGAGTCTCATAATCATAGGTAATTAAGCAGCAACCTCTTGTAACTCAACTCATTAAACTTTATGAGTCTCATAATCATAGGTAATTAAGCAGCAACCTCTTGTAACTCAACTAATTAAACTTTATGAGTCTCATAATCATAGGTAATTAAGCAGCAACCTCTTGTAACTCAACTAATTAAACTTTATGAGTCTCATAATCATAGGTAATTAAGCAGCAACCTCTTGTAACTCAACTAATTAAACTCTATGAGTCTCATAATCATAGGTAATTAAGCAGCAACCCCTTGTAACTCAACTAATTAAACTTTATGAGTCACATAATCACAGGTAATTAAGTATCAACCTCTTGTAACTCAACTAATTAGACTTTATGAGTCACATAATCACAGGTAATTAAGCATTAACCTCTTGTAACTCAACTAATAAGACTTTATGAGTCACATAATCACAGGTAATTAAGTAGCAACCTCTTGTAACTCAACTAATAGGATAAGATAAAGGCCTAATTGATTCCCAAGGGGATCACATACATCATGTCCCACATATCTTAATCAAAAGTTATCAAAATGGTTTGAATTCTAATACTTCTGTTTAGTTGTTATCTATATCTTGGATCTATACTGGTGGATGAATATGCCGGAGAACCAGGATGTATTCCAGGTAAAATATAAATTTTTGGATTTGAAGATGTTTAAATACCAAATTTCGCACTTTTCTTAAAATTACATTGTCTGATATTTTTGTGTCATATATGTAAGGAGCAAACACCATGTTGAAATTATTTTGGAAAAAATCTTTAAAGCCTGAAAAATGGTAAGAAAATTTGCACAAAAGTTTTAGATAAGAATTTGAATTCACATTATTCCTACCGGTCAATGTACCGGGAAGGAATCATATTTAAGACGAAAGTGAATATTCGAATGATATGTGTTCTCGGTCAAGATTTTTGATTTAGGTTGATTTTTGAAAGTTTGTAATTGTGCTTTCTAGGTTTACTGCAAATGGTTCAGGCGTTTATAGCTCCAACCTACGCTATTTTATCTAAACCTGATGGATTAAGAAATCATCCTGGAACAGTAGACGATTTCTTCAGATTAAATGCTAGATTTATGCAACGGGCACCACTAGCTTATCTTCAGGTACCTTAGAATTCGTCTATCACAAGCTGTAAGACCATAAATCTCCCTTAATTTAGCCAACGTTATCTTGAGGTTGAAATGTGGTTTGTAGGACGTTCTACAACTCGGATTTGATTTGATTTGATTTGATTTGATTTGATTTGATTTGATTTGATTTGATTTGATTTGATTTGATTTGATTTGATTTGATTTGATTTGATTTTAGAAAAGTCTCATTATTTTATTCCCAAGTTTTGAAAATACATTTTTAAGTACTTATTGTGGCCTATGATCATATAAATATAATCGGGGTTGTTTTATTATATTTATTTAATTTATTATATGGGGCTATTGCTTTTTAATTAAATTAGTACTCTTTATACCCTCAGATACCGGCCGCCCCGTGTTGTTTTATTCTTTTCTGAATTAAGAAAAAATGCGGTAATTTTATGTGTGGTTTTTTTGTCGATTTCGTCAGCTGAAGATAAAATAATAAATCAACGGTACCCTTAACATTATTTTTCTAATTAAGAAATTTATTGTTCAGACCGAGTTCTTAAAGAGTATAGTAGAATGTGGTTTACTCTCTACTGCCCTGGAGCATAGAGAAGCTAACGCTAGTGTCATGAAATTCTTTTATTGTTTAGACCGAGTTCTTAAAGAGTATAGTAGAATGTGGTTTACTCTCCACTGTCCTGGAGCATAGAGTTAACTGTAAAATAACGCTAGTGTTATGAAATTCTTTTATTGTTCAGACCGAGTTCTTAAAGAGTATAGTAGAGTGTGGTTTACTCTCCACTACCCTGAAGCATAGAGAAGCTAACGCTAGTGTTATGAAATTCTTCTATTGTTTAGACCAAGTTCTTAAAGAGTATAGTAGAGTGTGGTTTACTCTCCACTACCCTGAAGCATAGAGAAGCTAACGCTAGTGTTATGAAATTCTTCTATTGTTCAGACCGAGTTCTTAAAGAGGAATCTAACGCTAGTGTTATAAAATTCTTCATTTGTTTAGACCGAGTTCTTAAAGAGTATAGTAGAATGTGGTTTACTCTCCACTGCCCTGGAGCATAGGGAAGCTTACGCTAGTGTTATCAAATTCTTCTATTGTTTAGACCGAGTTCTTAAAGAGTATAGTAGAATGTGGTTTACTCTCCACTGCCCTGGAGCATAGAGAAGCTAACGCTAGTGTTATGAAATTCTTCTACGATCTTCTCCGCGCAGGAAGAACAAGAGAGGAACAAGAAGACTATGAGGTAAAATTAATTAAATCCCGGTTCAGGGGCGTAAACAAATTTTATCTAGGCACATCTTATATTCATGATTAATACGGAGTTCAAGCTATAAAAATGTCACTTGCAACGTAATTTTCTTTTTTTACACCATTAGGTTCCTGGCAGTTTTCAATGTCAATAATTATTTTATTCAGATTATGATAAAGTTATTAACTAATTAGATCACCTAAATGATTGAACTTTTTATTTGATTTAATTATTAATTGGTTCGTCGGCTGGCTGGCTGGAGTTGATTGATTGATTGATTGATTGATTGATTGATTGATTGATTAGGCTCGGAATCACCTGGTGTCAACACTCCATCAAGAGTACGGTTGCCGACTAGTGAACTCCCTGATAACATCAGCTGTTCTTACTCTACCCTCATATACATACACAGATATAGGAATACATACATATCAGCACGAATATTTAGCGATAAATCAGGGGTATATATTTTTTGTTTTTAAACCCCCCCCCCCCCCTCCTTCATAAAGCATTAAAAGGGGGGTGTTTGTTAAAAAAAAATTACCCCTGTAATCAATTGTTTTCTTTGTTATGTTTAACACCTGATAATATTATATAATTAGATCCTTTGATCCAATACAACAGTTAGTCAAGTAATGTGAACTAGAGGAGTGAAGTTTATGTATGTTCTACCTACAGGGGATGTAATCTACGAGATGGTTGAGTATGATCGTCCTTCAGTTTGCCATTGGTTAGAATCCTCACTTAAGGAACATCATTCTAACTTCAACCAACATTTTACAATTAGTATTTATTTCCAAAAAAACATCATTTAAAACTTGAACAAAATTTGGCTCTGTTTGAACAAAGATGCATGATTTGTTTACAATTTACTGTGACATATTAGGACAGATGAGGAAATAGTTAGATGTAAAGAATATGATAATCTTATGAGGTAAAAAATGTAATAATGGAAATTCTTAAACGAGATGAAATAATCTTGATGCATCAAGATTATTTCATCGAGTTTAAGAATTCCATTATTACATTTTTATCCTCATAAGATTATTATTATATCATATTTGTGAGGTTCCATGGGCACATACCCAAGAAATTGTATTAAAAAATAATTCTGGTGAAATCCGACTACTTTAAGTTGGAACAGTTCACATTATGAAAGGTTGCAAATAAGTTTTATGCTCTTGTTCTGACTAAAGCTTTTTTATTTTTCTAATGTTAAAAAGTAAAAATTGGTTCTTAATTTGAAAGTAATGCATGTGGTGTGATTGTTTCCTTAATTTAGTTTAGTTTAAGCATGTTTTAATAAAGTAAAAAAAGGTAAGTTTGCATGGTTTGATATAAAAGAAAAAGGTAAGTGAGCATGTTGTTTTTAAGTTAAAAAAGGTAAGTTTGTATGTATTAATGTAAAAGAAAAAGGTGAGTTTGCCCTGTGCATGTTGTCAGTACAAAATAATTAAGTTAATATCTATATTGATCTATACTGAAAAGATCAATATAAGGAGCGTGTAAGAATGAATATTCTTTCACGCTCTGACCGTGTAATAATTTCCATTCTTACACGGTCTGAGCGTTAAAGAATGAAAATTCTACACCTACAGTGTAAGAATAAGCATTCTTAAACGCAAGGAAGCGAACAATATTAAAATTTTCCTCCTGAACCGTGTAATAATGGGAATTCTTACACGATAGCTTTACTACTATGGAACCGAACAGATATGATATAATAACAAATATTATAAACAAAAAAATCCTAATTCTTTTTTTTACGTTTGGTTGACAGTTGGCTGTTTATTAGAGTTTACCTAACAGCAGTACAACCCCAGCTGTCACTACTAAGCAACTGGTAGAGTTTCATAAAGCTGTCACAAGTGCTGAGAGTCCTACAGACGTGTCCCACGCTATCCGAGAGTTTTCCAGGTACCTCTTCTCTTCATATAGGAACTCTCTCATTGAAGAGTTATTATATGAACTTATGGTTTGCCATATAATTTTTTTTAAATAATGAAGTTATGTGTGATTTGCGTTGGTTTTGTTTAGTTTAAAGGGAGTGTTAGCGTTATTTCAAGTAACCCTCCATGCAAAGATAAGATAACCATGTCTGATTTACAACAGGACCCTTGCAACCATAATCTAATCAAAAATATTGAAGATACACTTTTGGTCTGACTCTAAAAGTGTTTAATTCAGATATTCCTCCATTGCTTCTTATAATTAAGAAATGCGCAGGTCACTTTCGCAAAGAACCTGCAACTGAAAATAAACCAAGTAACCAAGAAACAAAACCATGGATGATATCTAATTCATACTTGATAAGACACAGCTTTAAGGGAACCATCGGGATTCAGACATTGCCATCTTTGCATGGAAGGTCACTTGAAATAACGCGTAGTCTTTTTAATACGAAGAATTTTATTTTATCGTAAGTACAGAAAAGTATGTTGAAAGGGTTTTAAAAATATGCAATGAATTCATGAAAACAAGAACAAAACTTTTAACTTGTTTTTTTTCAGACTATGGAGATGAATGCGAAGGATGAAAATTATTAAATCAAGATACATTCAGAGACTTTGGAATCAATATAATTTGGGCTATGTACGCAGTGAACGCATTGTACTGTACACTTTTCAGTGAAAACCAACTATACCACATGGTTAACATGTACAGAGTACACTTTACCAAAAAATACCAGCAAAACCACACATTTAACATGTATACTACATATTGAAGTGTGTGACTTTAAAATCGATTGTATTTGCGGAAAACATAGGATCAATCCAGATTATAGATTGATAATGTAACAACGTGACAATTTGAATATCTACAGAAGTTCCTGATGTAGTTTAAGATGCACTTTGCTTAATATAGGGAAATTAATCAATTTTAACAATAATGAATTATGCAGGACTTCGTGTTAACTTGTTATTTGTTAGCCATTGGTTTATAGAAGCTTATGGACCTGAAACCTGTAACAGTTAATATATCAAGAAATGATACTGGCTGAATGAAAACAGAATGGAACCGGATCCTGAAACCTGACAGTTTAAACTGTGTCATAATAAGAAATGCCCGGTGTTTCTTTGTTAATTCTTATCTGTGTTCAAAATGTAACCTGAGAAAAGAAAAAATGTATAATTATACTAAATCTATAGTAGATAAAGCATGTAAATAGCATAGTATAACTTTCTAGTTGTACAATCAAGTTGAAATATTTTTTTTACATCTGTTAACTTGTTTTCAGTTTTCAGAGAAGCATGGATGGCTAGTTGTTGTCTATTTCTGGTATGGACGAAGTGGAGTTGGTTAATAGGAACCAGGTTGGTTGGATATATATACAGTTCTGATATGGACGAAGTGGAGTTGGTTAATAGGAACCAGGTTGGTTGGATATATATATATATAGTTCTGGTATGGACGAAGTGGAGTTGGTTAATAGGAACCAGGTTGGATATATATAGTTCTGGTATGGACGAAGTGGAGTTGGTTAACAGGAATAAAAATATATCCAAGATTTTTTTTATATTTTTATATATTCATCGATAACGATCTGCAACCAATTTTTGCCAATTTCATTTTTAACCTAGCCATAGCGCTGGGCCCTTTTGTCTGCTTCCAAGAAAATATATTGTACCACCCACAGAGAAACAAAGAAACATAGAAAAAAAGTCTTGCACTAAAAATTGCATTAACAATTTTAGTATTGATTATTAATTTTTCTGATAGATGAACTTTAAAGGGTCAAGGAGAATTTTATCCTCATCATAACCAGAAACTTTATTGTAACATTATTTACTAATGTATAGTGTTGTAAGATCTGATCAAAACATAAACAAAAACAAATATCAGCTCCAGTTAATCGAATATCAGCTGATACTCTCAGTTTTAATCTTGAATATGTGTAGGACGATGAAAGTGACAGTGATAGCACGGAGACAGAGCATTTATTAAGTCCGGTCAAAATAAGACGACCTGCTACAATGGCAACAAGACAAAGGTTTGTTTCATTTTTATTTTCTTTAGAAATCAAGGTATCAAGTATTTATTGTCTGCTTTTGTCAAAATCGAATTCAGAGCTGAAAAACAGCGAGCAATATTCATCTTTCTAACCTAACCTAACTTGGAAAAGTGTGTGAATTGAGGCTGAATTTAAACCGCGTCGCGGAACCACCAATAGAGCGGCGGCTCAAATCTCGAAGCACTTAATACAATTTCATGTGGAACCAACCATGCTTGAACCGCGTCTCAAATTCTACAAATTCGGCCTCTGTTTTAAATGTATTATATATATTATATGTATCACCATATGAGATATGGGGCTGAGGTGCAGACTACAGAGTTGTTAGTTCAGACCCGGCATACCTCCTTTTAAGATCTTAAATGGGATCTTTATCATTTAAACATGTTGTCAAATTTTTATCTTATCTTAATTGAAAATATAGTCATTAATATAATCGACTGTATTATATCAGATAATCTTGTCAAAACAATAAGAACTGAAAAATGATTATGAAGCTAAATTATCAATATTTATCACTGTATTTATATTATAAAACACCTGTTTCATGTTTACTGTTTAGTTTACATCATAAGTTTCTGTAACATACATTTTTATTAGCGTTAGTTTTGTTGTAACGTAGTTGGAAGTATTTCAACTGTTGATAACATAAAAATAGTATTGATATTGATATATATTGGAATTGCTGTTGTCCTATATTAATCATCAGCCACTTTCATGTATATTGTAAATTATAGAAGATACAAAAAGTTATTCTTCACCACAGACGCAACGGGGTTAATTTCGGGGGGGGGGACTTTTTCCCCCCTGTTTTTGTTTTATATAATTCCCTTTTATTAAGGGACATAGCTCGGGGGGGGGGGGGGTATTGGAACACACATTTTGCAACTTTTTTATCGCTTCGCGTATGTGTATATTTATGTGAATTCCAAGATGTCTTAATTAGTTTAGAAGTAACTTTAAATTGTATTCTATTTCTATGTAATAAAATTAAAAATATTTAATTTTTGTATTCAACTAAAATGCAAGTACAAGATATTTCAAATTAACATAGTTCACTATTTTTGGACCGACATTAACCATTAGTCATATTATTTTAAATTTGACTAAAACTTAATTGCTTTAACTCCGTTATTTTTTTATAGAAATTGTACTGAATTTCACAATTTAAAGAAAGGTTGTTTTAATATAGTTTTGGATTGGAAATTAAGATTTTTTTAATTACATATTTTGTAAATATATACGTATATAGTTACTTTTTAATTACATATTTTGTAAATATATACGTATATAGTTACTTTTTAATTACATATTTTGTAAATATATACATATATAGTTACTTTTTAATTACATATTTTGTAAATATATACGTATATAGTTACTTTTTAATTACATATTTTGTAAATATAAACGTATATAGTTACTTTTTAATTACATATTTTGTAAATATATACATATATAGTTACTTTTTAATACATATTTTGTAAATATATACGTATATAGTTACTTTTTTCTTATACGCAGAATTATACATATACTATACGTTATCCGGAAAGAATAAAACGATATTCAAAAAAAAGGGGAAAAATGAGATTTTGATGTTTTATATTAAACCTAATGAATATTTTAGACGAACCTCTCCTTTCAAATATATCCATTGTTGTTGGACTTGTTTTCATACCAAAATGCATTGCGAGCGGGGGAAGGCATACGGCCATGAGCCACTGCTATTTCCCCTTCCGTGCCACATATTAGCTTTTTTCTCTTCCGGCAGCCATTAAATATCACAAAGTTGGTTAATGAGTGATTTTAAGATGGATTTAGTATAATGAGTCAGTAATTGAATAATCATTAGACTTAGTGATATTTCAAGATGAATACTCAGTCAAATTTGTCAAAAATTTCATTGTAAAACAGTTCAAGAATTCAACACACAAAATATTAATCTTAAGTAGAATTGAAAAAATGGTTTGAGTTGTGCTTTTTTGCGTGACGCGGCTGGATTTTTAAAAATCACACTTTAAAGGCCCTTAATATACCATTTAAAAAAGTTTTGCCCGGAAGATTCAAATGTGGTGGTACAGAAGGGAAAATAGTGGTGGCTCATGGCTTCCGGAAGAGAAAAAAGCTAATATGTGGGACGGAAGGGGAAATAGTAGTGGCTCATGGCTGCCTGCCTTCCCCCGTTCGCATTGCCTAGGATCCGGATCCGTTGGATCCGCAACATTTTGGCTTCCTGGATCCGGATCCTGAAAAATATGCGGATCCACGTATGCCGATCTAAGCTAAGGGGGGAAATAGCAACCATAACTCACAATTTTGCTCTGAAACAACACATCACAAATGTTAATTAATAAAACTTCCTGGATCCGGATCCTTTTATTTTTATTAAAATACTCCACCCTGAAAACCTTATCTCTATCTATTGTTTATTAAAAAAACTTTTCAAAATATCCGTCATTATATGCTTCTCTTGATTTTTATTATTTTTTATATTTTTCTGTAAATTTGTTCTTTTATCGATCTATCCCTTTACTATCTATCTATCTATACTTTATCTATCTATCCATTCTTTATCTATCTATCTATCCTTTCCAAACTCGCAGGTGTATTACTCACTACGTCCACACAGCTGATAATAGACAGTAATAAAACATCGCTTCAAGATTATATTCTTATCTTTCATTTGTCACAGTTTTTCTATTAATCACAACGGTGCTTTCCAGCGTTTAAAAAAGCTTATCAAAACTCCTTTTCATCTGAAAAGTTTAAAGAACAATTAAAGGTCAATAGTAGGAATGTTTAGAGACTGTAAGAAAAATACCGGTTGTGTAAAAATTTGAAACACGAAGACAGCTTTTTGAAATAAGTGAAATATTTGAATTTGTTACTCGATACCCGCAGTTTGAATAAAATTGATTCCCAATTTGATCAAGATCTTGTTATTAACAGCGGTGATCGGATGAATAAAAGATATTTGAATGGCGAATGTTCTAAGCCTGGATAATCTGGAGAGTATAGAGATGAAGTTCCGGGGAACCCAGGATACAGAGGAACTATCTCTCCATAGCCTGGATGAGTATTACCAGGAGCAGAACCTGGAGGAGAGCGGGACGGAGAAATCCCGGTTGGTTCCGAAACCAAAGCCAAGGCAGGAGAAGTAAGGCTTGCACCAGATAGAAACATTTGTATCTCACTAAACCTCAAGTTTACGGACAATATTAAGGATAAGTTAGAATAAATCCGACATTTTCTAAATAAAATCGATAATGTTTTATAATTTGTGGTCAAGAAATATTTTTTTATGGCTTTTCAATTTTGCTTGATTGAAGAGAGGAAATTCAGGGAACATTAGTTCCAAAAAGTTAGAAATGGGCCAAATTTGTAAGGTTATCTATATATATATGTATATATAAAATACTAGCTGGAAAGCCTGTGAAAAAAGATTTGAATGAAATTTATTTTTTTAATTCGAATTTTTTTAGCCGAAGACACTCCCAGACTTCCCATGAGTGTCCACAAAAAATTTCAGCCCAATTGGTCCAGCCGTTTGGCCGGCTATCGCGCGGTGACATATACGAATGTCTTGTTTTATTATAAAGATATATTTCAATTCAAGTCGGGAAGATCAAAACAACAGCAAAATTTATTCTAATAATGATAATATTATCTGTGAATCTTTTTGTTTAACCAGATTTTTAGTTTTTTCTTTTTTAACCAGATTGTAGCTTGCATAGTGTCAAACTCCGGTGGTTCCATTTTTTTATTGGGTTCCCTTTTGATCTTACGTTTTGTAAATGTCACTTTTCTCCAGGTGTTGTGGTTGGCTGAGAGGATGTTTCAGGAAGAAAGAACCTTCTGCAAGAACAGTATGGATTGGTAATCATTTTTAACATTATATAACCAACCGCAACAGGGTGACACACTAACACGTGAAACCAGGATTTGAGGCCTGAAAACATCGCATTCAAAAATAGACTTTTAAAATTCTTCATTTTTAAGATATGAAATTGAAATTGAACTTTGCTATTTAGGTCGAATGTCTCAGCAGAACTTTCCTGCAAACATGATCAAGAACCAGAAATACAACATCATCACCTTCATCCCCCTCGTGCTGTTCAACCAGTTCAAGTTCTTCCTTAACCTTTACTTCCTCATCATGGCCTGCAGTCAGTTCATTCCAGTTCTCAGGAAATTAGAACATTCATCATAATTTTTGTTTGCTTTTAAATTTTCATTGTTTTTGTTTGTTTTCTATCTTTATCTTATGATTTTCATTGCTTTTTTATGTTTTTTCCTGATTTTTTAAATTTTTATTGTTTTTTTATGTTTTTTTCTTGATTTTTTAATTTTCTTGTTTTAGTTCTGTTTTTATCTTGATTCTCAAATTTTCATTGCCTTTTGTTTGTTTTTTTGTGTGGAGCTTTTTTTCTTATTTTTTTAAGCTTTTAAGTTTTCAGTTTATGAGCAGTTTCTATTTCAAACAAGATAAGCATAAATTCTACATTCTTACGTTGGATTGTATTTGTAGCTTTTGGATTTTTTTTTAATTCCAACCCTTTTTAAATCAAAGAAATATTTGGACTGATAGCGATTTTAATTCTTACAGTTTGACTTATGAGGTTTTTAAACAGTCCAAAGAACATAAGTTCAGAAATTGTGCAGTGTCACAGGCCCATTTCACTTGATTAACTGATTTTTAAGTTCTTGATAAAACTGTCTTATAAGAAAATCAAATGCCCAACATTGATTAAATGTCGTCTTTCAATTTTACAATATTATTATTTATTTATAATATTTTTTCCTGGATCTTATTTTTCATGAGTGTTTATTTTATCGATGAACAGGATTGGTTATCTGTATACCTACTGGGGACCCCTGGCATTCGTCATATCCGTCACATTGATCAGAGAGGCCATTGACGATATCAGGAGATGGCAGAGAGACCGGGAGGTCAATCAAGCAAGGTAATTAGGGCTTTCTGTTTTTTACAATTACCAACCCCTTTTCCTCCTGGCATGGGGAAATGATGGCAGGGGGGATTTTACTTGCATTTTTTCCCCTCTATCCTTTAAAAAATCATTAATCTTAAAAAATTGTATTGTGGAATTAATGAGATTTTATTTTTATGGGAGCCAGTGTTCACCATGTCCTTGTTCACACTAACATATTCTCTTGGTTTAGATACAGTAAGGTTACGGAGAGAGGACTGATGAGCGTCTCCAGTTCTAATCTCAAGGTTGGAGATATTATTGTTGTGGAGAAGGGTGTCAGGGTTCCAGCAGATCTAGTTCTACTCAGGTATATTACTTTAACATTTTTATGGAAACCTTTATTTAACTTGAACATAACAGGATCAGAACTGGTACAAGAATTTACCGGTCCCCCGACAGGTCTTGCCTATTCTAAACTCTTGCCTTCTATTTGGAACTTAATCAGCACGTTTTATGCAAACAGTTAATGCATCGCTGGATGAGTTGGATCTATGTGCCTACCTTCTCTAAACCATTCCCCTGGAACCCTGGACGTATGTACCAATACAATTTTTTCTTTCTACTTATGCTTCTATTTTAAGGACGACGGAAAGTTCCGGAGCATGCTTTATCCGAACTGATCAATTGGACGGAGAGATAGATTGGAAACTTCGTCTAGCTGTTCAAGCAACCCAGAGATTGCGCTCGGACGAGGAACTGCTCCGGGTCCAGGTAGGATACCGAGGAAGGTTCAAAACTAAACTATAATCACTAACAACTCGAAAGAAATGTTATATTATGCCTCCAAACATATCTGACGTACTCATTGAATTCTTAAGATATTCAAAGTCGGATTTAATTCACTAACCGACTTGGGGAAGTTGCGAGGAGTGATCAACGTAACATAGCCTACAGTACATGATACTTTGACTGTAATTTGCTACAGTACATGATACTTTGACTGTAGGTTGCTACAGTACATGATACTTTGACTGTAGGTTGCTACAGTGCATGATATTTTGACTCTAGGTTGCTACAGTACATGATACTTTGACTGTAGGTTGCTACAGTACATGATACTTTGACTCTAGGTTGAATGATAAAAATAATAATGCGAACCATGAAACTGTACTATGACTGTCGTCTCTGCTTTTCTTTTACGTAAGAAATGTCACAAAGGATTTTGTAATTTGCAATCGTTGCCACTTTCACGTCTCTAAAATGTTGCAAATTACAAAATCTCACATTTCATCACATTTCATAAAACATTGAAAAACAAAGACGACAATTCGTAATAAAATAAAACTATTTTTATAATTTCTTCAGGCGAGTGTGTACGCTGAGAAACCTCAGAAGGATATTCACGGGTTTATCGGTAAGATGAGTATTCTGTCTCCAGATAGTGACCATTGTGAAGAGAGCTTAGGAGTTGAGAATACTATCTGGGCAGGAGCTGTAGTAGCCAGCGGGACAGCTACAGGTAAATAATAAACTTTAACCGCCTTTTGAGCAACATTACCGACCTTTGATTCTCCCAAAAGAGGAACGTTAAGTTACTTAACGTCTCTTGGGACAATTACGTAAAATAACAACCCGCTATAAAAAAAATTGTGCATTTGCCTCTTAAAAGACGATAAAATGGTATACAACTACTTTTTCGGGAAATTAAAAATAATGCTTCACTTACCTGTAAAGTAGATGTAAATAATGTTAACAGGAAAATACTGATAATATTTTAGTTTTCTGAAACATGATGATTTTACCCCTGAACTAATTAATGTGTAATTATGTATTCAAAGGAATTGATTACTAGGATCAAATCCTAATTTTCTAATCCCTGTATCTTTGCCACTTGATGATGTAATCCTTTGATTCTTATGTTTTTCTTGAAATATCAATATCTTCAACATTATTTTGCAAAGATTTAAGGATTAGAAAATAAAAGATTGAATAGAGAGATCAGTTCCTTTGATTCTTGTGTTAGAATTGAGAGATAATGGTTCTGTTTTCTCCAGGTATAGTTATATACACTGGTACTGAGTGCAGAGCTGCAATGAACAACAGTCATCCGCGTAGTAAGGTTGGATTGATAGATATGGAGCTGAATGGGGTTACAAAAGTTCTCTTCATTGCAACCGTATTTCTTGCCGTGCTGATGGTGGTGCTGAAAGGTTTTGACGGACCCTGGTACATTTTCATGTTCAGGTTCGTCCTTCTCTTCTCTTATCTGATTCCCATCAGTCTCAGGGTGAACCTCGAGCTGGCAAAGATATTCTACGCCTGGGCGATAGGTCGGGATAAGGATATTCCTGGAACCCAGGCTCGATCTACCACAATACCGGAGGAGTTGGGACGGGTTTCCTACCTGCTCTCGGACAAGACAGGAACTCTCACCATGAACCAGATGATCTTTAAGAAGCTGCACCTCGGATCTGCAGCTTACAGTGATGACACATTTGACGAAGTAAAATATTTTTTATTTACTTTTAGAACTTAAACTTAATACAGGGTTGTCTTCTAAGGATGAGACTGTAAAGACGACCTAAAACATTTGACGATTCCAAGATTAAATTGAGACTTTTGCCTTAATTATAATCTTTTTATATCTTAATCAATGATAAGGCAAAAACAGGAAATACGTACTATCGTCTCTGAAGTCTCAACCTTTGTGGGCAACCCTGTATATACCTAAAAGGGCACATTTTCTGCAGGGAAAATTTATAATAAAAAAAACAAGAGGGGAAAGTATCAAAAATTGTTTTTAAAAAAACTGTTGATGTTTAGCCTCATTTCTCCCAAAGCTTTATAATTTTGTAAATATCGTTAAGTATTTAATTAGTTTCTATTGACTTATAGGTTAGATCTGGAATAGTAAAGCAGTTCAAGGACGGTAAACGAGTTCCTAAAGTTTCGGGTCAAAAACAAAGCACATCAGAACGTGTAACAGAGGCTGTTATATCTCTTTCTGTTTGTCATAATGTTACTCCTGTCTACGATACAGATGGTGCAGAGGGTAGTCTACCACATGCTGAACAGGTAATAAACAAACTGACCAATTTATTGCATTCGGGAAAATAATATAAATTATTATCGAAACATTTTTTAAAAAGAATTGATAAATATTTTTAGAATTACATATTACTTTGAATTATTAAATATTGTCGCTCGGGGCAGACCGCCCAACAATAAGTCTCCTTCCGGGACAATGTGGGGCATTGTCCATGGATATTAGACTGGAGCGACGGCCCCAATAGCCCCAACTTCACTGAACGACGGGTTGTCTTTTAATAATAATAATAATCCTAGGGAGTATCTGAGAACGTGACCTACCAGGCTAGTAGTCCTGATGAGGTAGCTCTAGTAGAGTGGGCGGGCTGGGCGGGACTTCGACTAACTAACAGAACACTCACTAATATTACTCTAACAGGGAACAATAAGAATTTTTCGAGAACTTTTTATTTATTTTTTATTTCTACTTTAAATGTTTTTTACCCAAATCTTAGGAATTTTTGCATAGAGGGACAAACAACTTCAGGTTATTTATGGTTGAATTTAATCTTCTAAGAAGAACAAACTTTATTTAAAACAAAAACAAATGCATGACTAGTTGGAACTCCTTCTTATACGATTTGATTTGATTTGATTTGATTTGATTTGATTTGATTTGATTTGATTTGATTTGATTTGATTTGATTTGATTTGATTTGATTTGATTTGATTTGATTCGATTTGATTTGATTTGATTTGATTTGATTTGATATGATATGATTTGATGAAAGATATTTTTTGATGGGGAATCTTGCGTGTTATCCTTTTTTTTAAAGCTTAGAAAATCATTGAATTAAATCTTACGAAGTGAAGTATAAACTGGCACATGATTTTGTAATTATTAATGATTATGAATTATCTATTATTACGGACAAGGGTTGACTGCGATTATTATTCTTAATATGATTAAAACTCTAAATCTTATTGGTATGAACTCCAGGCCCTGAAGGAACAACGCTAAGCTACGAAATCCTCCAACTATTCCCGTTCACCTCTGAGAGTAAACGAATGGGTATTATCGTGAGGGACGAGGGGAGCGGAGAGATATTGTTCTACATGAAGGGAGCTGATGTAGTGATGACAAGTATAGTTCAGTATAACGACTGGTTGGTAGAAGAGGTGGATAACATGGCTCGGGAAGGACTCAGAACCCTCGTCGTAGCCTGTAAAATATTATCAGAGGAGAGCTATTCAGACTTCGAGCAGAGGTATAGTGCAGCTAAGCTTAGTGTGGTGAACCGGTCAACTCAGGTAGCTGCTGTAGTTGAGAGTTTACAGAGGGATATGACACTCCTCTGTGTTACAGGAGTAGAGGACCGACTTCAGGACGGAGTCCGACAGACCCTGGAGCTGCTTAGGAATGCTGGTCTCAAGATCTGGATGTTAACCGGAGATAAACTTGAGACTGCTACATGTATTGCTAAGTCTAGTAAACTAGTCTCCAGAACCCAGAGTATTCATATATTTAAGAACGTGAGCTCACGTAGTGAAGCGCATCAAGAGCTTAACGCGTTCAGGAGAAAGCAGGATACCGCGCTGGTTATCCGGGGGGACTCTCTGGAGGTTTGCCTGGAGTACTATGAACATGAACTCATGGAGCTGGTTGCCCTCGCCCCAGCGGTTGTCGCTTGTCGATGCTCGCCTTTGCAGAAAGCTGCGGTTGTCAGGCTTATAGAAAGTCACACTGGAAAGATAGCTGCAGCAATAGGTAAAATATGTGGTGAAATAAACTGGTTAAATCAAGGAGAAATTCAAACTTTTGTTATATTATAGCTTGTAAAAAAAGAACGCGACAATGTGTAAAATTTAAAAAATATAACGAGACCCTTCATTTTTAAGGGGTCAGGTCCAATTCACAACGGTACCATCAATCTGATCAAAAACGTTGAAGATACAAGTATATTATTCTGAAAATATTTCTCCATTGTTTCTGCTAAGCAGAAATCACAAGTTTTATTTACTTATTCTTTTAATAAAAATGCCAATTAACAGTTTTAGAAGAATATATTTTAACTAACTTTAACATGTCTAAAATGTGCAATGATATTGTGTGCAGGGGATGGTGGTAATGATGTGAGTATGATCCAAGCAGCAAGTGTAGGTATAGGTATTGTTGGTAAGGAAGGAAAACAGGCCTCTCTTGCAGCAGATTTCTCTCTCACACAGTTCTCACATATAGGACGGTAATAATCTAGTTCATCAGGAAAATATCGTAATCAAGGTACTGATGCAAGGAAAGTTAATTGCGGTCGCGAATACTCTGCGTACATATTGAAACCAGTTCTCTCTGGGCGGAATTTGTAACAAGAATAGATGCATCAGTGTTCATTTAGTATCCGAGGAGGCTAAAAGCATTTAATTTTGATAATTTTGAAAATTCACATAACAGTTTACTATGAACAGAATATTTCATAGTTTATTTTTGTGAAAATGGATTCCATGTCAGGCTGTGACATCCGTCTGGTGTGTACTTTCCCGCTCAAAGACATTACACTACAGTACAAAAAATGCGTTCACCTCTGAAATAACTTTCCTTGCATTAGTACCTTGATCGTAATCTTATTCAGAGTAGGAAAAATGTTTTAAAGGAAGGGTTGTGGGATAGGGTTTGTGTACACTACACATTTTTCGATGGTTTTTTTCCGGGAAGGAAAGGGTGGCCGGACTTGTAAAATCACTGTTAACTGAATGTTAATTTTTTAAAATAAACAAGTTTCTGACCAGTTCTAATAGGTCTACGTTGAAAATTAACAATACCTATCATCTCAACTTTGTCTTTACAATTCACTGTTTACTACTACGGCACCGAACAAATATTATAAAATAAAAAATTCTGCTTCTTTATGAGAATAATAAATCTTATTTTTGTGTAATTGAATATCGTGGTTTTTCTAATCCGGCATATTGCTAGGTTACTTCTTGTACATGGTAGAAATAGCTACAAACGTTCTGCTAGTCTTTCACAGTTTGTTATTCATAGAGGACTCATCATAACTACAATGCAGGTAGAGTCACGCGGTTTTAAGATAGATAATAACATTCTTTTTATTTTGATTTTTTATTGCTAAAAATATATTGCAAGCAGTGGCGTACAAAGGTTGGGCTATGGGGGCTCGGCACTTCATGGATCAGTAAAATTCGAGGTTCCAGGGGGTTTTCAGGCCCCAAAAGGTGCTCCCCCCCCCCTCCTGGAATGAAAAAAGAATGAACTCCCCTCGGGCAAATTTCTGTGTTTGCCACTGACGATAATATGTACTGGAATGTTACCAAATAACCGACAAGAATATTATGTACTTCTGTAAACTGAGAATGAGAACCCCCTTAAGTAGGGAAGGTATTTTACAAATTGTTGAGCGCCCCTTGCCGCAAACCATGTTTAGTCGAATGATTTCTAATTGTTGCGGTATGCCTACCCTCCCTCCCTCCAAATTAGTGTCTGTTAAAGATACTTTATCGATTCGAATCAATATATTTGGGTTATCGTCAGTGCTTAGGATCTATTTAATTTTGATGTGGATCCCGATTCTGGATCCCACTGGAAAAACATTGATCTGGATTCTGGATTCCACTGTGAAAAAGGGATCTGGATTCTGGATCCCACTGGGAAAAATGGATCCGGATTCTGGATCCCACTGGGAAAAAATGGATCCGGATTCTGGATCCCACTGGGAAAAAATGGATCCGGATTCTGGATCCCACTGGGAAAAAATGGATCCGGATTCTGGATCCCACTGGGAAAAAATGGATCCGGATTCTGGATCCCACTGGAAAAAATGGATCCGGATTCTGGATCTCACTGGAAAAAATGGATTCGGATTCTGGATCCCATTGGAAAAAATGGAGCCGGATTCAAAGCAGAATTGTCAAGTTATTTTCTTCTTTTTTTCGCTTATTTTTATGCTAAAATTGATAAACCATTCAGAGATCCGGAAATTTTTATAATCTCTATTTTTTCAACAGTTTAGATTTGGGTTTTTAGGGTAAAAAGTTTTTTGTTGCAGTTTTTGGTTGATATTTTGCCCCTTGGATCCTATAAGAACCAAATTTTCAATCTCTATTTTAACGCCCAAGTCATATTCAAAGGGACAGTAAAGGAAAAATGAAAGGGGGTATAGGCTGAAAGCTAATCACTTTAGCTCTTGATCTCGACCCATGAAAGTCATATCTTGTCTCGAGAAATTGATATAAAACTGTGTCAAATCTATACGAAAATTAATATATATACAATTTTGTATAAAAGTAGTAGGTTTAAACAGATCATATTCAGCAAATAAGCAACCAATCTGAAAACGATGATATCCCAGAGAAAGCTAATTGTAATTTAGGTTTACTTGTATATTTGTTGTTTCTATTTTCAATAGATTTCATTCATAATATTATTTATACATCCGTATTGCTTGACCAGAAATTCCACCAATGGCAGTGCAGTAAAGTGGTCACGTGATACAGGCGGAGACACGTGACCAGTATACTTGCTCTGCCATTGGTGATATTTCTGGTCACGTGATTTAAGTTTCAGATTTTCAAAATTTTACATATATGAATTTTCGTATAATTTTAACACAGTTAAATATCAGTTTCTCGAGACAGGAACATCAGATAAAACTTTCATGGGTCGCGATCAAGAGCTAAAGTGATTAGCTTTCAGCCTATACCCCCTTTCATTTTTCCTTTACTGTCCCTTTAATATCTATTTTTTAGGCCGTATTCTCCGCAGTATTCTATTTTGCTAGTGTTTCACTGTATCAGGTAGCATCATTTTAAGAAAAGTTCTAAAAAATCGGATTTGTTCAATATGTATTCCCAAAACACAAACAAAATTTGTCGGTACAATTGGCTTAGTAGATATACAATATACACTAAAACCATAATTCCTTGACTGTAGGTTGATTGGTAATAATAATAATAAAGTTTTCGGACTTCTTGAAGGTACCAGTAAATCCAATATACAGTTTTAAATTTTTAAAACTTTAAGTTTTAAAAACTAACCAAGTTGTTCTTCATCACTACTTGAACCCGTCCTCCAGCCTTTCATTCGATCTATCTATCTATGTTAAGTTCTATCAATCCAAGGTTATAATGCAAGGAAAGTTATTTCAGAGGTGTACGCATCTTTTGTACTGCAGTGTACTGTCTCTATTCTGGGCGGTAATGTTAACACAAGACCGATGTCACAGCCTGACATGGGATCCATCTTTCACATAAGAAATCAATGAAATATTCTGGTCATAGGATACTATTATGTGAGTTATCAAAATTATCAAAATTCAATATGTACGCAACTGCAATTAACTTTCCTTGCATTAGAACCTTGTATCAATCCATGTTAAGTTAGCAATGTTAATCTAACTTAGAAGATCTACGAGGACGGAGTCCATTTTTACTTTTTCATAATTATTCTTTCTGGCATCCGTTTTTTAAACTTCTTTTCTTGTCCCTTTTTTCATTTTACTTTTCTTTTCTCATAAGGTAATGTCACACTCCAAGTCACTTCTGCAGAGAAACCAAGATTGAAAACAGTCTGTTTTAAAATAATGAAATAGATACCAAATCAGACAAAGCTTTTAAGGGTACCGTTGTAAATTGGCCATGCCACTCTTTAAGTGGAATGTCTCCTTAAATTACGTTTTCTAATCCTTGAATCTAAGTTTGTGATGGTTCAGGGTTTCTTGATGGTTGGGTATGGAACCCTGTACACTATGCTCCCTGTGTTCTCCTTAGTACTGGATCGTGATGTGACAGGAACCATTGCTATGACCTACCCTGAGCTCTACAAGGAACTAACTAAAGGAAGATCCCTCTCATACAAAACATTTTTTATTTGGTGTCTCATCTCTATATATCAGGTATCTATCTATCTAACTAACTAACTAGCTATCTATCTATCTATCTATCTATCTATCTATCTATCTAACTAACTAACTAACTAACTAACTAGCTATCTATCTATATTTCTACCTATTTGTAAACCTATCTATCCATCTAGGTAGAGTTGACAGATACATTTAGCTTAGAATCCATTCTATCCGAATCCGTCCTGTTAAAAATGGATTAAAATTCGGATACATCCTTAAAAATATGTGTTAGAATCTGAATCCGTCCTGTTAAAAATATACCAGGATTCGGATCAGACTCAAAGATAAGTCAACACTTGAAGATGTATTTGCGAGAGAACTAATTTTATGCAAGCCAACATACATTAACACTTTAGTTATTTTGTACAGTCTTCAAACCCTTGGAAGAATAAGTAAATAATTAAGGATGGAATACTTGAAATCTTATGTAGTATCACGAAACCCTAAAAATCTCCATATCTTTTTTACAACTGCAGTTTTCTGTGAGGATGATAGTGAAACCTTAGCCTAGGTAGCACAGCTTGTTTACATTTCTCCCAGAATCTGCAGTACACTTCGATAGTTAACATAGATATGAGGGTTCTTGGTGTATGTCTGGGATGAGATGTTCAAGGATCAAGAATACAATTCCATATTTATTTTAAATTAAACATGAACACTGAACAATCCCTTACTTATGTAATGTTAAGGGCGGAGTAATAATGTTTGGTGCTCTCCTCCTGTTTGAGGACGAATTCATCCATATTGTAGCAATCAGCTTCACAGCTCTTATCATCACAGAGCTCACCATGGTAGCCCTCACCATCAGGTTAGATTCTCACACTGGCTACCTTATTCAGAATACAAATAAATTTTGTAAATTTTTTAATTTAATAAACGGTAAAAAAGATGTTTTTATAATTGAATTTTTTCCCTCCTTTCTTGTTATCTATCATTCTTTGAAAATTTGAAAAACATTTTTTTATATTTCAGTTATAAAAAAAGGTCTATTAATGTTTTCACTAGTTGGGCTACTTAGCTGACTCTTTATTTGGGTGTAGTATCTATTGCACTAATTCGTTCGGACATTAGAACAATCGATTAACCATCTTTTGTTGATGGCAGCATTGAATCAAATTTGCAATGTCGTCTTCAGTATTGTTACTATTGTTATGATTTTTAATGGGATGATGACTAAGTTTTGATTGTGAAGATGATGAAATAGTGAAATTATTTATAAATAATGACAGAGTTGTGATTGTGAAGATGATGAAATAGTGAGATTATTATTAAATGATGACAAAGTTGTGATTTTAAAGATGATGAAATAGTGAAATTATAATTGAATGATGATAAAGTTGTGTGATTGGGAATATGATGAAATAGTGAAATCATTATGAAATGACGCAATGTTGTAATGATGTAATATTGAAATGACGTAATGGTATAATGGTAAAGGTACGCATACGGTCCAATTATCTCTCTTTCAAACAAAATTAGCAGAAAAAACAATGAACTTATTTTTTTTATGTTCTTCTAAATCTTCACTCTTTAGTTTCAGGTTTGAGAAGTGTGATAGTTCTGAGTTCGCCCCCCCCCCTTTACAATTCTAGGGGGCACTGCCCCTCTTGCTCTCCCTCTGTATAAGCCTTGAATGTAATGATGAAAAGTGATGGTGTAATGATGTAATGTAATAATATACTGGTGTAATGATGTAATGTAATACTATACTGGTGTAATGATGTAATGTAATAATATACTGGTGTAATCATGTAATGTAATAATATGCTGGTGTAATCATGTAATGTAATAATATATTGGTGTAATCATGTAATGTAATAATATACTAGTGTAATCATGCAATGTAATAATATACTGGTGTAATCATGTAATGTAATAATATACCGATGTAATCATGTAATGTAATAATATATGTAATAATATGATAATATACTGGTGTAATGATGTAATGTAATAATATACTGGTGTAATCATGTAATGTAATAATATACTGGTGTAATCATGTAATGTAATAATATACCGATGTAATCATGTAATGTAATAATATATGATGTAATGTAATAATATACTGGTGTAATGATGTAATATAATAATATACTGGTGTAATCATGTAATGTAATAATATACTGGTATAATCATGTAATGAAATAATATGCTGGTTTAATCATGTAATCACAAATCCGCCAAAGTCCAAAATATTGTGTAAAATTGCGATAAATTAATTTATTTTATTCCTTGTAAATTAGAACTTGGCATCCTGTGATGTTTCTGGGTGAGATTGCAAGTATTCTTCTCTACTTCTTGTCATTGATAGTTCTCAGGTAATTTACTATATTTAAAGGTTTTTTTGTATGTCATCACTCAGCTAGGCACCACTTGTCCGATTTGCCTCAAATTTTGATTAAGGAACTCGTTAGAACCAAAGAAGTGATTTTAGCATGGTTTGAAAAATTATAACAGATCTCCAGGCAAAGATGGGTTTCCAAGAACGTCCACTATATTTCTCAGAAATGCTTATTAATTTTTTCCATCCCCGGCCCACCTCCTTGGTGAATTGTCGTTTGTCAATCTACTTCTGATATTAAGGAATTTTTCACTAAATAAGATTACACAGTACACATTTGGGAAAGGCTCACTACCCAAATGTCAAATGTCGATTTATTCTTGATTGTTGATATTCAAATTTTTTTTTTTTTTTTTTTTAGAGATTACTTTGACTCTGAGTTTATCAAATCTGTGGCATTTATCTGGAAAACCTTGGTTATTACAGCGTTCTCCACTCTCCCCCTCTATGTTATCAAAATAATGAGGTAAATATTGAAATTATAAATTTTATCAAATTAATGAGGTAAATAATGAAAAAATAAATTTTAACAAACTAATGATGTAAAATTATGAAGACATAAATGTTATTAAATTAATGAGGTAAATAATGAAAATATAAATGTTATCAAACTAATGAGGTAAAATTATGTTATTAAATTAATGAGGTAAATATTGAAAAAATAAATTTTAACAAACTAATGATGTAAAATTATGAAGACATAAATGTTATTCAATTAATGAGGTAAATAATGAAAATATAAATGTTATCAAACTAATGAGGTAGAATTATGAAGACATAAATGTTATTAAATTAATGAGGTAAATATTGAAAAAATAAATTTTAACAAACTAATGATGTAAAATTATGAAGACATAAATGTTATTAAATTAATGAGGTAAATAATGAAAATATAAATGTTATCAAACTAATGAGGTAAATAAGGAAGAAATAAATGTTATCAAACTAATGAGGTAAAATTATGAAGATATAAATGTTATCAAATTAATGAGGTAAATAATGAAAAAATAAATGTTATCAAATGAAAGAGGTAATAATTTTTAAAAAATGAAATATAAATTAGTTTTAATTTTAAACTATATTTTTTCTAGGAAACGATTCTCTCCTCCTTCATACCAAAAACTGTCTTGAATGTGGTGTGTTTATTACGAACTGAGTACTATGTACTGTATTTATGTACCGTGTATAATTTTTGTACTCTAATAGTTTTGTTTAAAATTGATGCTGCTGTGATTCTTTTTTTTATTTTCAACCGTTCTCCATCTCCATATATTTTAATATATTTGTTAGTTTAATATTTATTTATTATAATTAGTTATTTTATTCTAATAAACATTAATGATTATACATTAAAGAATTTAACATATATGTCAAGCGGTGGTAAGGAAACTTCCTCGTTTTGATGCGGAAGTGGATCTGGTCCAGACCCTTTTTGTAGGTCGGATGCACAACTGTTAAGTAGGTCGGATGCACAACTTTTTGTAGGTCGGATGCACAACTTTTTGTAGGTCGGATGCAGAACTTTTGTAGGATGGATGGACAACTTTTGTAGGTCGGATGTACAACTTGTGTGGATGTTAGGTTAGGTAAAGTCTGGGCCGAGCGCTGCAGCTAGGACAGGCTATCTAATTGACAAAGTGAACGCCGATATTTGAGGATAGGTTGTCAAGCTCTGCGACCATATTTATCAATATGACTAAATACTATAGCAGTATTTAGCAGATCTGTGGTGTTATGACAATTTCTTGGCCGAGCGCTGCGGCTAGGAAAGACTAGGGGGTCGAGTGCTGCGGCCACATTCATCAAATAGATTAAGTAATAGCCGATGTGTGGACAAATGCAGTGCATCCGACCTGGTCTGCATCCAATCTACAGTTATAAAGTGTGCAACCGACCTACAGTAGGGTGGATATACACTAAATTTTGTTCAATTGAGTGTGTATCCGACATACTGTTCATCGGACCAACAGCAGCTAGAAGCTTCTAAAAAACCACGTGCGGATAGGTCCGAAATATCGTAGGACGGATGCAACGTTGGACGGATGTAAGGACCCCTCAAATTGAATGTTTCCAAATTACCAAAATTTCGGAAAAGGGTCTAAATAAAACATAAGAGACAATCAAAAATATTTTATAGATAATAAACTCAAGCTTATTTTTAAGATAATGACAAAATAGCGGACAATTATGAATTCAGCTGCCTTGTGTATGTAAAATTTACCAATGCATACTGATACTCTTAAGTTTTCACTAATATTTGTATCCCTACATCTCTGTATACTACATGCAAACATGTATTCCTAGTTCCATGTATTATACTTGAATTTCTCAGTATATCCCTGCATCCTTGAATTTCTCAGTATCCCCCTGTATCCTTGAATTCTCAGTATCCCTGAATCCTTAAATTCCTCAGTATCCCCCCGTATCCCTGAATCCTTGAATTTCTCAGTATCCCCCTGTATTCCTGAATCCTTGAATTTCTCATTATCCCACTGTATCCCTGAATCCTTGAATTTATCAGTATCCCACTGTATCCCTGAATATCTTAAATTCCTCAGTATCCACCTGTATCCCTGAATCCTTGAATTCCTCAGTATACCATTGTATCCTTGAATTTCTCAGTATCCCCCTGTATCCTTGAATTTCTCAGTATCCTCCTGTATCCCTGAATCCTTGAATTTCACAGTATCCCCCTGTATCCTTGAATCCTTGAATTTCTCAGTATCCTCCTGTATCCCTGAATCCTTGAATTTCTCAGTAACCTCCTGTTTCCCTGAATATCTTGTATTCCTCTGTATCCCCGAATATTTGCATTCCTCAGTATCCCTTAAGTCTTAAATTCCTCAGTATCCCCCTGAATCCCTGATTAATGTCTTGAATTCCTCAGTATCCCCCTGTATCCCTAAATCTTTGTATTCCTCAGTATCCCCTTGTATCCCCCTGTATCCCTGAGTATATTATATTCCTCAGTATCCCCCTGTATCCCTAAATATCTTGTATTCCTCAGTCTTCTCGTGTATCCCCCTGTATACCCCTGTATCCACCTGTAACCCTGAATATCTTGTATTCCTCAGTCTCTTCGTGTATCCCCCTGTATCCCCTGTATCCACCTGTAACCCTGAATATCTTGTATTCTTCAGTATCTCCCTGTGTATCTCCCTGTATCCCCTGTATCCACCTGGATCCCTGAATATCTAGTATTCCTCAGTCTCCCCCTGTGTATCTCCTGTATCTCCTGTATCCCCCTGTATCCCCTGTATCCACCTGTAACCCTGAATATCTTGTATTCCTCAGTCTCCCCCTGTGTATCTCCCTGTATCTCCTGTATCCCCCTGTGTATCTCCCTGTATCTCCCTGTATCCACCTGAAACCCTGAATATCTTGTATTCCTCAGTCTCCCCCTGTGTATCTCCCCGTATCTCCTGTATCCCCCTGTGTATCTCCCTGTATCTCCTGTATCCCCTTGTATCTCCTGTATCCCCCTGTTTATCTCCCTGTATCTCCTCGTGTATCCCGCTGTATCCCCCTGTATCTCATGTATCCCCCTGTGTATCCCCCTGTATCTCCTGTATCCCCCTGTGTATCTCCCTGTATCTCCTGTATCCCCCTGTGTATCTCCTGTATCCCCCTGTGTATCTCCCTGTATCCCCCTGTATATCTCCTGTATCTCCCTGTATATCTCCTGTATCCCCCTGTATCCCTGAACATCTTGTGTTTATTAGAACTAAAACTAGGATGAGAAAAGACGGAGATGAAATATTCATGATCAAGGATTCATCTCTTTGTCAACTCTTTATCTCCAAAGTACACCGGACCATTTTATTGGTTTAATCTTATTTAACTCTAGTCTCTAATAATATTTTAACATTTGTGTAATCTATTTATGCAATCAAAATGGTCTTTACGGTATTTATCAGCTTTTACACCCGCTTCGGTATCCCTGTAAGGATGTTGTGAACTATATTTACCCCTTTAACGTTGTTATGAACTATATTTACTCATGTAAGGTTGTCATGAACTACAGGGTGTTCCACGAAACATGACAGTTGATAAATAGTTTTGAATGTCGTTTTCCATACACTGTATTAGATATTAAAGGATGTTTGCAGTTTATTTCGTTTAAAAAATCTTTTGCTCTAGTATATTTTACTTTGAAATTAATGTTTCTATAATATGACTCCTAAATAATATTTTTATTATTGTCTAAGGTTGGTTCAAAAGTTTTTTCATCAAAGTATAAATTAATATTTAGGCAACATCTAGTTATACAGTTTTATTTTCTCATGCTTAATTTGGTATTGAGTATTCAGTTATAGTGAATACAGGTCCAAGTCAAATGAAGATGTACATATATATTACTTTACACTGGTTCCAAATAATGATAAGCCAAAAAAAAATTTCAAGTCAGATTTTGATAAAAATCTCAATCCTATCATTATCATATCTTATCGTTATCATATCCTATCGTTATCATATCCTATCATTATCATATCCTATCAGATCATAAAGTGATATAATAGTAAACGCGCGTATCCCGTACTCCCGGAAGGGAGACTCAATCCACCGGCATTTAATTGATACTAGAAATAGTTTGTTTGGTAATTCGCCGGTGGAAGGAGTTAATCCGGACTCATGGCTCAAATTTGGTCGTGATACCCGACGTTAGGCTTAAACTATGTCAGGCTGAAAAGCCTTGATCTAGATGGGATCGTGATGGCGTACCCCAGCTAGATCAGGGAGCCCACGGGACTTCCCTAGCTTCTTGAATTGAATTGAATTGAATTCGTATTAAAAAACTTATCAAATTATGGAAGAAGACATTCTAAACTATTTATACCAACTGTCATGTTTCGTGGGACACCCTGTATATTTACCCATGTAGGGTTGTTTTCTAACTATTTTTACTCCTGTAGGTTTGTTATGAACATATATAAACCCCTGTAGGGTTGTTATGAACTATATTTACCCATGTAGGGTTGTTATATAACTATATTTACTCCTGAAGGGTTGTTATGAACATATATAAACCCCTGTTGGGTTGTTATAGAAGTATTTACTCCTGTAGAGTTGTTATGAACTATATTAACCCCTGTAGGGTTGTTATGAACATATATAAAGCCCTGTAGGGTTGTTATGAACTATATACACCCATGTAGGGTTGTTATATAACTATGTTTACCCTGTAGGGTTGTTATGAACTATATTTACCCCTTTAGAGATGTTATAAACTATATTTACCCTTGTAGGGTTGTTATAAACTATATTTACCCCTGTAGGGATGTTATGAACTATATTTACCCCTGTAGGGTTGTTTGGTTTAACTAAGGGAGGGAAAAGTAGAATTTATGTTGAACAGTTTCTATAATCCCGGACAATTTCAGGGAGTTCTTCTCAGGGAACAATAATAAAGGGAAGGGAAATGACGCTGGTCTGGCATGAGAAAGCCAGTCACACTGCTTTGCAGACAAGTTCGTTACACACGCACACTCTTTTGGCACAGACACTCAACATGACCACAGTCAAGGAAATTGCAGAAAAATGTTGTCAACTATAATTAAGCTTGAATTACGAGTAATTTATTGTAAACTTTAATCAAGTTATATTCTTTGCATTAATATTTGGCTTATATAGTGTTGACTTAAATATATAAATAATATATTACATGTATATTAAACTTATTTTTAAGTAAACAATTAACAATATACAAATGTACTCTCCTAAACTGTACATTAATACCGAGATTCTTATGTTCTGTATATACCTACAGTCCACGCCGTCGATTCGTTATTACCTACTCTCTACGTGGAACAGAGAGGGGGGAAAGTTTCTTGAATTAAAACACTAACAGTTCACACCACAGACTACACAGACTGCTCAGACACTCTACCTGGATAGGCTGAGCAGGCCTATAGTGTCCCGGCACGCCATGCCAGGGTTCCACGAAATGTTTTTTGACTGACATCTCACGGCCATTTGTTGCATTCATGGGTTAAGTTTTTCAACTTTCAAAGAAATACTCCAATTTTAAGCATAGAACATAACGTTTATGAATATTGTCTATTTTTAAAGATTTTTCATTTCCTATTCCAAGGATCCTTAAATATCCCTGAATACAGATGTCTCCTGATTGGTCGTGTACAGTACTTGTACACAATAGAACATGCTGTGGAAAATATCGCATATTATAGGTGTTAATCGATCTTATCTCTGGTTCACACCTTAATAAATTACAAGCAGGAAGCGTGCTATGAATCAAGATAGAAAATAACAAGGATAAGTGCTGTTTTATGGAGTTCGATTTTTATGTTTCGCAAAACGAATAATATTAAATAGCCATTTAAAAGCTTGAAACCCCTGCTTTTTTGTGGGTTTTTGGTTGAACATTTCATAAAAACTTAAAAACACTGAATGCAGATCATTTTTCTAATAAAGGCACACTCCGATATTATTAAAATTTATTGGAACCTTAAAAACTTTTTTTATTGAAGACACGCAATAAAAAACTGATAACTTTTTCCATCAAAGAACCACTCCTACATTAAAACACCTGAAATATCCTGGGAATTCATAGAATTTTTGGTTCGAAATTTAAGTATTTACTTTTAATGTTGAAGACAAACTTTAATATTAGAAAATCTGAAAAAATACGGTCCTTCCAAATAGAGATCGTTGAAAAATATAGTTTTTACTGATCATGGGGGGGGGGTGTGCATGAGCCCCCCCCCTTCTTACCCCTCTAGCTGTATGTGTTATATGGTGGGGAGTAAATCCTTCCTAAATAGCTGGGGTTATAAAAATATACAAAAGAAAGGATAATTTATATTTACACGAAAATATTCTTGGTTAAAAGTATAACTATTTGTACGCTAGGCATGTACAATCTATTATGTACATGCACAACTATCAGTATCACTAGGGATGGGCATTGTGAGCAAAATTTTTATTTGAGAATAAAGGTAATGTACACTTATTAACACATGTAAGGCTACTATATCTGGTTGCAAAGATATAAAGATTAGAAAATTAAAATTTAAGGTTGAGTATTTAGTGGCTCATTGTTAAACTTATTTTTCCAGTGAAGGAGGCAGAAATTCCCAAAGAGAACCAAATACGTCTTTTTTAGGAACAGGGAAAGCAAAATACGGTATTAAAATTGTTTTTATAAATACAGTGATAACCAGAAAACTCTGGAATAGAAAGACAACTATTAGACTCAAGGTATGACTTTAAACATGACATGAGAAAAAGCACATGTACAGTGTAATTACACTCGTGTATGCCGAGTCCATTAGTGCCTTAATCCAATCAGGGTTCAGTCATGTGTTTGTTGTTTATTCTGAACCAATAGAAATAGTATCTATCTTTTTATCTACCTCATTATCCAATCAGAGTTACGAATCATTCAATCGGCGCGATCAGTAAATGGAAATATTTACTTTAACTGAAACTATAGTGATTAGAACCATTTCAGTGATTTAATAAGATAAATGTAAAACTATTTGCTTTGAAACAACATCAAATTCATTTAAGTACTGCTATAATGTCGGGTTTCTATTCCACAGTTTTCTGGTTCTCACTGTATCTTATTGCAGCATGTCTGATAAGTATTCCCCATCCCTAGGATCCTACCTCATACATATTTAAACCTTAACAGTCCGGTATCATAACTGGAAATGAGAAAATTTTCCTTAATCCTTCCTGAAATATTATAAACAAGAACAAGAGCAAGAAATAAGAACAGGAACAAGAAAAATAACAAGAGCAGGAACAGGAACAAGAACAGGAACAAGAACAGGAACAAGAACAAGAACAATAGCAGGAACAGGAACAAGAACAAGAACAAGAACATGAACAAGAACAAGGACAAGAACAAGAACAATAACAAGAACAGGAACAAGAACAGGAACAAGAACAGGAACAAGAACAGGAACAATAACAAGAACAATAGCAGGAACAGGAACAAGAACAAGAACAAGAACATGAACAAGAACAAGGACAAGAACAAGAACAATAACAAGAGCAGGAACAGGCCGGAACAAGAACAAGAACAAGAACATGAACAAAAACAAGGTAAGAAAAGAGGTCAACATTATTTTGCTACGTTATCCGTATCATGTGAGTGTGATTTTCAAAGTTCTTCAATTTGATTTGACAAAGAAAGAAATTAGTGCTTAGGAAAAAGTCTTCAGTCGTTTGTAAAGGAGAGGGGCAGCTAAAATGGGGGGGGGGGCACTAGAGATTGTGAAAACAGATATTTACGGGGTAAACCTCAGGCCCGTAGCCATGCTCAAGGGGTCAGGTGCACCACCTTTCTACTAAAATGGGGGGTGCAACGGCGAATTTAAATATGTTGCTTGGTATAATCTTCACTTGAAATTTTTTTCATTCTGATATTGTATATAGGGTCCGAAACAATTGTATAGTAAAACTGTTTCCTCAGACCAACCAAATTAAAGTTTTCTTTGTTAAATATTTGTCCTGATTTCCTGGTAGAACTGGTTTGTTGTACTTTCGCATATATTGACAATATGTAACAATATTTAACAAATAGATAAATAAGATGTTCCAGTATTTATCAAAAATTCAATTTCTTAAAATTTTGCAGAAACTATGAACATTTTGTCCAGATAATTCAAAATTTATAAACGTGAATAGTAATATCAAAATTATCAGTATTTTCTGTCATAAAATATTATAAATAAGATAAAAACTAAAATATGAAAATTTTCTTTGTACCATACAATGATACAAAATATTAGAAAATATTCTACATAACAAAATATTTAAGCTAAAATTACTACAAAACTGCAAAAATTTTCTACACATTTTTTGCAAACCCCGGCTCCTTCACTACGTTTCACTCGTTGATTCTGGGCCCATACTTAACCACCCCTATTTGTAAAGCACCAGTTGCAAGAACAAGTTTTAAACTTAATATTAGTTTTAAAACAGCTCTAAAAATAATATTAAGAAATATCAAATACACACAAATACATCCACCCCCAACACATACACACACACACAAACAGCCAAGTTGCGCTTCAGCTCTCGTCCTTTGTGGGTTACCCTGTATACATGGTCGTCGTATATATCAATACAATAATAACTACTTTCCATTTTAATTTTTGATTTCTACCAAGCTTGCCAACAGTATTGAATAACCATGGAAACAAAGATAAGTTGTCCATTAAAAGTTTACTTGTAAACTTGTAATTTGAAGAAAGCTAGTTTGAAATTAAAACCTAATTAGAAAACTCGTCTTTATTGTATTGATATAAACGCCTGCCACTTAACATAAATGATGTTCTCGTCTAACCAAGGAAATCCCAGTTTCCCATACTGTCTAGATAGTTTGACCCTGTTTTAAAGATGATATGATGGTGGGTTGCGGAGCTGAATACAGTTCATGGATTATCCTAGAGCAGAGAGAACTCAGCAGAGCAAACCAGAGTAAACTCGACACTTGAACCAGGATTATTCCATCAACAACTCACATCTAGAACATCTTTTATTTACAGATTAACCCAGCCAACACTAGATAACACGGACCTCAAATGACGCAGTTTTATAATTTCCGGCTTTCATCTGTATCTTCTTGATACTTTATCTCGTTCATGTGTTCGGGTTCTGTTTCTTGTCTAAACCTTGAAACATCTAAAAAATCTTTAAATCCCGTAAAGTTCTTTGTATCAAGTACCTAATCACCCTCTGAGCTTACAAATAATTTTGGGCCAACAAATCTTAATAACCTACTCTGGTTAACCGGGCTCTATTTAAATTTGAAATGGGATTCGAAGCTTGGATTTATCCTAACCCTGATTTCATCCCTGCCCAGGATTCATCCAAATCCTGGATTTATCCTAACCCTGGATTCATCCCAACCCTGGATTCATCCCTACCCAGGAATCATCCTAACCCTGGATTCATCCCTACCCAGGATTCATCCAAATCGTGGATTTATCCTAACCCTGGATTCATCCTAACCTTGGATTCATCCCAACCCTGGATTTATCCTATCCCTGGATTCATCCTAAGCCAGGATTCATCCTAACCCTGGATTCATCCCTACCCAGGATTCATCCAAATCCTGGATTCATCCCAACCCTGGATTTATCCCAACCCTGTATTCATCCCCACCCTGGATTCATTCTAACCCCGAATTCATCCCATCCCTAGATTCATCCAATCCATTGATTCATCCCAACCCTGGACTCATCCTAACCCTGGATTCATCCAATCCCTGAATTCATCCCAACCCTGGATTCATCCCAACCCTGGATTCATCCCAACCCTGGATTCATCCCAACCCCCAATTCATCCCAACCCTGAATTCATCCCAACCTGTGTTCTCGGCATAGGTTTCCTAATAAAGGAGTCATTTATATTATAGTCTGTGTGTCTGCAATATGTTTTATGGTTGAAGTGGGATTATGTTTCTCCGTGTTCCCTGTATTCCCCGGCACCCTGGAGAGGGTCTTGAATCCTTTAATACCAATACATTATATATACATGATACAACCCCTTAATAGTACAGACCCGGAGTAGAGACCGTTATAACTTCTTTTTGAATTTGTTTAATATGAACTTAAAACCATTTATTTATTGGTTGGTAAATATTTTGGCGTTTCATGAATTTCAATTTTGGTCAATCTCCCAGTATTTACGATAGAAAAACTGTCTCCCTTATTGTTCGATATTTGAAATAATTCCAACACTAATGTTCCACGTTCCACGTTCCAAGTTCCTATTTATGACAGAAAGGAATTGTGTAAAAGTGACGAAATATCCTGGTATATAATTCCGAGTCCGGAGCTAAAGTCTAACCAAACCTACTCAGGCCTCATATAAGCTACACATACAGCTGAGAAAGGTAAATTAACATTTCTTAAAACTTTCACTTTTTATTTTTTCATTCATCTCATTTTTCATTCAATATTGCTTTAAAATATTATATTTTTTTCTATGTTTAAAATTTGATGTTCTACATGTAATCTTTTTAAAATATAAATGTAAATTATTGTAGAAAGCCAGTATAACTATGGGTATCCTTATCTCTACCCTAATGGACCGGTTCTTTGGTCCAATGCCTGCACGGATCTGTATGCTGGGCCTGGATGGAGCAGGGAAGACGACAATCCTGTATAAACTCAAACTAGGAGAGGTCGTCAGTACAATCCCAACTATTGGGTTTAACGTTGAGGTAAATGTTTTAACATTTTTACAGTTATGCAAGCTAAACCAAAGGTATAAGATTTTGATGGACGACGTTTGCAGAAATTGGACCTAAATTGGCATTCAGAGGGGTTCCGAATCCCAAGGAAATCATAAGTTAAAATTTATCCACCCGCGGGAGGAGGCTCACCCACTATAGCCCTCTTCCCACTATATATATATATATATATATGCACTTGGAGGCTTTAATGACCTTAAACTCTTCATATAAAAAGATTTAATGGTTTAATTGGGCCGGTTATTATTAATTATTTAGCAAATAAATAATGAAACATAAACCTGGGGAAATCACGGAAACTAAACTAAATCTGTACAGTCGTCTCTAAACTCTCATCCTTTGTGTTTAACACAGTATCAAGTATCAAATTTTGAAATGAACTCATGCCATTATTATAAATAATATATATTAATTCTTTTTTTTAACTTTTAATTGTTTAGACAGTTGTTTACAAGAATATAAGCTTCACAGTTTGGGATGTAGGCGGCCAAACTAAAATTAGGTAAAATTATTTGAGGATTTTTGTGAAAATAAGACAAAATTAATATATTTTCAAAAAACCTAAATATTATTTCTGTAAATGTTTAAAAGGTTTCAAAGCTGTAAATTTTTAAATCGTAAAAAAACAGAATCATGTTTTTTGACCAGACATGGACAAAAAAATTTCGTTTATGAAAAAAATCACATAGATTTTTCTTTAGACCTTTGTGGCAGCATTACTTTGAGAACAGTGATGCGGTGATCTACGTGGTGGACAGCTCAGATAGGCAAAGGCTGGAGGAGAGCAGAGAGGAGTTGGAGTACGTTATGAGGTAATTTTTTATCCAGTCAAAAATGTATATATATATATATATTTTTTAAATCATCACGAAAACAACTTTAATACATTTCTTGAAACTATTTCCCGACAAAAATACCATTTTTTTCTAAAAAGTTCAAATGTTTTTTCCCCACAATAAAAGGAAAGGATAGGATGAATTTTCATGAAAAAAAAGAATTTTTAATGTTTTGACTTTTTCTTAAACAACATAAACTCGAATCATATACATGGACAAGTTTAATGGAATTGAATCATATACATGGACAAGTTTAATGGAATTGAAACATATACATGGACAAGTTTAATGGAATTGAATCTTTTTTGGCACAAAGGAGTTAATTCTTCGGCATAGACTCTATTTTTCTAATCCCCAAATCTTTGAACCTGTTTGTGTAAACCTTTGTTATTTAAAATTATTTGACCAAACATAATTCTACGACATTGTGTTGCAAAGATAAAGGGAGTAGAAATTAGAGATTGTGGCAAAGTCTAAATTTCTTTCTGCAAAAGTACTGGAGCAACATTGTGGCTTTCTTCAAAATACTTGCTTAAAAAGAGAAGTCATAAAAATTTTTTTTGATTTGACGTGAGGTTGTGGATGGAGCTAAAAATAAAATTTCGGTTTGTTGAGGGATGATCGTGTTCGTGGGGCCAGCCTGCTTGTGTTCAGCAACAAGATGGATATGCCGAACAGCTGTTCAACAGCTGAGATCACAGATAAACTTGGCTTACATGCTTTCAAGGACAGAGATTGGTATATCCAGGTAAACCAGACGAAAAGGTCGATATCAATCGTAAAAAAACCTAAAGATTTTTTTATCCTTACTTTTGTAACTTTGTAGAAAAAAAGGATTGTCGTATTAAATTAATAAGACGGTTATTTTTCAAAAAAATACATTTAATTTGTTTCTTATATTGACTAGGGTGATTTTCAATAAACATTGCCTTCGTCCATGATGGGTTAATTTTTGCAGAAAAAAACTTCATTTATTTTTAATCAAAGATTCTACATATAAGATATATAAAATATGATTTTTTTTCTGGGAAATGGGTTCATGAGAACATTTCTCTGCAGAAACATCGGGTCCAATTAATAATGTTTCTTATTTGACTTCACCTAATATTTAGTGAACACTCCCTTTAATGTTTTATATTTAATATTTAGAGAACACTCCCTTTAATATTTAATATTTAGTGAACACTCCCTTTAATATTTAATATTTAGTGAACCTTCCTTTAATATTTAATATTTATTGAACACTCCTTTTAATACAAATATTTAGTGAACACTCCCTTTAATATTTGATATTTAGTGAACACTCCCTTTAATATTTAATATTTAGTGAACACTCCCTTTAATATTTAATATTTAGAGAACACTCCCTTTAATATTTAATATTTAGTGAACCTTCCGTTAATATTCAATATTTAGTGAACACTCCCTTTAATATTTAATATTTAGTGAACACTTCCTTTAATATTTAACATTTAGCCAACACTCCCTTTAATATTCAATATTTAGTGAACACTCCCTTTAATATATAATATTTAGAGAACACTCCCTTTAATATTTAATATTTAGCTAACACTCCCTTTAATATTTAACATTTAGCCAACACTCCCTTTAATATTTAATATTTAGCGAATACTCCCTTTAATATTTAATATTGAGATAACACTCCTTTTAATATTTAATATTTAGTGAACACTCCCTTTAATATTTAATATTTAGCCAAAACTCCCTTTATTATTTAATATTTAGAGAACACTCCCTTTAATATTTAATATTTAGTCTACCTGTGGTGTGAGTGGGGAGGGTATAGTGGATGGACTGGAATGGTTAGCTAACAATCTTAAGAAGAAAAACAAAATCTACAATTAACAAGATTCTTGCTCTCTTTTCCTTTACAGTTTGGACTGATCAAGATATCCATTATTTTCTCTTAGAAAATTGATTATTTTCTAATTTGAATTCCACGGTTCCATGAAATTACAATTATCATTTCTTTCCAGACAATCAAACTCTTATTTACTCAAACTTTAAAATACTCATATATATATCAAATAAATGTTAAAGAAAAATTTTTTCAGATTTTTAAAAAAATAAACTTTCATATGATAGTTAAAAACTAGAGGACAAACTATGCAAAAAATCTTGAAAATTTAATTTTAATTGTGATTTATTTTTAGCTTTTTGTGAAGCATCATTAGTCTGTGATATATGTATATATATATTTATATTTATATTATAAGATATTAACCAAGAATTCCATATTTGTTATAATGAAATAGATTAGCAATTGATAAACAAACGAAATATTTTGATGTCCCATTGGACCATTGCATGGAAAGTTCCTATTTTACAAGAACTATTAAACACAAGAATGAATAATTTACATGTTGAAGGATTCGATGATTACGTAATAACTGAAATGATAAATATGTTATGCAATGAGCAATGTCGCCTATTGTAAATAATTTTCTTTTGTAAAACTATATATTCAAAATATTTAAACAAATTTATACTACGCCATTTATATATGTATGTTTAACTTTGTGTGTGAATAAATCTTATAAAAATAATATTACGTTGAAGACGGAATCCATGGTACAACTTTCCGACCTACTCCTCGAGTTTTTAATTGTAAACCAATGATTTAGAAAAGGTTCTACTATAGAGGACGTGAGTCAGACTCTAATAAAACGCATAGATAACTTCCAGTATATATATTTCTTATAACTTATTACTAGAGGGTTCAGAACTAGAGTCAATATCGATATCGCACGTGTAGACTGTAGAGATCATATCAGTGCTAATGCCCCGTATCCGTTCTATCTCATTCTGTTGAATCTTGTGGAACTAGTTTAACGCGGCCAGGCATCGTCTTCCACACTACAATAATTTATTAATAGTTTTTCCGAAAATGGAGTTGCTAAACATTCAATGACGTATATTAAACTAGAACTTATGTTAATGTACTTTTCAGATTTTTAACTTTTATTATCAAAAATTAGGTTTAAGGTTAAGAAATAGATTTAAGGTTCAGGATAATAGATTTAGATTTGTTGAAAATGTAAATATGTTAAACCTCGAGAAGAGCAGATGTTGCATGTTGCTCAGTAATCAGAACCCTCACATCTGGTACCCCCTCCCCTCATCCTCCCTCACTATCTTTCCTTTTCTTCTCTCCTCATGCTCCCTCACTATCTTTCCTTTTCTTCTCTTCACATCCTCCCTCACTATCTTTCCTTTTCTTCTCTTCTCATCCTCCCTCACTATCTTTCCTTTTCTTCTCTTCTCATCCTCCCTCACTATCTTTCCTTTTCTTCTCTTCTCATCCTCCCTCACTATCTTTCCGTTTCTTCTCTTCTCATCCTCCCTCACTATCTTTCGTTTTCTTCTCTTCTCATCCTCCCTCTAAGGTTCGCACTTACGCACACTATCCCAATATGCCGAATTTTGAGACAGAGTCCGTGAGGATTTCTCCAGGAGTTATTAGGCGTAAGGAAGGGTGGTGTTCTTTCGGTAACATCGTCTTTGAATCTCACTTTCCTTTTCTTCTCTGCTCATCCTCCCTCACTATCTTTCCTTTTCTTCTCTGCTCATCCTCCTTCCATTTATCTTTTTCTTCTCCCCTCATTCTTCCTAACTATTTTTTCTTTCATCATCCTTCCTTCTTCCTTCCTCATTTTTATCATCTTCTTCTCACCTTCGATTTTATCATCTTTTTCTTCTAATCACCCTCTCCCGTCATCTTCGAAACCATTATATTTTTCTTCTCCATCTACTATTCTTCCTCTTTCTGAATATCCTTTTCCTTCCTCGTAATTTTCAACATTCATTTATAATCCATTTTATTACTGTTCAGCATTTCTTCTCTTTTCTTGAAAAAAGTCATTCTGTACTCTGTAAGCACCAAATATTAGATGACTTAATTTCGATCAAAGCCAGAAAATACGAGGCTGGTATGCAATCATAAATACGAATTAAATAAGACTGAGGGGATGCAAGCTGGATCTCCAAGCATGAATTGAATAAAGTTGATTGGTTGGGTTGAATATCCAAGGTATGAATTGAATAAGGTTGAGGGGTTGGGTTGGATCTCCAAGTATGAATTGAATTAGGTTGATTGGTTGGGTTGGATCTCCAAGGTATGAATTGAATAAGGTTGAATGGTTGGGTTGGATCTCCAAGTATGAATTGAATAAGGTTGAATGGTTGGGTTGGATCTCCAAGTATGAATTAAATAAGGTTAAATGGTTGGGATGGATCTCCAAGTATGAATTGAATAAGGTTGAGAGGTTGGGTTGGATCTCCAAGGTATGAATTAACTAAAGTTGAGTGGTTGGGTTGGATCTGAAGGTCTGCAGAGTATCTCCAGGTCCTGTCATGAGTAATGAAAACAAGTTGAACTTGGTAGTTACACAAACATCACTTTCTTCTATTATTCATGAAAAGTTTATAAATTAAGAGAATACAGTTGTCCTCAACTCCACTTTAAACAATGTTTATATTCAACAAGAATAAGTCATATTCACTGGTAAAGGAAGAGATCTTGAAAGGAATTGAGGCTTTGCCACAAACTCTGATTTTCTAATCTCCATATCTTTTCAACCCAACTATTCAAGTTTGATATATCAAAGGGTTTCATCATCAGATTTAAAAGATAAGGCGATTAGAAAATTAGAGTTTGTGACAAGAACTCAGTTCCTTTGAATAAGAAACTAGACCACAGCATTCAATTTTCAAATTTTTTATTTTCAATTATATATTATTCTAATTATCTAATCTACATGTCTAATATTGTAATCCCTATATCTTTGCAACCTGTGGTCGGAACTTTTGTATCAAAGACAAAGACAAAGAAAATAGAAAATTAGAGTTTGAGGCAAGCTTTGTTTTGAAAATAAAAGTTTTCAAAATTCGAGAACTCTTTCTTTTGAATCTATGTAAGAAAGAAAGGAAAAAAAGTTTCTGCAAAAAAACCGGGAAATAAAACTTTGGTAAAAAAGTCCCATTTTTATGGCACTAGAAATAAAGTTCTGCGTTTTTTATTCCTGGGATTTTTTTATCCTAAAATAATATGGGGGCTGCCGGCCAATAAAGTCTCAGGAAATAAGATTACAGGAAATAAAGTCCTGAAGAAAATATATCCGATGAAAAAAAACAAGAAAAATGAGTCTAAAACTTTTCAAAAATTTTTTTTCCATGGTTGTAATAGGACTTTTTTCCTGGGACGTTTTTGTATAAAATCATACTGGAACCAGAAAAAAGTCCTAGGAAATAAAGTCTCAAAATGGTAGGAATTTATTTTCAAAGACTTTCTATTTCAAGGACTTTTTTCCACAGGACCTTTTTAGTGCCAAAATTTAGGACTTTATTTCCGAGAAATTTTTGGGCGGTTACCTCATCGAATATACCACAATGTTTTCAAGATGGTTCTAGTATCTAATTAAATTGAAAATATGTGTAAGGTTAACTATTTATTATTATATCTTATTAATATTGATAATTCAGTTCATTCTGATAATCTGAGTTTACAGTTTATATGATTTATATACACGTTTTAACATTAATTGTTCCATAATAAACTTGATATATGTATGCATTGTTTACGTTCTATAAATGTGCAGTACGTTAAGTTATGTTTATTACTTGCAGGCTTTGTACAGGTGTATACAGGGTAATTAGATAAACATGAGACATGAGAAACGTTTCTTTTAAGGATTTTTGATGATGATGTAGATACATAACCAACCCTGTATTCATAAATAAATCTATTTTAAAAAAAATCCACGGAACAAAGTTTTGCAAATATTTAAAGAATTCCATCACATTTTTAAAATTTCTGTGTTCAGGTTTTATGTTGAATCTAGAACATAGATATGACATAGAGGGACTTCATGTGTAATTTTAAGTGAGCTTCCATTTAAAGAGATTCGGTTCACAACGGTACCCATTAAACCTTTATCTGATCAATAATGTGGAAGATATCACAGTTTTTCTAACTCGACAATATCCTCCAGTGTTTCTAAAGAAGAAATCCACATATGTTCAGAAACCACAAACGAAAATAATTTTTTTTCAAAGATAAAATTTAGGCGATATAGAGGGACAAAGAGTAATGTTGTGAATCGGACACAGTGCCTTTAATCAAGATGTTTGCTGAGGGATTGTTCAAACAATTATTTATTATTCCTCAGTTCAAACATTTTATATTCAGTTCTATAATATTTAAAACTCTTATATTTATCAAAACTGTTTTTTAACGGGATCTTAATTTGAAACTGTTCATTTCTTGTTATTTTCTAAACTCTTACGTTAGAACTGTTCCAATTCAGTTCTTTCTGTTCATAATCAGTTATTACTTTTGAACTTTTGAATTTAGTTTTGAAATATAACTGTTACAATTCAGTTTTTAAATATAACTGTGCAAATTTAGTTTTGAAATATAACTGTTACAATTTAGTTTGTAAATATAACTGTGCAAATTTAGTTTTGAAATATAACTGTTCCAATTCAGTTTTAAATATAACTGTTACAATTTAGTTTGTAAATATAACTGTTACAATTCAGTTTTTAAATATAACTGTTACAATTCAGTTTTTAAATATAACTGTTACAATTTAGTTTTGAAATATAACTGTTACAATTCAGTTTTGAAATATAACTGTTACAATTCAGTTTTTAAATATAACTGTGCAAATTTAGTTTTGAAATATAACTGTTTCGATTTATTTCTCACGTTAGAACTCTTCTATTTAGTTCTTGCTATGGATTTGTTAAGTTTTGTCAAAATCAATTTTTCTCTGTTCAGATATTCTTTTAAGATTCCAGTTTAACAATGTTTTCTTCTCTTTTGGGGGATTTAACTAGGAGAGAGAAGACGTTGAACTAGGTATTGCTAGTTGAACTATATCTACATTGCACTCTCAGAACACATATAGAAATGTATAGTTTAACTATCTATACCTAGATTAACTTATTCCGGCTGTTCATTAAATTGAACCACTTTACTCCTGAACCGGAAATTTAAGAGAGTATCGTGGAACGAAACTTCCGAGTTTCCTATTTAGAGTTGACACATTTGCGTAGATTTTGATTTAAGAAATCAGGAAACAAAAAAGAATGTGATGAAACCACATGAAATATTGGTATCTCCAAAACTCCTGATCCCGATTAATGATACCGGGTTTACGATACTGGGTTTCATTATTATATTCTGTCTTAAATTTCGGGCTCTGTACTCCTGAAGGGTTATTAAGATGTTCTCATGATATTGCCAACAAACCCAACTTGTTTACAGTTTAAACTTCAGGAGAAGGAGAAAGATTGATCCACTGACTGTGCTCCTCTCTGCACCTGGAGTAGGGAGGATAGTTTAATGTATGCTCCGGGTAGGTTACTAACCAGAGTTGTTTTACAAGAATATATCCCTGGAGTAGGGAGGATAGTTTAATGTATGCTCCGGGTAGGTTACTAACCAGAATTGTTTTACAAGAATATATCAAGCCTTTACCAGCCTTTTAAATATTAACTAACAAACTTTGAGAAAAGTTGGAGAAGGTGATAAATAGGCTGAGGAAAGGAAAATTAAAGGATAAAGTTTAGGAGTCACACAACTCTTAATTCACAAATCAGAAATAAGCAACATATATCTAAGTTTTAGAACTTTTATTATCATCTTAAAATCTAGACCAAGCTCGTAAACATATCAAAGCATACAAGGGCTTTGATACGTACCAGAACCTTCAAATATAGAACCATAAACTTTAACCCTACTGCTGGGGTACTTGAAAACCAAGATACGCTGAGGGGGGGTCAATTTGACCCCCCCCCTCTAAATCCCATGTTTGATGTCCAAATATGACAAATGATACATCATTAGAAAGCTCTCGTGCTCTACTTTTAGAATCTGCAAAAAAATTTGCAAATTTGCAAAAATTGAATTTTTTATCGCAAAATCCAGTTATATAGTAAAAATGTTTGCAAAAAAAAANACCATCATAACCTTCAAATATAGAACCATAAACTTTAAACTAGAACCAGAACCTTCAAACATAGAACCAGAACCTTCAAATAAAGAACCAAAACCTTCAAATATAGAACCATAACCTTTAAACATAAAACCATAATCTTGAAATAAAGACCCATAACTTTTAAGTATAGAACCAGAACCTTCAAATATAGAACCATAAGATTCCAATATAGAACCATAACATTTAAATATAGAAATATACCTTTTAATAAAGAACCTAACCTTTAAGTATAGAACCAGAACCTTTAAATATAGAACCATCATAACCTTCAAATATAGAACCAGAACCTTTAAATTTTACAAAATTCATGACTGTACCAAAATCCTGTAAAATTAATCAAACTTAACTGAATCCCGTAAATTGAACCTGAATCACATAAAATTGACCAAACTGAACCTAAACCTCATAAAATTGACCAAGCTGTAAACCTAAACCACATAAAATTGACCAAACTAAACCTAAACCACATAAAATTGACCAAACTGAACCTAAACCACATAAAATTGACCAAACTGAACCTAAACCACATAAAATTGACAAAATTGAACTTGAACCACATAAAATTGACCAAACTGAACCTAAACAACATAAAATTGACCAAATTGAACCCGAACCACTTAAAATTGACATATTTTGAAATATTACGGGCAACACCAGACAATTTAGCTAGTACCTGATATATCTGGGTTCCACCAAACCTTATCTGAAGTCGGACTTGTGACTGATACACTTCTCTCAGTGGTTCTCCACTTCTGTCGACTAAACACAGATATTACAGATTCATTTAAAATATAATTAATTAGTTGATGGATCAGATAGAACATCATTAAAAATAACTCATGGGAAGACGAAAATACACTGTTTTAGGATCAATATTTGATCAATTATACTTCGAATTAATTGTTAAATTGATTTTTTGGTTGTTAAAATCATTAAAATTTTGATAAATTGAAAAAAAAATCATTGATTATATTTGAAAATTGTAAGATTTTATTGAAAAATAGTTAATTGGTTGATTGGAAATGCATTTGTTTGATTTTATTGAGAAATAATTATTTGATTACATTGACAGAGGTATATATAATTGATTAATTGATTATATTGACGGAGGTATATATAATTGATTAATTGATTATATTGACAGAGGTATAAATTATTGATTAATTGATAATATTGACGGAGGTATATATAATTTATTAATTGATAATATTGACGGAGGCATATATAATTGATTAATTGATTATATTGACGGAGGCATATATATTTAATTAATTGATAATATTGTCGGAGGTATATATAATTGATTATATTGACGGAGGCATATTGATTAATTGATTATATTGACGGAGGTATATATAATTGATTAATTGATTTTATTGACGGAGGTATATATAATTGATTAATTGATTATATTGTCAGAGGTATAAATTATTGATTAATTGATAATATTGACGGAGGTATATATAATTTATTAATTGATAATATTGACGGAGGCATATATAATTGATTAATTGATTATATTGACGGAGGCATATATATTTAATTAATTGATAATATTGTCGGAGGTATATATAATTGATTATATTGACGGAGGCATATATAATTGATTAATTGATTATATTGACAGAGGAAAATTTAATTGATTAGTTGATTATATTGACGGAGGTATATATAATTGATTAATTGATTATATTTACAGAGGTATATATAATTGATCAATTGATTATATTGACGGAAGCATATATAATTGATTAATTGATTATATTGACGGAGGCATATATAATTGATTAATTGATTATATTGACTGAGGCATATATTATTGATTAATTGATTATATTGACGGAGGTATACATTATTGATTAATTGATTATATTGACGGAGGCATATATAATTGATTAATTGATTATATTGACGGAGGTATATATAATTGATTGATTGATTATAACCTGTTTAAACTTGTTCTTCTCTGTGAAACATCCTTCTCTCTTGTATTCACCAGTTCAGATTTTCCTACTAAACAAAATCTCCTGAAATCAACCGTGTAGTCGTATTTGATCCACAACAGTAGCCTTAAAAGCTTTTTACGATCGATTATGAATGAATGAGATATAATACATGAATATCACTTTAAAAATTCATAATCTTCAATTCAGGTTTTTCTATGCAAAAGTCATTTGCGAGTTTCTGCTGCAGAAGCAATGAGAGAAAATAAACAAGATGAAATACCTTTCAAGCTAGGTAAACAATGATATCTCCCACATTATTGATCAAATAAAGGTTTAAGGGTACCGTTGTTAATTGGACAAACCACTCTTAAAATTAACATCCACTTAAAATTACAGAAATTACAACGACGGATTCCTTAAAACAAATTTTAAACATTTTAAAAAAATGGTTTAAAAATGTTTTTAAAATGTTTAAAAAATGTTTTAAAAATGTTGACTACTTTTATTATTATAAAGTATTTGGGTTAAGGCCACTATAACTTAAACTTGTAATTTATATCCAAGTATAATGTTTCTATCTCGGATTAGGTTTGTAAATTCATGGTGTTAGGCTGACCTATCATTGTTCTCTTTTAAATTAGAAAATGTTGAAGTGCAAAATATATGAACCAAGATCATCTAGAACAATTCATCCTTTGAGTTTATTATTACAGGTACAGTGCTCCCCAATATATATGACAATACAATGACGACCAACCATTTTATCTAATTAAGCAATAGTGTTTGATCAAGAGAGAAAATTCTTATAACAATACAATGTTTCCAATGTTCACTTCTTATATAGAGAGCAATAAGAAGAAGGAGAAAAATAGCCATTTTGGATCAAGGTACTAATGCAAGGAAAGTTAATTGCGGTTGCGTATACTCTGCGTACATATTGAAACCAGTTCTCTCTGGGCGGAATTAGTAAACAAGAATAGATGCATCAGTGTTCGTTTTGTACCCGAGGAGGTTAAAAGCATTAAATTTTGATAATTTTGATAATTCACATAATAGTTTCCTATGAACAGAATATTTTATAGATTATTTTTGTGAAAATGGAATGGATTCCATGTCAGACTGTGACATCGGTCTTGTGTTTACTGTTCCGCCAAGAGACAGTACACTGCAGTACAAAAAATGCGTACACCACTGGAATAACTTTCCTTGCATTAGTACCTTGTTTTGGATGTTCTTTGCTCAAAGTACATCCTGAATCCCCCCCCCAGGGACTCTCCACTTAAACCCACTTTCTTTGTCAGTGTACTGGAGATTACTGCAGTACACACCGAAAGCTTAGGGTGAAGGCTAGATATGTGCAGACTGCTATTCAGATTTTACTATGCTGGCTATTCACATAAAACATAAAATTGGTTTTGCATTTCATATCTTACGGATTCTTATATATCCCTGAAGGTAGATGTCAGCTAATTGGTCGTGTACCCCAGTTGTATTTGATAGAATGCGTTGTATAAAATATCGCATATTCTAGTCTTTAATAGATCTCTGTGCTATCTTATCTCTGGTTTAGGGATGCTATAGGGATATAACGAAGGTTGATGAGAAAGGGTTTATTTGTAAAATTATACTAACCTATAGCAGGCAGATGAGGTTCATAATAAGATAATTCCGTCGAGGTTGAGGGGGCCTCTACCTCTGGAATACATGACATAATGCTCTTAAATGGCATGGCATAATGTTCTTAAATAACATGGCATAGTGTTCTTAAATAACATTGCTTAATGCTCTTAAATGACATGGCATAGTGTTCTTAAATAACATGGCTTGATGTTCTTAAATAACATGGCTTGATGCTCTTAAATGACATGGCATAGTGTTCTTAAATAACATGGCTTGATGTTCTTAAATAACATGGCTTAATGCTCTTAAATGACATGGCATAGTGTTCTTAAATAACATGGCTTGATGTTCTTAAATAACATGGCTTAATGCTCTTAAATGACATGGCATAGTGTTCTTAAATAACATGGCTTGATGTTCTTAAATAACATGGCTTAATGCTCTTAAATGACATGGCATAGTGTTCTTAAATAACATGGCTTGATGTTCTTAAATAACATGGCTTAATGCTCTTAAATGACATGGCATAGTGTTCTTAAATAACATGGCTTGATGTTCTTAAATAACATGGCTTAATGCTCTTAAATGACATGGCATAGTGTTCTTAAATAACATGGCTTGATGTTCTTAAATAACATGGCTTAATGCTCTTAAATGACATGGCATAGTGTTCTTAAATAACATGGCTTGATGTTCTTAAATAACATGGCTTAATGCTCTTAAATGACATGGCATAGTGTTCTTAAATAACATGGCTTGATGTTCTTAAATAACATGGCTTGATGTTCTTAAATAACATGGCTTAATGCTCTTAAATGACATGGCATAATGTTCTTGAATAACATGGCATAATGTTCATCAATAACATGATGGCATGCTGTTCTTAAATAACATGACTTAATGTTTTTAAATAACTTGGCTTGATGTTCTTAAATAACATGGCATAATGTTCTTAAATAACATGACTTAATGTTTTTACATAACTTGGCTTGATGTTCTCAAATATTATGGCATAATTTTCTTGAAAAACATGGCTTGATGTTCTTAAAAACCCTGCCATTATAATAAAAAAGTTTAAAAGTAAAGATATTTAGGTATTTTATTCTCATAAGTAAATTTAAAATTTAATTAAAGATTTTAAAGGAACTGACTGCTCGGTTCAAATCAAACTCTAATTTTCTACAGTGATAACCAGAAAACTATGGAACAGGAAGACGACATTAATGCAACACTAAAGTGCTTTTTATGTTGAACAAAGAAAATAGTTTTACCACTAACTCATTTAATCACTGATCAAGTGAAATGGATCTGTTTACACTGCACAATTGTTGTATTTCATGTTCATTGGACTTTTTAAGTCAAACTTAATTTTAAAAGTCGTCTTCCTATTCCAGGGTTTTCTGGTTCTCACTGTAGTCCTTGCAAGCTAATGATGAAGTGCACCTTTGACCTTTATATTTTTGGATATTTTGCTCAGCAAAAAAAAGTTTAAAATATCAAAGGTTTGCGCCTTCCAGTTCCAGGCGAGGAATCAGTTCCATCTAGATTTTAATTATAAATGTACTTGAATAAAATGAAGTATGGTAGTAACTTAAAATCATACATACCATACAATCTAACTGTTGATTCGGTTTCTCCAAGTGAATTCTTGCTCACACATTTATATATTCCTATATCTTCCTTAGATATATTGAACACAGTGAGCCGAGATACTAGTCTATAATTCTCCATCTTTAAATATATAAATATTATTATCACAGTGAGCTAAGATACAAGTTTATAATTCTTAATCTTTAAATTTATAAATATTATCAGCACAGTGAGCTGAGATACAAGTTTAAAATTCTCCATCTTTAAATTTATAAATATTATTAGCACAGTGAGCTGAGATACACGTTTATAATTCTCCATCTTTAAATATATGAATATTATTAGCACAGTGAGCCGAGATACTAGTCTATAATTTTCCATCTTTAAATTTATGAATATTATTAGCACAGTGAGCTGAGATACACGTTAATAATTCTCCATCTTTAAATATATAAATATTAGCACAGTGAGCTGAGATACAAGTTTATAATTCTCCATCTTTAAATATATAACACAAGTCTAACTGTTATATTCTGTAGTTATCATGTTATGTGAACACTGTTGTTATATTATCATGTATAAACTAATATCACATCTAACTGTTATATTCTGTAGTTATCATGTTATGTGTACACTGTTGTTATATTATCATGTATAAACTAATATCACATCCAACTGTTATATTCTGTAGTTATCATGATATGTGAACACTGTTGTTGTTTTATCATGTATAAACTAATATAAAATCTAACTGTTATATCATGCAGTTATCATGTTATGTGAACAGTGTTGTTGTTTTATCATGTATAACTAATATAACATCTAACTGTTATATTCTGTAGTTATCATGTTATGTGAACACTGTTGTTATATTATCATGTATAAACTAATATCACATCTAACTGTTATAAATGAAGAAGCTTGTGTACATATCTCATATACTACTATTAAATATTTATACTTGATTGCTCAACTTTGTATACACTATACATGCATTCTTATCAAATATTCGGTGTTTTCAGAACAACAAAACAGTTTCCTCTTTTTATTCCATTTTTCATGTTTTTTTATTCCAATTCTCAAATGTCTAAAGGATCATTGTCAGCATTTTTTCCTTCCTTGTTAGACAATTTCTCCAGAAATATCTGAATTTTGAAATAATAATCTGAGTTTAGAATAGTACTCGAATAGAATAGGATTTGATCAAAATATTTTTTTTAAAAGATGACACACATTAATTTAAAACTCTTTCTACTTAAAACTTCCCCCCACTCTTCATATAATGAGGTTAATTTGCCCAAGGGAATAATTATCTACAAAAACTTAGACCTGCTTAAAATTAAGAATATAGCAAGATATATATTCCCTATTTAAGATTAAATTCCATTAAAGAGCCGATAAGTTCGTACAACGACAGTACAGTACAATTTGATATCCTCTGCCACTGCCACCATGTCAGTACAAGAACTTGGTACTTGGGAAGGTACAGTTTTAAATAATCCAGGTTTAAAGACTGTACTATACATTTTACAAAATTCATAAGAATTTAAGTATCATTTATTCATCCTTATAGAGACAGCAGAAGTAATTTTAAGTAAACCTCCAGAGATAAAGTGACTTGTCAGATTCACAACAGTACCCTTAAAAGCTTTGTCTGGACAATTATGATTGAGATATCCACGTTTTGTTTAAACATTTTTTTATTTTCATTTGTAGGTTCTTTGTGAAAGTGGCTTACGCATTATTTCCTTCAGAAACAATGGAGAAATTGTCAGAATTGATTAGTTTGCAAGCAAAAAAATATTCCACATTATTTATTAGATTAAGGGGTTAAGGGTATCATTGTGAATCAGGCAGACCTTTCTTTTAAAATGGAGGGAAACTTAATTTATGACGATAGTCTCCGGAAAGATTTAGCTTTTGTATAAATAAATGTTAGAAAATACCTCTTCCTCAGTATCATGCCTCGCATCACGTAGAATCATCTGACCGTTGAACACCCAGTATGTTATAGCCTTGTAATAAACAGAAAATATAGTTTATAGCATTGTAGGAGGAATAGTGTTAGCTGTGTAAATAAGCAGAAAATATAGTTTATAGCCTAGTAGGAGGAGTAGTTGTTAGCTGGGTAAATAAACAGAAGATATAGGTTATAGCCTAGTAGAAGGAGAAGTGTTAGTTGGGTAAATAAACAGAAGATATAGTTTATAGCCTAGTAGAAGGAGAATAGTTAGCTGGGTAAATTAACAGAAAATATAGGTTATAGCCTAGTAGAAGGAGAAGTGTTAGCTGGGTAAATATACAGAAGTTATAGGTTATAGCCTAGTAGAAGAAGAATAGTTAGCTGGGTAAATAAACAGAAGATATATGTTATAGCCTAGTAGAAGAAGAATAGTTAGTTGGGTAAATAAACAGAAGATATAGGTTATAGCCTAGTAGAAGGAGAATAGTTAGCTGGGTAAATAAACAGAAAATATAGGTTATATAGCCTAGTAGAAGGAAATTAGTTAGCTGGGTAAATAAACAGAAAATATAGGTTATAGCCTAGTAGAAGGATTAGTTCTATTTGGGTAAATAAACAGAACATAAAGGTTATAGCCTAGTAAGAGGAGAAGTGTTAGCTGGGTAGAGAAACAGAAGATAAAGGTTATAGCCTAGTAGGAGGAGTAGTTATTAGCTGGGTAAATAAATAGAAAATTCAGGCTGTAGCCTAGTAGGAGGAGTAGTTGTAAGCTGGGTAAATAAACAGAAAACCCAAGCTTTAGCATAGTATGAGGAGTAGTTGTTAGCTGGGTAAATAAACAGATAATTCAGGCTGTAGCATAGTAGGTGGAGAATTGTTAGCTGGGTAAATGTAACAGAAAATTCAGGCTGTAGCATAGTAGGAGGAGTAGTTGTTAGCTGGGTAAATAAACAGAAAATTGAGGCTGTAGCCTAGTAGGAGGAGAAGTGTTAGCTGGGTAAATGTAACAGAAAATATTTGCTATTTGGAACACTTTATGCTTCATGCTTCAAATCATTCATCAGCTGCTTATTCTTTTTTTTGTAGATTTTTCTCAGAACTTGGAAAAAAGGGGGGATATAAATTCTTATTTTTAAAACATCTTTTCTAAGACAATTTTTAGGATGATTTTCTGAATACAATAATTATACCTTAGGACTTGCTTCAGTCTCACACTGCAGTTGTATCTCTGTTCCCAGGGGGGCTCCGATCAATTGGTTCGGGATATACATCATTGGAGCAACTAGGATATACATCATTAGAGCAACTAGGATATACATCATTAGAGCAACTAGGATATACATGATTGGAGCAACTAGGATATACATCATTGGAGCAATTAGGATATACATCATTGGAGCAACTAGGATATACATCATTGGAGCAATTTAGACATAAATCATTGGAGCAAATAGGATATACATCATTAGAGCAACTAGGATATACATCATTGGAGCAACTAGGATATACATCACTAGAGCAACTAGGATATACATCATTGGAGCAATTTAGACATAAATCATTGGAGCAACTAGGATATACATCATTGGAGCAACTAGAATATGCATGATTGGAGCAACTAGAATATACATGATTGGAGCAACTAGGATATACATCATTAGAGCAACTAGGATATACATCATTGGAGCAACTAGGATATACATCACTAGAGCAACTAGGATATACATGATTGGAGCAACTAGGATATACATGATTGGAGCAACTAGGATATACATCATTGGAGCAATTAGGATATACATTATTGGAGCAACTAGAATATGCATGATTGGAGCAACTAGAATATACATGATTGGAGCAACTAGGATATACATCATTAGAGCAACTAGGATATACATCATTGGAGAAACTAGGATATACATCACTAGAGCAACTAGGATATACATCATTGGAGCAACTAGGATATACATCATTGGAGCAACTAGGATATACATCATTAGAGCAACTAGGATATACATCATTGGAGAAACTAGGATATACATCACTAGAGCAACTAGGATATACATCATGAAAGCAACTAGGATATACATCACTGTAGCAACTATAGGATATACAGCATCGGAGTAAGTATGAAATACATTTGTTGCAAATAAATCTGCATCCTACTTTTATCCCGCGTAATGTCGTCTTTACTACCCTTCCCCTATATCTCGGAGCAGTCCAAACTAAAGAATTTAAACCGGCATTACCTCCGTACTCTGACAAGTGACAAAGGACATCATTGAATAGTAAAACGTTTTAACTAGTGAATACTTAAATCCGTGAATAACTCTGCAATACATATTAATTCTACTTAAACAACTGGGTTTTTATTTTCAGAAATAACAACCCAATGTTTAGATTGATCCGTTCACATCCTCTGATCTCTAATTACTCCTTAATTACCCCCAGCTAGTAAGTTACCCAATTAAACATTAAAAACGATTTCATACCAACATTTCATATTTGCTAAAACTGTATTTTGTAATTTTGAAATAACTTTATTTATTTGCAACTTGTGTTTGTGGAGTAGATGGGCCATCAGTTCGTGATTGTGTGTCAACAACATTATTGGAGCAACTAGGATATACGTCATGGGAGAAACTTTATGGAGTAATATTATATCATGTCAAATTTTAATAAGGTTCAAATGCTGTAAATGGTGAAGAAGAAATAATGTAGAATTACAAACTTGGAGAACTGAAGATAATTAGTGTTCAAAGCAATATTAAATTAAGAACTTACATTCAACAACTAACTTGATCCGTTTGCTCACACTTGGTGGAATCTTGTTGCTCGCTATACATAGATAGGCTCCCATCTGTTCTCTAGATATGTCCTAAACAAAACATAGATAGGCTCCCATCTGTTCTCTAGATATGTCCGGAAACAAAACATAGATATGCTCCCATCTGTTCTCTAGATATGTCCTAAACAAAACATAGATAGGCTCCCATCTGTTCTCTAGATATGTCCTAAACAAAACATAGATAGGCTCCCATCTGTTCTCTAGATATGTCCTAAACAAAACATATATTTGCTCCCATCTGTTCTCCAGATATGTCCTAAACAAAACATAGATAAGCTCCCATTTGTTCTCTAGATATGTCTTAAACAAAACATAGATATGCTCCAATCTGTTCTCTAAATATGTCCTAAACAAAACATAGATAGGCTCCCATCTGTTCTCTAGATATGTCCTAAACAAAACATATATATGCTCCCATCTGTTCTCTAGATATGTCCTAAACAAAGCATATACATATACTCCCTCTATTACTAGTTCCAGGTACTCCTCCTGGTACTAATACCCGTATATCCAGGTACTCCCTCTGTTACTAGTACCTTTATATCCAGATACACCTCTTGGTACTCTTGAAAATCCAGGTACTCCACATGGTACTTATACCTGTATATCCAGGTACTCCCCCTGGTACTAATACCTGTATATCCAGGTACTACCCCTTGTACTAATACCTGTATATCCAGGTACTCCCCTTGGTACAATGAGACTCCAGCATGAGATTTCTCTGTGTCCCGGAAAATAGATTTCCCGTCTTCTCTCCTCCAGGTTATATGGGGCTGTGGAACCTGAAACAGTTTTGAAAATCTTGAATGATCATTGATCATCTAAACTTGTTTTTTCTTTGTTATTAACAATGTCGGATTAATCCAAATCAGTAACTTTATGATGTTTCTAAAAATACAAACCCCGTTAGCTCGGCATATCAGAGAAGTATTGTGCTTTTCCCGTACAGAAACCTGAATAAATTAGAAAGTAAAATTTGTTGGTGTTTGTCTTGTGCATTGTACATAGTGAACTGTACATATATTTCAAGCTGTTTATTGGCTGTACATTTATGATAAGGTTTACAATGTTTGAACTTGTGCAGTATTATATCAATGATACAGGGTCCCAGGTGTCCCAATAAACATGGGAATTCAGTGACGAATTCGATATCGTTTTTTAAAAATAATTCTTTGATTTAGTATAGTGATACCTACTGAGAAAGCTGTAATCCGTAAGAATTTCGTCTGCTATGTTTACAATTTGTTTGTTTACGTTTTGACTGCATACGGTTGTACTTAGTAAAACAAGAAAATTAAAGTATGCAAACAGAGGCCGTTCCTTCCATAAACTACATTGGTCGACAACTTGACGTCTCTTATATTCGTCGTCAAGTGTACGGAGAAATTATATATCTATCAAAAAAGAATTTAGCATGAGACATCTAGCGGCCGACATGTCGTCCCCTTAAGTAAGTGAACTACACGACCACTATCATAGAGAGAACAGGCTCTGAGTAAACTTGTCAGTCTTTACTGCTCATCTTGCGGAGACATTAAAAACTCATCTTTACAGCCATTTACCGTTTTCATAAAATAAACTCTAGCAGACATAATAATACTATGGCTTTTGAAATCAGCTATTACAATGGTAATTTATAACAAAGATGATATCGAATTCGTCACTGAATTCCCATGTTTATCGGGACACCCTGTAGTGTATAATAAAGCAACTGTAGCGACGCAAAATAACAAAGATATAAACGAGACTAACTGTATATATTTTGTCTAACTTACAACATGAGAAAAACTATCTTGAATAAATATGTTTGGTTTGGTCTTCAGAGTTTCCGGCAATCAGCTGGTAATCCAGGGTCTCCACACAACATTAATAATAATAAAAAAAAATTATTTTACCTCACTCGGAGAACTCTCTTCATCCACTATAGACGGAGGAACTACCACGTCGAGATGACCGGTCACAGAAATCATTGGATCTGTGTTGACCTGCATATTATATTATTTAGTCAAGATGACCTGTCACAGAGATCCTTGAATCTGTGTTGACCTGCATATTATATTATTTAGTCAAGATGACCGGTCACAGAAATCATTGGATCTGTGTTGACCGTGAACGTATAAAATGTCTTTTTTTGCTGAAAAATAGTTGAATTTTTTTATAAACATAGGTATGTATGGTAGTTAGCAGATATTTTTCTTAAAAAGTATCAGAATTTTTTGGAAAAATCTTTATAAAAAATAAAATATTTAGCAAGAAATTCAACTTTAAAATTCTTTAAACTGCCTCTTTATTTTCTTTAAGACTTGCTTAAGCTTTTTGTCTAGGAAGTGACGGTAGTTGGAAATTGAAAAAAAATTCTTGAATAAATGTTGATAAAAAAGTTTCAACAAGTCGGTGGTAGTGAGGGTAGTTTGAAATAAAAAACAAATTCTTGAATTAATGTTGATATATAGATTTTAAAAAGTCGGAGGTAGTGAGGGTAGTGGGGAATTCTTGAATAAATGTTGATAAAAAAGTTTCAATAAGTCGGTGGTAGTGAGGGTAGTTTTTAATTTAAATAAAATTCTTGTTGAAACTTTTTTATCAACATTTTGATGAAACTTTTTTATCAACATTTATTCAAGAATTTTGTTCTCAATTTCAAACTACCCTCACTACCACCGACTTGTCGAAATCTTTTTTATCAACATTTTGATGAAACTTTTTTATCAACATTTATTCAAGAATTTTGTTTTCAATTTCAAACTACCCTCACTACCACCGACTTGTTGAAATCTTTTTTATCAACATTTATTCTAGAATTTTTTTTTCAATCCCCCACTGACTTTTTAAAATATATACCATTTTATTTCAAAATTTATATATAAATCAATACATATCTTTATTTTTTAAATTTAAATTATTACTACTTTAACTACCTTCTATTTATCTGACATAAAGCTAATGTGAAAAATAAGGCATTTTATACATACAGGTGTTGACCTGCATATTATATTATTTAGTCAAGATGACCGGTCACAGAGATCCTTGGATCTGTGTTGACCTGCATATTATATTATTCTGTCAAGATGACCGGTCACAGAGATCCTTGGATCTGTGTTGACCTGCATATTGTGTTATTTTAAACAAGATAAATGGTCACAAAGATGCTTTTTATTTTATATAATTACTAGCTTGGGAACCCAGCGTTGCCCAGGGTGCTCATAGTTAATCCCGCGTTTAACCACACTTGGTCTTTAATTACGATTTCAGCTATTGTTTCTTATGAAAGCCGACCCACTTAACTCAAAATCTCAAAACCAAGCTAAGAACATTCCCGTGGGTCTCCCGAGTTCCCCACTGAAAAATTTGAGGCAAACCAGTTCAGGGGTTTATGAGTTATGGTCGGACATTAAAAAAGAGATTACTACTTTACATATAGATGTACATTGTACATGTACATATACCTGACACATGTAGTACCCACGGTCCTCTGCTTGTACATCTTTGATATGTAAACTCCAAGTATGATGATTATCATGTACAATAGTAAATCTAAAAATTATCATGTACAGTAAAGCAAAAAAAGTACAGCACAAGAATGCACAACACAAAGAAAATCCAAGATTACATACCTCGGTATTCTAGTAATAACATTTCTTCCAATAGTTAATATCATCTGTCGGTCAATATGAATCCAAGCAACCTAACAATATCATAATACAGAGGTAATCAATAATTTTTTTTTCAAAATTAGCCGAACATGATTGAAGATGCACGAACATGATGGAACATGCACGAACATGATGGAACATTCACGAACATGATGGAACATGCACGAACATGATGGAAGATGCACAAACATGATGTAACATGCACGAACATGATAAAAGATGCACGAACATAATGGAACATGCACGAACATGATGGAGCATGCACGAACATGATGAACGTGTAGAACAAGAATTATCGAAATGTCTAAATATTTGCATCTGTATCATCATCTAATTATTTATAGAATATTGTTAAAATTAAAATTCAAAAATAATTATGTAAAAAGAAAACAGAGTTAGTCAATTATGAATAATAATCAATGGAATCGATGACAAATTGTTTCCTCTCAGTTAAAGATATCTTTGGTTTTCTAGCTTGACAAGTTTTAAGCTCTTTTTTCTTTATTGTTTCTGTTGCAGAAATTCAAAAGCCACTCTTTTGAAAATGAAAGTCATCAAGTTCAAAGTTTAAAAATATGGATTTCTAATTGATTCACAATTGATCAGGCAAAGCTTTTAAGGGTACCGTTGTACATCGGACATAAACGCGTATAATATCCATTTTTAAAAATTCTTGCCTAGCCCTGTAAATCTTATTAAAGTTTATATTTAGAAAAAGGTTTTAATTTTCTAACCTTGTAATCCGCGAGATGTTTAACATAACATTTCAACATGGCGTCCCGACCCAGAGCGACAGTAATATTCTGAACTTCTTCGGATATCTGGGGACGTCCTCCACAGCAAACTGCAATATAAAATATCCATTAATTAAGAAATACATTTTAACGAATTTTTATCTGAAACATCTTTGTTTAGTTGTTCGAAGATTATCTATGAAGCCAGTTCTCAGTTTGCGTAGAACTGGTGTTTTAGCCTCATTTATATTCATTCCTCGGATACCAATGTCTAATCTTTCCTCCATTGAATGGACGCTGAAACCAGATTAGCATGAAAACCGGGAGATAAACAGTGATTTCTCACTTCCGCCCGAACCAAACCAAACTTAAAATTAGATTAAAACTATCCAAACCAACCTTTAATATTTTCAGGTCAAATTCAGATTCGATTAAATTTATCCAAGCCAAACTTTGATATCTCTAGGCCAAAATTGGATGAATAGATTTATCCAAATTTCCTTTTACGTCTGGCCAAATTCAGATTAAATTTAACGAAACCAAATTTTAAAGTTTCAGGACTAATTCATACTAAATTTATCAATATTAATCAAACCAAACCTTAATGTTGTCGGATCAAAATTAGATTAGATCATTAGATTAAACCAAACCAAACTTTAGTAGTTTGATTATCAAACCAAACCAAACTTTAATAGTTTGATTATAAAACCAAACCAAACTTTAAAAGTTTGATTATCGAACCAAACCAAACTTTAATAGTTTGATTATCAAACCAAACCAAACATTAGTAGTTTGATTAACAAACCAAACCAAACTTTAATAGTTTGATTATCAAACCAATCCAAACTTTAAAAGTTTGATTATTGAACCAGACCAAACTTTAATAGTTTGATCATCAAACCAAACCAAACTTTAATAGTTTGATTAAAAAAATAAACCAAACTTTAATAGTTTGATTGTCAAACCAAACTAAACTTTAATAGTTTGATTATCAAACCAAACCAAACTTTAATATTTTAATTATCTAACCAAACCAAACTTTAAGAGTTTGATCATAAAAATAAACCAAACTTTTATAGTTTGATGATAAAACCTTACCAAACTTTAAAAGTTTGAATTTAAAACCAAACCAAACTTTAATAGTTTGATTATCAAACCAAACCAAACTTTAACAGTTTGATTATCAAACCAAACCAAACTAGTTAGTTCAAGATTAGATTAGTCTGAACTAAATCAAAATTTCATTTGTTTACTTTCCAAATTTAATTCTTGTATATTTGCAATTGAAGCTTAATGCATCTGAGCATGTTGCAAAGCTCTAAATATGGAATTATAGAAAATTTGAGTTTATGGCGAGTTATCAGTTCTGCACTCTAAACAACCTTTTAAAGGAAATAAGTCTTTGCAACAAAATCAGATTTTCCAATCCCAATATCTTTGCGACTCAATGTGGTAGACCTTAAATATTTCAAATTCTGTTAAATCAAATAATCTAAGTTTGAAATATCAAAGGTTTGCATATCATCAGGTTGAAAACAAGGGATTAGAAAAATTAGGTTTGTAGGAAAGACTAAATTCCTTTGTCTCCTAGAATCCTATGTGTGCTGTGTGCAAAGAGAATAGAATATATATTAGAGGGGAATTTAGAGAATCCCTCGGTATGAATATTTTTAGTCCCTTTCAGCCTGAAAGGGAGTTTAAAGTGTACAAATCATGTAAATGTTAACAAATTATATGCAGTAGAGTACATTAATACAGTATGTTCCCTAGACTATCCATTTCAATTTCGAATTTTTAAAAGCTGTTAAATAAACTTTATAGAATGAATTAGGTGAATAAAAACATAATTTGATGTATAGTTATAACGGAAAATCATCGTTTGTAAAGTGAAAGGCATAGAGTCTATGTGAAATGACCATTGGTTAATTATGAAACCAGCCTATTTCATAATTTGGTTCATATTACTTTTGAGATTTTCTATAAAATGATATTCCAGGGCCCAAAAGGTTATATAGCATAAATATGTGAAGTACACCTGCAGTATGGAAACAGTACAACAAAATGGCCGTTTTACATTTTTTTCTAGTAAATTCCCCTCTAATATATATTCTATTCTCTTTGGCTGTTAGTAAACGTGTTCAGTTTAATTTCTGATTCAGATTGGAGACTAAAGGATGATGTATACAGCCTGTTAAAACGAAAATTGTTCTACATTTAAACATCTCGCCCTGGTTAGCCCAGTTACGACCCTGGATGACTTTACTGGGATAATATTAATGATGATAAATCTGATGAGATAATAATGATGATAAATCTGATGAGATAATAATGATGATAAATCTGATGAGATAATAATGATGATAAATTGTTAGTAAACGTGTTCAGTTTAATTTCTGATTCAGATTGGAGACTAAAGGATGATGTATACAGCCTGTTAAAACGAAAATTGTTCTACATTTAATTTGATTTGTTTGCCAGTTAAAAATTTACATATACAAAGTTACAATTACTGGATGAGACTGTAAAGACGACCTGAAATTCCTAAATATTAAAATTTTTAAATAATTTGGAAATTAATTCAAAAGTTTAAGGTTGCAGAAAACTAAGAAACTGCACAATTCAATTCCTGTTTTGTTTTGCAATTAAAGGGACAGTAGAGACGTTATTTCAAGTGATCCTCCTTTAAAAAAAATAGCATTTCCGATTCACAAAACAATTTAAATATCGTGTTTAATCCCTTTAAATATTACTTGTTTGTGTGAATATGTAGATTACAGGCGAATTTACATATTAATATTTGGTTACACGAGAGCTCCATAATTTCAACTCAGACATTAAACAATTTGTCAAATATTTTGTTTAGGATACAAGGGGGTGGTAGTAAGGGTAGTTTAAAATTAAAAAAAAATTTGAAAAAAATGTTGATATATAGATTTTAAAAAGTCGGAGGTAGTGAGGGTAGTGGGGAATTGAAAAAAAAATTCTTGAATAAATGTTGATAAAAAAGTTTCAGGGTACCCTGGTAACCCTTGTCCTGTATCTCCGGGTACCCTGGTAACCCTTGTCCTGTATCTTCGGGTACCCTGGTAACCCTTGTCCTGTATCTCCGGGTACCCTGTTAACCCTTGTCCTGGATCTCCGGGTACTCTGGTAACCCTTGTCCTGTATCTCCGGGTACCCTGGTAACCCTTGTCCTGTATCTCCGGGTACCCTGGTAACCCTTGTCCTGTATCTCCGGGTATCCTTGTAACCCTTGTCCTGTATCTCCGGGTACCCTGGTAACCCTTGTCCTGTATCTCCGGGTACCCTGGTAACCCTGACCAGTATCTGTATCTGTCTGGAGAATGTATCCCTGTGGTGTAATAAAGAAACCATTACAGACCGGAGAATCAAGTGGTAACTAAACCCAGATCCAAGTTTAATGTTTCATAAACAACAAGATTCGACAAAATGTTGCAAGGTCAATCCGGGTAAATGTAAACCAAGACGTATATTTGTATCTATTCAAGGATCCGGCCCATACGGATTTAATTCGTTTTTTCTCATATATTTTTCTGTCAGCGGAGGGGTTTTGAATCAAAAATTAGGAATAGACAACACTGCAAAGATAAACCAAAACGCCATAGAATTCAAATTGAAGAAACCAACTCATCTCGCCCTGGTTAGCCCAGTTACGACCCTGGATGACTTTACTGGGATAATATTAATGATGATAAATCTGATGAGATAATAATGATGATAAATTGAGATAATAATGATGAAAGACCTGATGAGATACTAATCTGATGAGATAATAATGATGATAAATCTGATGAGATAATAATGATGATAAATCTGATGAGATATTAATGATGATAAATCTGATGAGATATTAATGACGATAAATCTGATGAGATATTAATGATGATAAATCTGATGAGATATTAATGATGATAAATCTGATGAGATATTAATGATGATAAACCTGATGAGATAATAATGATGATAAACCTGATGAGATAATCATGATGATAAATCTGATAAGATTATAATGATGATGATAAACCTGATGAGATATTAATGATGATAAATCTAATGAGATTATAATGATGATAAATCTGATGAGATAATCATGATGATAAATCTGATAAGATTTAATGATGATGAATCTGATGAGATAATAATGATGATGAATCTGATGAGATTATAATGATGATAAATCTGATGAGATAATAATGATGAAAGACCTGATGAGATACTAATCTGATGAGATAATAATGATGGTAAACCTGATGAGGTAATAATGATGATAAACCTGATGAGATAATAATGATGATAAATCTAATGAGATAATAATGATGATAAATCTGATGAGATTATAATGATGATAAATCTGATGAGATAATAATGATGGTAAATTTTATGAGAAAATCTGATGAGATAATAATAATAATAATGATGATAAATCTGATGAGATAATAATAATAATAATGATGATAAATCTGATGAGATAATAATGATGATAAATCAGATGAGATTATAATGATGATAAATCTGATGACATAGTAATGATGATGAATTAATGCATCGGATGAGATTATAATGATGATAAATCAGATGAGATTATAATGATGATAAATAGGATGAGATTATAATGATGATAAATCTGATGAGATACTAATGATGATAAATCTGATGAGATACTAATGATGATAAATCTGATGAGATAATAATGATGATATACCTGATAAGATTATAATGATGATGAGTCTGATGAGATTATAATGATGATGAGTCTGATGAGATTATAATGATGATAAATCTGATGAGATTATAATGATGATAAATCTGATGAGATAATAATGATGATAAATCTGATGAGATACTAATGATGATAAATCTGATGAGATACTAATGATGATAAATCTGATGAGATAATAATGATGATAAATCAGATGAGATTATAATGATGATAAATCTGATGACATAGTAATGATGATGAATTAATGAATCGGATGAGATTATAATGATGATGAATCTGATGAGATTATAATGATAATGAATATGATGAGATTATAATAATAATGAATATGATGAGATTATAATAATGATAAATCTAATGAGGTAATAATGATGATAAATCTGATGAGACATTAATGATGGTAAATTTCCTGAGATAAATCTGATGAGATAGTAATAATATTAATGATGAGGAATCTGATGATAGTATGAGATAACTAAACTTTCTTGAACTGTCAAACTAAAATATTTCTCTCTTAGAACTAGACCTTACTTTATTTTCTTCACATTGCACTCAATTCAAAACTTTGTGTTGATGAAATTATGATCGAGAAAAACATCATTTTCAACTCTAAGTTGCAGTTACTAAGTGGGGATTTAAAAAAACCGCAAAGTAAAATATAAAAAGATTGTCTGTAGTTTTTGCGCTATGTATAAAAATTTATTTGAATCTATACTGTCTGACGTTATATGGGTATGGAAATTAAATCTAATGAATTAGAAAAATATATATTTACAGGCTGTAAAACAAACCGGAAGTTTAAAGCAAAAAAATACATTTTAAAATCCTTAAAGAGAGTGCGCAGACGTAATTTCTATTGGCATTCCACTTAAAAAGTGTTATCTCTGAATTCTGATACACAACAGTACCCTCGAAACCATCGTATGAATGACATATTCTTAATTTTATCTCGAAATTTTATTATTTTTTTCTTGTTTTCTTTCTTACAGTCACCTGCAGATTGAGAAAATGAAGGAAATTGTTCCAATTCAAGAATTCAATACTTTAATATTACTTATTATTATTACTTAAAATTGGGAATCATACATGACACTAACTAAATTGTTTAATTGATTTACGTCTAGGGTTCTTTAAACAAGCTCTAATGCATCACAATTAGACTATTCCTTGCCATAGAAAACTAAATTGTTTTGTAAATCCTTTCTTGTCAAAATATTTTATGATTTTTCACTTTTTTCAGATTCAGATTCTTAACTTTGGATTCAAAATTATTTGTATTCATTTAGTGTTTTGTTATTTTTGTAAAATGTAAACTTGCTTTTCATGAAAATAATAAAATTTTAGTTTGTATAGACACGATGCATAAACATTACAATTAATATTCATGAACTGTTAAATAGACTAAATCTAAAAAAATTTTCTTGGTCACAAATTAATTTATCACTAGAATTTTTAAAAACAGTTTTCGTGAATTATATCTTTTAAGAGTACCCCAGAGCGGGTTACTGAGGTGGGGGGGGGGGGCACTGCTTTCCCCTGTAGGATTATATTTTTTATCTACATTTCTATTTTTACAAAGGTAATACTTGATTTTTAGGTGAGAAAAGTTGTTTTTAGAGTTTATTTTGCAGTCTGCTAAAAAAATGAATTTAAATTGATTAAATTTAATAATTAACTTATGCAATTTATAAGGTAAAGCTAAGTAATTATCATGACAATGTAAAAAGTGAAAAATTATCAAAATCAAGCTAACAAATTACAAGTTTAATCACAAAACTGCAGCTGCAACCCCGCTTCTTGTTCACTTGGTTTACCCCCCTATAGAAACACCCTAATTAAGACCAAAAAAACATATGCCGAAGAAATTAAATGAAAGGATGGAAGAATACGAGAAGATTGAATAAAACGAAGAAGAAGAAGATGGAGTAGAAGGAGATGGATTAAAAGGAGATAGGTCATAAGGATATGAAGTAGAAGGAGATGGAGTAGAAGGTGATGGAGTAGAAGGAGATGGAGTAGAAGGAGATGGAGAAGAAAGCGATGGATTAGAAGGATATGGAGAAGAAGGAGATGGAGTAGAAGGAGATGGATTATAAGGAGATGGAGTAGAAGGAGATGGAGTAGAAGGAGATGGAGAAGAAGGAGATGGTGAAGAAAGCGATGGATTATAAGGAGATGGAGTAGAAGGAGATGGAGTAGAAGGAGATGGAGAAGAAAGCGATGGAGTAGAAGTAGATGGAGTAGAAGGAGATGGAGAACTCATAACACTGCCACCAGATTTCCCGTGTTTCAAGATATTTTTCAGCAAATATGATTGAAATCTTATATGTTTTTATCTCTTCTTATCAAAGACAACTTAATCTTGACGAATTTGAAATATCAAAGGTCTACAACATTGGGTTGCAAAGATATAAGGATAAGAAAAACTCAGTTCCTTTGACTTTCTCCTTCTACCTAGCTTCTATTAATATAGTTCTGGATTTGAAGATTTAAAAAAATGATACAGATATATATATATACAGATCGGGTTTCAAAAGAGCAATTGACAAACCTCATAAATGTTCGGGACAAACAACGTTTTATTTATGTTCAATTTTAAATTTTAATCCAATACTTGCAATTAATCTTAGATACACTTTTTTAGGATGGGGGGGGGGTCAGGTTATTTATCGACATATATGATTTCGATACAAGCAATAAAAGCTTTTAGCTGTTGAGAACGAAATATTGGGAACTAATCCTGGCTTACCATTGGTTGGAGTTAGAAGAAGAAATGCCGCCAGCCACACTATTAGTCCTCCCTGGCGGCATAGGGAAATATTTTCTAAGTTCGATACAGTTAACATTGTTTATTTTGATATTATAAAATATCACTTTCTCAAAAATGTCCTCAGTCTTTTAAATAAATGGTAGCAGGACGTTGGTTTATCATGAGCAAAGGATGCGCTTAGGTTCGGAGATACGGAGATACTGTGAACCCTGAGCTGAGGTTACAATCTAGGACGGAGGATCAACATTGGTTCTCGAGCTAGGTTTCAGTTCCTCGGAGAAATAACTCCGACGGGTCTTGGTCTCTTGGAGCCGATTAGCAGGTAGTGTATGGGGCCCGGAGAACCAAATCTTCTCCGGGGTTGTGTAAACCTCTGAGCTCTAATCGGAAACTAGCAAAAGGAAATGTAAAGTCTCAAATTAGATGAAGAAAAAAATACTGATTATCTCAAAAATAAAATGCACTGTAATAAATGCAATATGAATAGAAAATTAGAAGGAAGAATAAAGAAAATATTAGATGAAAGAGTAACAAAAAGTGATACTTTATAGTTTCAGTAGAAGTAAATATTCCATTAACTGTTAGCACCGATTAAAGGATTCATAACTCTAATTGGATAATGAGATAGATAGAAATATAGATGTTACCGCAACACAATTTCTTTTGGTCCAGAATAGACAACAAACACATGACTGAACCCTGATTGGATCAGGCACTAATGGAATCGGCATACAGTGTGGATAAGAGAAACATTTAAACACGTTTTAAAGAAAAAAAACAAGTATTTTAGAGAAAAAAATGTAAAACACTTTGGCTAAAAAGAATAAAATAAGTATGAAAATAAGGAACAATCAAATATATCAATGGTCTAGGGCCCGAAACAATGCTCATAGCGGCTAAAATACTTTGCTTGTCAATCTTTACCTGTTTGTCAGTGCCCAATAAACGTCAAAACGACTGAACCGATTGGGCCCTCCCGTGACTCCCGTAGATGGTAATTGAAAAATATTGTTTGGAATAAATCTTGACATTTCTTATTCTTGAAAATCCACCAGTTTAAACAGAGAAGTCCGAGAAATTAGTTTTTACTGGGTAACAATGAAAAAATGGTGACTTGCAAAACAGCAGTCAAGGCAGTTGTTATTTATATTTTTCAACTTTATTAGTTCAGAATACAGGATAGATAGGAACACTAGAGTATAGAATACAGGATAGATAAGAACACTAGAGTATAGAATACAGGATAGATAAGAACACTAGAGTATAGAATACTGGATAGCTAGGAACACTAGAGTATAAAATACAGGATAGATAGGAACACTAGAGTATGGAATACAGGATAGCTAGGAACACTAGGAAATAGAATACAGGTTAGCTAGGAACACTAGAGTATAGAATACAGGATAGTTAGGAACACTAGAGTATAGAATACAGAATATATAGGAATACTAGAGTATAAAATACAGGATAGATAGGAACACTAGAATATAGAATACAGGATAGATAAGAACACTAGAGTATAGAATACAGGATATATAAGAACACTAGAGTATAGAATAGAGGTTAGCTAGGAACACTAGAGTATAAAATACAGGACAGATAGGAACACTACAGTATAGAATACAGGATAGCTAGGAACACTAGAGAATAGAATACAGGTTAGCTAGGAACACTGGAGTATAAAATACAGGATAGATAGGAACACTAGAGTATAGAATACAGGATAGATAGGAACACTAGAGTATAGAATACAGGATAGATAAGAACACTAGAGTATAGAATACAGGATAGATAAGAACACTAGAGTATAGAATACAGGATAGATAGAAACACTAGAGTATAGAATACAGGATAGATAAGAACACTAGAGTATAGAATACAGAATATAAAGGAAAGCTAGAGTATTGAATACAGGATAGACAGAAAATGAAGAGATTAAGATTTAAACCGTTTTAGAAAAAAAAATCTGTAATCGTACAGAAGCGGAAAACAATCTGTACAAACTTCAATTCTTAACATTTTGGTCCGTTTCTTGTTAGAAGAAACGGACCAATCTTTTCTATCCAAATCTAACCTCGTAGCGTGATTAACGTCAAATATCTAAACAAAACCCTTTCACTTAGTTCCCTAGGTTTCCTGCCCCCATCCTTTCATTCCCCCTCCCCCTCTTCCTCCTCCCCCCCCCCTGAATAAACAGCAGAGGATTACAGGGTTCTAGCACCTAATACAGCTCAATCAAACTCAATGTATGATATATATATATATATAATGAAGAGAACTGCACTTCTTAACTGGTTTAGGTTCAGGTTGAGCCCCTCTTGTAAAATTATCTAGAACTTCTTATGTCAGGCCTATACTCATAATATTCTATTCTTTGCTACACCATCATTATGAAAAATAACCCATTCCTTTCTTTTAGTCCAAAATATTAGCGTACTGCAAGAATTTATGAAAAACCCAGAGATATTACAAATATTATTTTAGCAGGTAATAAAATTCTCATTGTAAATTACGAAAGAGCTTAAATTAGGAATTATTCAATGTGTGTATGTAGATATATAACCATAATTAGGAATTATTCAATCTGTGTATGTAGATATATAACTGTTACATTTAAGAACTAAAAGAAACTCAATTAATAAAATCTCCATTCTAGGAGACTTAAACGGAGAAGTGAGACTAGTGCAAGAAACTTTAATCTCAACCTACCATCAGAGGTGAGATTCAAACAATAACCATAATCAAAAGTAATTTAAGTTTCATACTATTTTAGATGCATATTTTACTGGGAATGCAGTATTGTAAAGAAAACTTTAGGATTCATTTGATACCTATGACATTTTCTTCTCTAAAATACTGCACTTTCAGCTGAAATATGTTACGTAGCCCCCTTAATAATATGTGAAAACGGGTTGGAAAGTGAAGGTTCACTGATAATACCACTAAGACATCTGGATCACGGTGATCCATACTTTTATCTGGTTTAGTTGGTTTAAATCTCAGATTTAGAAAACTAGAGTTTAAATATAGAAAATATTCATGGAAACTGAGAAATGACAGACATCTGACAGACAATGCAGAAGAATAACAGACAGACAGAACAGATATGACAGACAGATAGGAGAAGAGAAAGAGGGATGTAAGGGAGCGGAGCTCATGCAAAATTCATCTCTCCTGGTTCTGGTAGAGTATCCTTGCTCCGGAATATTGTAGTTTATGTGAACCTGTCGCCATAATCCCGAGCAGAATACAACAAGAATACTAAATTATTCTTATTCTCAAACCTTCTTCTAGACCAGGTCAAACCTTCTCCTAGACCAGACTAAACCTTCTCCTAGACCAGGTTAAACCTTCTCCTAGACTATGCTAAACCTTCTCCTAGACCAGGTCAAACCTTCTCCTAGACCAGGTCAAATCTTCTCCTAGACCAGGTCAAATATTCTCCTAGACCAGTCTAAACCTTCTCCTAGACCAGGCTAAACCTTCTCCTAGACCAGGTCAAACCTTCATATAGACCAGGTCAAACCTTCTCCAAGACCAGGCTAAACCTTATCCTAGACCAGGTCAAACCTTTTCCTAGACTATGCTAAACCTTCTCCTAAACCAGGTCAAACCTTCTCCTAGACCAGGTCAAATCTTCTCCTAGACCAGGTCAAATATTCTCCTAGACCAGTCTAAACCTTCTCCAAGACCAGGCTAAACCTTATCCTAGACCAGGTCAAACCTTTTCCTAGACCAGGCTAAACCTTCTCCTAGACCAGGTCAAACCTTATCCTAGACCAGGCTTAACCTTATCCTAAACCAGGGTAAACCTTCTCCTAGACCATGTCAAACCTTATCCCAGACAAGGTCAAACCTTTTCCTAGACCAGGCTAAGCCTTCTTCTAGACCAGGTCAAACCTTTTCCTAGACCAGGTCAAACCTTCTCCAAGACCAGGCTAAACCTAATCCTAGACCAGGCTAACCTTATCCTAGACCAGGTTAAACCTTATTCTAGACCAGGCTAACCTTATCCTAAACCAGGCTAAACCTTATCCTAGACCAGGCTAACCTTATCCTAGACCAGGTTAAACCTTATCCTAGACCAGGCTAACCTTATCCTAGACCAGGCTAACCTTATCCTAAACCAGGCTAAACCTTATCCTAGACCAGGCTAAACCTTATCCTAGACCAGGCTAAACCTTATCCTAGACCAGGTTAAACCTTATCCCAGACTAGGTCCAACCTTCTCCCAGACCAGGTCAAACCTAATCTCCAGTACAAGAGATCTACCTGAAAAATAAGAGTTTAATCACCAGTACTGTAGATAAACCTAAATATGCAGTTTCTTTATATGAATACATTTAAATTCTGTTTAAACGTTTCTATATCACCATTAGGAGGTGTTCTACTAGATGTAAAATACAATTTAACTTCTTTATTCTTCACTAACTTTACCAAATACTTTAAAACCTTTTACAACATCATCACTTTTACTTTCTTTATTTTCCCCCTCCCACCTCCACACTCTACCCTTTCTTTATGAATTTCTCTTTTCTTTTCTTATCTCCTTTTTCTTTACTTGCACATCGTACTTCTGTTTTTGCTTTTTTACTTTTTTATTTCTTTCTTTTTCCTTTATTTTCCGCTTCTTCTTTCTTTTTTTCAACCATTATATTATCTTTTTTGTCCACTTCCTCTTGTCTTTATCTTTTTCTTTGTTCTTTTCTATGATCTTCCCAGTTCTTCTTTCCTTTAGTTTCTGTTGCTTCTTTCCATTATCTTACTCTTCTTCTTTCTTTTATATTCCGCTGTTTCTTTCCTTTATTTTACTCTTCTTCTTTCCTTTATTTTCCGCTGCTTCTTTCCTTTATCTTACTCTTCTTCTTTCCTTTATTTTCCGCTGCTTCTTTCCTTTATCTTATTCTTCTTCTTTCCTTTATATTCCGCTGCTTCCTTTCTTTATCATATTCTTCTTCTTTCCTTTATATTCCGCTGCTTCTTTTCTTGATCTTATTCTTCTTCTTTCATTTATATTCCGCTGCTTCTTTTCTTTATCATATTCTTCTTCTTTCCTTTATATTCCGCTGTTTCTTTCCTGTATCTTATTCTTCTTCTTTATTATAAACAGCTTACGTATCTTGCTTGCTTACAATCATATATTGTTTACAATTGTGTAAATGTATTGCAAATAAATTTAGATACATAAATTTTATTTCGCAAATTTTTCCCATTTGACACTCATCATTAAATATATAGTTACCATATATATATATATATATAAAATATTTTTAGCAAAAGTTATTATTATTATCATTATCTTTATTCCGTCACTTCTTTCCTTTACGTTTCTTGAATTCCTTTTAATCCTTTTTTCTTTTCTAACTATCTTCCTATTCCTTTCCCAA